AGAGAAATGTTTAGATTAAAAGATATCACGATTTTCCGACGCCAGGACGTGATATCTTTCAAAATCGATAAAAAGCGAAATTACTCTGAAATGGTTGAGAATCGGACCATGGTCAATATGAACTTTTTTGTTCATTTTAGGGTCAAGAATCTACTGGTGAAGTTTGTAGCACGAGTAGCAAGTCACCCTGTATACAAAGTTTACAATTCAAAAATATATAATTTCTGTTTGGCTTGATCACATAACCCTGGTCTGATTATTCTCACTGTTTTTCGAAGTCTTTGTTTTTGGCATTTTATTCCTTTTTTTCTTTGAAGATTGTCATCCATTTTAACAAAATAGCAATGACAAACTACTGAAAATTGAAAAATAGCAAATAGGAAAACAAGCAAAAGCAGTGAGAATAGGAAGATCAAAAACGACTATGCTATACATTTATCACTTTATTGTTTGTTATTCATGTATTTGTCCATTCATATATAACAGGCTAACAACAGTTTCACAGGTTTTCTTATATTTTTTGAAAATATAAAAAAAAATATTGTATCATAACAAAATTATAAATCTCCTCTTTAAATAACTAATTGTTCTAATTATATATATAGTTTTTAACGAACCATCACCAGATCCAACTGCATCTAGAATCATGAATTCAGAATCTAACACCTCCAGTTCATCCTTTTCCTCGGGGATTTGATACTGGCCTGTAAACTTCAAAAGAAAATCGCCAAAATCATACAAATTTCAATTTTAATAATTCAACTTACCTCATTATTGTAATAAAAATGGTTGTCCTTTTCCTTTTGTAGTTGATCTTTCTGCTGTGAAAAGAAACTGTTAAAGAATTTTAACATAAAACGGAAAAATATTGTTATATAAATAAAATTTACACTGTGATCATAATTGTTGTGTATATTGTTTTCATTACTCTTTACTAAGCTTGCTGTGTGGTCATTTTCTTGTTTTTCATTTAGAATTTCCTCAGATAATTCTCCTTTTAGTCTGTAAAGCTCTTTAATTTCTAAATCCTGATGGAGAAAAAAAATTAGTGTTTATTGCATTGTTTTACATACATTACTTGCCTTTTCTAGTTCCTCTTTAATTTCTCCTTCTTCCTCTTCACCCTCATCATCGCTCTCCCTCGCACGTCGCCTGTTAACATTTTTTTTTTTTTTTTGCTTAAAAGAAAAATACCCTATTGCAAATAGTTACATTTTAGGTTTGTGCTCCAATTCTCTGTGCTGCGAATGGTAAGAATAATAGTGCCCGTTTTCCTTTTGGTACATCCTCTTTTTCAGGTAGTACCTCTTTTGTGCATACTCTTCATAAGTTCTTGGGTCACCATAGCCGTAATTCATGTATTCCCACTGACCAGGTAACTGGTAAGATCTTTTCTTAACCTTTGAAAAATGAAATGAAAGAAAGAAAACCTTAGAATATTTAAGGAAAAATATAAAAATAAAAACTCACTGAGTAATCTTGCTTCATTTTTCTTTGCATGTATTCCCTGTTGTCGTATTTTTGATAATCCTTTATGCTGTGTGGCACTTTTGAGTAAAAGTATTTATCATGACTTCTTGTCTGCCTCTTGTGTTCTTTACAAATATAAAAACATTGCTTTGTATTTATAACAGCATTATAAATATATAATATACATATAAAATATGTATTTTACATACCTGAATAAACATATTTATACATTATTTCTTGATAATCTTTCCTTGGAGAAACAATTTCATGATATTTGTTCCTGTGGATATCTTCCTTCCGGAATTCAGGATTATGATGTTCTTTGAAATAGTTTTCTCTGTTTCCTACAGAGCTGACGGGTTTTACTGATCTGTTAAAATAATTGCTATATACTATAACCAGGAATAATTTCACATATTTATATTTACAAAATTACAACAATCAATAAAATAGTGAAAAAAATTGCATAATGATATTATCAAGTGTTTAAATTTAATAAATTGCTCAAAATGTTTTAGCTTTACTTTTTAAATAACAGCTGGCATACTAAATATCAAAAATAGCTGGTCCATTTTTCAAATAATAAATAAAAAATGTTTGTTGTTATTGTTGTTGTTATTTAAATAATAAAATTGCATGTTGTTATACACAAAGTTTTGTAGAATAAATGTATTTATTTTATTTTATTTTTTCCAGCCTGTAAATTTAAACCAATCCTTACATTTTTCTATTAAATATGTTCTTTCTTATTTTTTCTTGTTAAAAAAATAGTAGAGATAACATAGATTACAGTATTAATTTGGTTTTCTTTGATTTTTAAATCTGAGAAGTATATTTTTTATCTCCTATCTCAACTAGTCAGTGACAATTATTGCATATGATTATTTGGAGATCGTGAGATGCGGTCTGATGTGACATAGGTTTAGAAAAACATTTGCTTTATCGTGCCAATATTTCAATCTTTATTGAGATCATCTTCAGGGCTCGAAGTGTTTGTTTTCCGTGTAGCTGTGTCATTATTGTGTATCGTGTTGAGAGAGGCCCCTCTACACAGAAAACAAACACTTTGAGCCATTAAGATGATGTCAATAAAAATCAAACATGGCATGATAAAGAAAATGTTTTTCTAAACCTATGTCACATCTGACCGCATCTCATAATTTCCAAATAATCATTAACTAACAGTCACACTAAACATCATTATTGCATATGTTTGAATAAAATGTCTTATTTGAAACTTATTGCTAAATTTTTAAATATTTTATTCCTTTGGTTCAATTTTTTCAACATGTATATTACATAAAATTAATATTCAGTGAATAAACTGAACAGTGTCAAGTGCTAAAGCATTTAAAATTAAGCTCCAGCATGTTTACTTATTATTTAGCAAATAATCTTATTACAAAAACAAAACAATGATTGATGGTAACATATAAATAATTATATACAATTCTGGGTGAAAAATCTGTAAGAAGAAGAAACCATAATCTTAAGGATTGTGTATTGTTAACTAAATAAATTATTTATACATGTTATTAACAAATGGTTAGTTATTAAACTCACCTAAAACTTTACAACTTATTACATTTTATGTTTTATTACATACATTAATTATGCAATCATAAATCGGTTGGAAATCATTGGATAATTGACAATTTGTAGGATTAATGTCTATTTTCATACTGTATCATCAGGATGCTGATTTCCTAAAATAAATTTGGTGCTGAGTTGGATGTTAAGGCAATGAATTGCGTCTTGGCCCATTACAGTGATGGAAACTGCACTCGATCTCTCATCCTTACATAAAGGTGGCTTTTGAGAGTGCAAATGGACTCCTGAGTTTCAAAGAAATAAAACTAGATCTAAGGAGAAAAATCACAAAACTCTGGAGAAAATTAAAATGAGATGGTTAAACAGCGCCTGACAAACTGAGTGGAAAGCTCAATTTTTCTGAGTGGCCTTAACAGAGATCTTTGGAAGAAAGCAGCCCCATATTTAAGAAAGGTACACTGATGAAAGATGGAACATGGCTAATAGAGTAAAGGAGCAGAATTACATCCTAGCAAAACCCCAGGTTTCAACACTCTTCCAAGTCTATGCATTCCAACTCTCGAAGAGGTGATAAAGAAAAAAATGGTAGGTACACAGATCTACATTTGCTTTCAGCTCCAAACTAGTCTCCAAACCTAACTTGCTTAATGGCCATAGCCTATAGGAAAACACATATTACCTTGAAGTTGATTTTGGAACATGAGGTATATATGGAAGGAAATGAAAAGGCAGGCCAACTAGTCAAAAAAGTGGCAGTCTTCTCCCTTTGAGTCCAGAACTGCAATTAGGTGCAACACAGTTGGAACTGGCAAAATGCTTTGAGAAAGAAAAATTCAAACACTAGACAAAAATGCCAGATGTTGAAGCAAACTAAATGAAAAAGTATTGTGGAAAGTGCGTAATATTATAAGAAAAAGTCCTGTTTTAAAGATTTGGTTACAATTTTAAGGGTCCCACAATATACCCACATAGGTCTCAATAGAAAAAAGGTTTGGAATCCTTATTTGGTCTCCTTATTATGGTCACATCTTTGGACAGTCATGCAGCTATAAAATCATTAAATGCATGTGCTTTTAGCTTCAAACTAGTCTGGGATTGCCTAAATTGCCCACACCCTTAGGACCAGTACGTTAACTATGCACACCACAGAGTGTGCTAAAGATGGAGCTGGAAAAATGGCTCGATAAAGAAAAGCTCAAAAAAAGAAAGAGGAACTCGTCTTTCTCCCTCAGCAGAGACCGACAAGAGAAAAACTATAGGCCAATGCTCTCTTAGCTACCAACTGAAGAAGATGGGCAAAGCCGATAGAAACGCGTTGACTGTCAAGAAAAACTAAAGACATCAGCACATATCCTCTTTGGATATAAGGCCACAGCCCGTATACTGTAGAGCTACTTCGGTAAGACAGTTCTCTCCTCAGACACCAAAGAAAGTGCTTGTTTTGTGCTAAAAAGCATGTTTTCCACGATAAAGTCTTTTCACAGGGTTTCCACAATAGTCCTACATAGGTCTCTAGGTCATAGTCGAGTTTGGAGCCAATAAAATATAATCTTGCAAAATCATTCATGCAAGACATACACAGCGCATATGTAAACCAGTTTATTAGAATTTATTTGTTTTTGTATTAGTGAGAGAATTCTGGTAATACATGTGTCTTCCACTCTTAAAAATAATTAATATTGTAATAATTTATTGAAAAATTTTCAATTCTAATTTTATAAGCCTTATAAATTTTAATTAACTTAATTAGCTTCAGCAATGAAAATCATTTTGACTCAGTTATAACTTATAATCAATATATGCCATGCACATTTATTTAAATATACATTGTTACATACATATACATTGTTAAAAGGATCAGTAAATTTTTCTCATGCTGTAAATTGTACAGTTAGATTGTACAGTTTAAAATTAATATATTTTCATGCATTAATTATTTAAAAATGATAAATTGAATTGTTTATAATTGAAATAATTCATTAATAGCTTGAAAGCTTAAATTAGTAACAATGAAACATAGATGTGGTAGTATAAATATAACAATTTTTTTGTTAAATTATTAACTCTTATTATTATGACACTCAACATGACAGACAAGAATGACACATCTACACGGAAAACAAACACTTTGAGCCCTGAAGATGATCTTAATAAAGAGCAAAGTGTTTGGCATGATAAAGAAAATGTTTTTCTAAAACCTACGTCACACCAGACCGCATCTCACGACCTCCAAATAATCATTATTATTAACCTGTTTCTATGTTGATATTATAATGACAATAATGTAAATTATAACATCCATATAATAAAACTGTATGTTTGTGTCAAATAATTAACTTTATCTTTCTTTATTGTAGAATGTAAAATATATAAATAACACACATGTGGTTTATTTAAAATTTATATAAAAGTATAAAACTCAGCATTAGAATGTTTCAAAATTTTCAGCTTTGATTAATTTTGGTTTTTGGAATTTCTGGCTGGCTTTAATGGGAGCTACAAAATTTCTGAATTTATCCTTGAAGTTTATATGTAATATCTAAGATCTAAGGTCTAAGATAAACCAGACTAGTTCAGTTTTAATAACATGCTGATGCTTATTTGTTGTTTTTTGCAAGTAATTGCAAGTAATTAAAGACACTGTGATTTGATCAATTAATAATAAAAAAATTGTCTACCTAATCTTTCTTAACTGATTATCATCTAAGTTTTTTAATTATTTGTCAATATTTTGTCTCTCAGAAAAACCCAAGAGTCTATCATACACAAAAATAAAACATTTCCAATTTATTTACAATTACATTATATATAGATAATTATTTCAATAAAAATTAAACTGGCGAACTCGACTGCACTTGGTCTGCTTTGTTTTGAAGGCTTCAGTTTAAAAATTGGGAATTTGAAGGTGGTGATTCGTCAGGTCAAAGTCACTGAAATGTCTCAGCAAATATCTTTTTTCTTCTATGCCTTTGCATTTTCTTTCTTGAGGTTTTTTTCTCATTTATCTGTTCTCTTGATACAATACCTTTCTTCATAATTTACTTCGATACTTTTCTGTAAATTTTCAAGTTTCATGGATTCGTATAGCGATGTCCTATGTTGTTAATTGTTAGCAATATCCACAGAGAAAAAAGGTTGATTTAATATTTATGTCTTTGCAAAAATACCTAAGCATATATTGTTAAATAACAGATTTTTAACCTAAAATTTGTTTTATATGTTCTGAAAAAAAGAAAAAGAAAAAAGTAAAATTTGTTTAGTTATTCATATTCACTTGTGTTGAGTGAAATATGCATTATTAATATAATTTTATTTTTCCGAAATGATTTTCATGTCCCTCACAATTTCAGAAATTAGATCACTGGACAAGGATATTTTCAACTCCCAGGACGGTTTTTTTGTATTAAAGTCTGATATTACGTATCAAGCATTTTATTAGCTTAGTTTTTAAACTTGCTTTATTAATTACCACTCCGCAATTAATAAAACTAAAATCAAAGAATTTATGAAAAAAGGCTTTTTTGGCTTCAAAAGGTTTTGATTTTTAAAAATATTCAAAAATGTACGATACAATATACAAAATTTCACCCCTCACTTTTTTGGTGTTTCATGTTTTTTGCTTAAAAAAGGAACTGCAAAAGTTCTAAATTTTTTAATAATATTAGAATATAATTTAAAAAGTAAAAAATAATTTAGAAAAAGGAAAGCGAAACTTTCTCAAATATTACAAATTATAAATTATTTATTTATTTTTATTATTCAGACTTTTGCGTCATACTCGCAATTTTTTCATTCAATATTTCCTATAACAAAATTTCTATTTAGGAGCACAATGCTAAGACTAACTTAGAAAGTTTGTCTTTCCATAAGAATTGAATCATAAAATTGATTATTTACAATTCAGACTTCAAGTTCACAATTTCTTCGTTGTATGTTTTTTCTCTAGAAATTTTTTTTATAATCAATTACACTACTTATATTAAAACATAAATCAATTCTGAAAAAGTTACTTTCACCAGCAGAAAACGGCAGATTTTTCCATGAGACTTGAATATTAGAAAATTAATTATTCAGACTTCTTCTCCACAAAAGTTGTACTCTTAAATAAACAATCTCTTCTGTTTTATTTAACAGCTTGAATATAATTTAAACGAAAAAATCCATTTTAACTTTTTAAAAAGTGACTTTCACCAACTGCAAAGTAAATATTTTTCCATGTTTTGAGAGTTTTGAATCTTAGAAAATTGTTCAGACTTCTCCACAAATGTTTTCTTCTTAAAAAAATCAAACTCTTCTAAAAATTGTTTAAATATTTTCAAATAATGAAAATAAAAAATCCATTTATCAATCCAAGTTCTTTTCACCATAAAAGGTAGATTTTTCTGTATTTTCAAAGCGTTCACTATATTAAAAATTCCTTCTTGGATTAAAAAAAAAAATCTTGTACTGAAATATAACTGCATAGTTTTGCTGTGCGCTCGATTGACGATCTTGCAATTATGTTGAATGAATTTTTTCCTATTGATTATGTTTAAAAACTAAACAAAACAAAAATAGAGAATAGGACAGGACCAAAATTATAGGATAGAATGTGAAAAAAAAAATAGATTGAGTATTTAAAAAGGATTAGAGTACATGCCTAAGGCCTTAAATGGAAAAAAATGACCCCAAACTGGCGATTCTCTTGATCCGCATTAGTTTAAACAATTGCAGCATTAAAATTAAATATATAGGAAATATTTGACTTTTTTACCTTTTCATGGTATTTTGTTCAACGGAATTCTTGGAAAACCGAAAAAAATTGTTTTGTGCAAAATTACAGAAAACTCGACTGGCTGATCCACTGCCTTTTTTAGATTTGTAGGTTTTTTTATTTTGGAATTAAGAAAAAAACAAAAGAGTAAAGGGTTTTTGTTTTGAATTAAAATAGTTGTTTTGGTGGTTTTTTGGAATCATGGGAGATATCTTTTGATGTGGTTGGTTTGTGTTTTAAAATCCTTTTGTTTTATTATTAAATTAGGACTAAGTTGTTTGTTTTTTGTTCTTTCTGTGTTGTCTAGAGTTTTTACATTTGAACAGTCAAATTTTGAAAGGTAAAAATTAGAGGCGGTTTCTGCAGGCTTTTGTGGTCAAATCGATACCCTCTAATCTGGATCGATGCTTTTGACGACCAGATGACAAAATGGCGGCGACCAATTGGAGTTGCTTTTGATTTGATCACTCGTCCAGGCTCGGGTCAAAAGTGGCAGCAGTTCAGTCGGGGCTCGGTTCCATTGTGCGCCAGGAGATGGGTGAAGCCGGCTCGGCGGATTAAGAAAGATCGGCGGTCAGCTATGCGATTGGGCCATGGACAGGAACCAGTCGGGACAAGACGGCGACGTCCGCGAGGAGATACGCGCTCCGTCTCTGCCCCAGCTATCGTCCTGCCTCAGAAGCAGGAACAGCGCGAGGCGGCAGCAGCTCAAGACGAGGAGCGTCTCCTTCCCGAAGGACGAGAGCAGGATCGTCACCGGGTACTTCGAGCCCGTCAATCCCTGGAGCTACGGTCAGTCCTACCACCTAGCCACGTCTCGCATCAAAACACCCCAAAAACAAACAAAAAAACACCAACCACTCAAAAAACCACCCCAAAAGCTCTCAAAAATACACTTTTAGCAATAAAAATAAACTCAATATATTCAAAGGCTTATCGTTCACTTGTACCAGGCCTGTTTGTCCTGCCTAGGTTTTAAATCAATAACAAAAACAAACAATCCCCCTCCTTTTTATTTTTTGGTCCTTCAATAATAACAGATGTCCAAAAGTGAATAGGTGAGACGTAACAACCTCTCGGTTGAGAATTTCCAATGAAACCGGCACACCTTTGTGTGACCTAATTGGTGTTGTCGCATGACAAATTGGTCGTTGGATTTGCGCCAAGGCAGCTTCTTGTGGGTGCGAATGATCTCTGGGTACGTGCAATTTGGACGACTGTCAGATCTCGTTTGCTCTTGACAAAGAAGAGAAAAAGGTTAAAAGCCATTTTGAAAATTTTATGTCGTCTGGTCTGGCACAATTACAAAATAGTTCATAGGATTTGTGCATGACATGTTGCTCTTAACTGGTGATAATGGACTCTTGGTACGTCCAAATTGGATAACTGACTAATCTCATTTGCTCTGGACAATGACAATAAAAAAAGGTTCAAAATCCTCTTTCAAATTTTTTGTCTAGTCTGGTCTGGAACAATTACAAAATAGTTTGTAGAATTTGTGCATGACATGGTGGCTCTTAACCGGCGATAACAAAATTTGGTATGTCCAAATTGGATGACTGACAGATCTCATTTGCTCTGGACAATGACAACAAAAGGTTCAAAATCCTCTTTCAAATTTTTTGTTTGGTCGGTATGGAACAGTTATGAAATAGTTTGAGGATTTGTGCATGACATGGTGGCTCTTAACCAGTTATAATGAAATTTGGTATGTCCAAGTTGGATGACTGACATATTGTTTGTTCTTGACAAAGAAGAGAAAAAGGTTCAATTTGGATGACTGACAGGTTTTGTTTGCTCTGGACAAAAGCCATAAAATGGCAGTTACATGAAAATTTCAGTATTAAGTAGTGCATATAACATTTGTATTAAACAATATATTTCATATCAACACTAAACATTTATATTAAAAATTTGTTCATTGGGTTTTGACTGTTAATAACCAGTGTGAAGAATCTCCTGGCACATGCCGTTTAGACGACTGACAGGTCTATTTTATTATGAACAAAGATGATAAAACAATTAATTACATGAAACTTTCAGTATGAAAATTTATGTAGCATATGAAAATTTGTTCATTGGGTTTTGTTCTTAACCCAAGTATAGTATATCTGCTGGTACATGATAATAATGATGATGGTGGATATAATGAAGTCGGAGTTTTATGTTTCCCGAACAGTGCAGACTTCTGGCTTCATTTTCAGTGGGGCTTGACTTTCATTTTTTCTGTGTAAAGTGCTGCATATGACATATTACAAAATTTTTCATTTGCTCTAACAATGGCCTTAAAATAGTTGTCATTTTTAATATTTTAGCGTATGTAATGGATATCCTCAGCTGTAGAAAACAAACAATATTGCTCAGTATATTTCTGGATGTTACAAAAGCATTCGACCGAGTATTTCCTCAATGTATACTTATTTTCTACAGATAGCAAGAAATAAAATAAATTGAAAAAAAAAAATAAATAAAAGTACGCTTTGTCAATAGAAAACATTACAGAATTAAACATTGGGTTTTGTGTTGGCCAAAAGATCATTTGTATAACCATCAATTTTCTGTGATGCCAATGATCTTTTGGTTCTTGTGATTTCGACAACTGATATATTTTGATTCTGCACAATGACAGAAAATAATTTAAACCATTTTTGTCTTACATAGAGAAAGTATTATACATATAATTATGAAAAATTGGTTATCCCTTTTGCACATCATGACATCTACCTGCTTGATACATTAAGTTTCTATACCTGACAGATTTTGCCTACTCTACACAAAAATTTTATTCGTCAACCTTTACAGGAAAACTCCAGTCTTGCTTATATGGATATTCGTTTTGTCAACCCGGATCGACAGATTATTTTACTATCTAATGATGAAACTGAGGTACAAGGTCCTCCATAACCATTTACAGATTTTTGCACCCCCTCAAATTTTTATTATACAAATCGTTTTTCCTGGTTGTAAACATTTATCAGCATTATCATGTTTATTCTCCGATATGGAGGTCTGCTATCACTTCCCATTTGACATGTGAACTTCCTGCGACAGAACTTAAGGTGCAAGGTCCTGCAGAACCAACAGGTTCTTTTCTAACACCCTCTACTCAATTTTTATAAAATTGTCATTTTTCTTAGTTTTTTAATTATAATTAACCAAGAAGACAACTAATCTTGTAGTTTCTACACAATGTACAAAAAGTGTTTTCAAGTTTTTTTGACCAGAACTTTTTATATATTTACTATTTATGACAAGCAATAATGATCTATTGTTGCTTAGTTTTCTAGTTTTTTAAATCAGTTGTTTTGTCTAATCTGGTTTCAGTCACAGATCCCTAAGTCTTATTTATTTATAATAATTATTAGTTTATTTTGTTTTATTATAAACTGCTCTTAGGGTTTGCACTAGCTGACAAAACTCCGGTCAACAACTCCAAAGAAAATACTTGCACTTCCCATTATTTTTTTTTCAACTTTAGTTTATTAAGAATTGCTCTTTGGATTTGGGCCAAGGTGGCAGGTGTGAATGTTCTCTTGAAACTCTGGGAAAACTGACATATCTCGATTCTTTGGGCAATGACTTTAAATTTCAATTAACAAATGATTTTTTAAATAACTGACCTTTTTTTTTCTAAAACAGTGTATCATTTATTATTTGTCTACTTTCTTCTGTAATAACTGACAATTTAATATTGTGTTCAATTTTTAAATCTGAAAACTTATCTAAAAACTGTTCTTATTTATCTTATCTTATTACAAAATGATCATTCCTTTTTCATGCAAAGGCGGCTTCTGACAAGTGCAAATAGTCATCTACAATTTGGAAAAACTATTATATATTATGTATGATATAATTAGTAATAATTTCGACTAAATTATTTTTGCAAATAACAAAAATTGTAGACATTTCATGAGTGAAATAACTGCAATTATTTTGCACTTTGAAAATATGATTTCAATATTTTATCTTCAAATTTTAACTAAAGTAATTAATATTAAATTTGTTTTATTTTTTCTCTTTCTTTTGCCATATGATTTTGTCTTGAAAGTTGTCAACATTTATTTTCTTCGTCACATATTTAAATTTCCACCAGTTTTTGTTCAGACCCATCTACGGAAGTTGAACAAATAGGACATTGGGCATATGCCAAAGGTGTTTCTCATGCATATAGCAATTAAATAAAGCCTAATCATGACAAAAAAAGACCATTTTTTTATGTGTACAGATTGCATTAAAAAAAAATCAGATAATCTTGTTTGTTTTCATTTTTTATAGTAATATTGCAGAAATTATTCTTTAGCAAATTTTAAGATTTTTAAAATCTAGATTAATCCCACCCTTAATGGCAAAAACTAATTATTTTTATTATAAATTATTAATTTATTTGTGTTTATTCATTTCAGTCTGTTTTGTTTCAACTTTTCAGTTTAACTATCCTTTTTCATCTAAAAAAAAATTTCTTAGCCATTGGACAGGTTTTTAAAATATAGGCATAATTTTTTTATATATGTAGTAATAGCAAATAAATTTAGGTTTGAATTATTAGTGGTATATAAGATGGGCAGTTAAAGAAAATAGTTATTAGTAGTCCAGTTAAAAAATTATTTTATTTGCCTTTTTTTAAATTTAGGTTTTTGAATCTTGCTTTTTGAATTAATATTCAAATGTTTTCATTCCTTTTGTAAAGAGTCAATTGAGAACTTTTATTATGTGGAAGATATTGAGATAGGATGAACAGTTCTTGAGATAACAGATGAAAATATTTGGCTTGTCCCAACGTTCGTGATTTTTTTCTCTCTTTTTCAAGAATAGTAGGCTGTTTGTTTAAATTTTCAGTTCAGAAACTTTTAATTTCATATGAAAAGAAAAAAATCTTTTGAAAATTTTGTAAATAACGTTTAAAGTGTTTTAAAGAACATAAATTCCATTCCTTTGCTTATATTTGATATAATTAATATTTTTTGCATGATAAATTGACTTTCTTTGCATTAGACGATTATAATTTGTAACAAAACCAAACAAATATAAATAATAATCTACTTATTTTAATTTCTTAACCAGTCCATTATACCCTTGTGAAACACGAATTCTTTTGTTCGGCTTCAAAAAATAAGACACTTGTGATTTTGTAATAGAAATTACATCTGTCGATGTATTTTTAAACGCTTCCCTTTAGCCAATTTGACAGTCATTTCTCCAATTTTCTCATCTCTCATTGAAAATGACAGACAGACCTATGTGTATTCCTGCCGTGCCCGATAATTTGTTCCAGCTCATCTTCCACCTTTGAATCATTGGAGAAAAAAATAAACGTTTGTTCTTTTGTAGGTGCAGTCACAATAATTCCTTAAACTTTGATTTCCAGCAAAATTGATTTCCTTTCATTCTATGAAAATTTTAAAAGATAAATCATGTCTTGTTATGATTAGTGATAGTTAATACCCTTATGAAATCTACTTGTCAATGTTTTCATAATGCGATTTACTACATGTGTGTTCCTTTCAATAAATCAACTTTTTAGGCTTTTTTAAAATTTTGTTTTTGTATAAGACCTTGAAATGACTATCTACTCTAACCAGTATTATTAATTGTTTCTCAAAGAAGCACTGAAATTTTGTTTAAAATAATGTCACAATATTGAAATAACAGAAATTAGAGTATGCCAGCAATTTACTGTAAATAACAAAAACTGGAATGGTCTATGAGAAACAAATAGGCTCAACTTGGCACATGTTTGTATGTATGTACATGTGCTGATTCGAGCCTATATAAATCCAAATCCAAAAATTATAACAACACAAATTTTATTTCAGTTTTGGTCAGTATTAACTAATTTTCCTATTATTTTTTTTTAAATAAAATTAAAACATTACAACTTTTCATTAATGATTCTTATCAGATTAGAATAGACATGGGGCTTCATTTAAGTCAAATTTGACAATTTCTAAAGTGACAGAAGAAATTTTTCTAGACTACAAATATTCAAGAATATAAAATCATGAATAAAGGACATATAAATATTATTTGTTTTCTAATAGTTCGATTAAACTATAACTCAATAAGTAATTATATAAATCTTTATACAAAAATCTGTCAAATTTCACTGTCCTTGGTCCATCCTCTTTATGTATATAATAGCACGCATTAATGAAAAGCTATATGCAGAATCTGAATTAATGTTACACCGCATGTTACATAATAATTAAATTAGGTTACTGTTATCATCGCATTTATCTCTTAGGTCAAATTTGAATTCTCTAAGTAAAGTAGTGTGTACACAACGTTGAGAATTAATACATTTAAAATTACACCTTTTTTTTTTCTAGTACTACTCGCCAGAATTGTTTTATATTTGATACGTCCTTCAGGTTAAAAGTTTCAACCAAACTGTGGGACGTGATGGAACATTTTCAGCAGTTTGATCATTATTAATTACATCAAAATGTTTTCCAACCTGTTTCTGTACAAACTTTAAAAAGTTTATTAATTTATCTCATAATTTGATATTCACATTTTTTGAATTTTTTTACATTAATTTAGTTTTAACTGACATTATAAAGAATTGGAAGTTCATTAAACTTATTAATTTTATGCAGTTCTTAATATTAAAATAATATATATTTATTAACTTTTTTAAATGTTCTGCAAGATTGAATTTTAATGTTCTTATTTGTCTTTTGCGTGTTTTCTTCAGAAGCACATGTTTATTATTCAGATTTGTTTATTCCAGGGCACAGACTGACAAGACTCTGCACTGCCCTTGAGCCGATCTAATTGTCATTCCTCCAATAATGAAAAAAATATTGCCTCAGGAATAAATTAAAACTACGATCTTTGATAAACAGTCTCAATCGAAAAATCACCGCTTGAACTCTTACAAGACAGACGTCCGCTTAGATTTGAAGGCTGAAAAGGTTAATTAATAGAAGTAATTTGGATCAGGCTGTTACTCGCTCTGACCTTGCCAGCCGAAGACAAAAGAGAATGAGTGTAATGTTTGAGCAAAATGCATTTAAGAAATGAATGAGTCGGCCCTGTGACAATTGATCATTCTTTTTTACTGCTTTAGCAGACATAAATTACTCATTGCAGGCACTATTGCCCCTCGAGCAACTCCCTTTTCTGAGAGTTTGAATCTTCTCCATTTCTCCAATAATTTTTAGTCTTTATAAGTTTTGATAAATCAAAATACATATAGCTTTTTAAATAAACCTTAAATGTCAACAAAATGTTACAGACAAACTTAGGAACACAGATAGTAATCAAAAGTTCTGTTAATTAGTTCTTTCTAATATTTCATCATTATTGTAATAGTTTCTCCTTTAGTTCAAAGGGACAAATTAGGTTTTATTATTTATCAGAGAAATTACAGAAAAAGAACACTCTCAGAACTTAATTTTGCATGTGATGACCCCAGGGTCATTTTGTTACTATTTTCATATCTTTTCTTGAATATAAAATATGGATGTTTAGTCTTTTTTTTTATATATATTTTTTTTTACCTTGTGTTTCCAAATTAGTCATGCAAATACACACATGCCGAGAGGACGCCGCCGATCTGGCCGCAACCTATGAGCAGGGAGAGAGGGCAGATTTACCTGTTTATTTCCTTTAGTAATATTGTTTTGAATTTTCATTGTGTAGGTATTTTTGGAGGTTAAATACCATTTATTTTGAAGCAGTCATGAAAAAATCCATATTTCCAAGACCCTCAGAGCTAAACGTGCTCAAGAAGTCTGACCTCCCACACTATTGGTCAACTATCTAATTTTTAATCATTTAAAAACCAAATCTGCCACTAAAAGCCACAACTAACTAGGATTAATAAGAAATTTTGCTTGCTTTTTTATTTTCTTGCGTTTTAATCCTTCTAATTTCTTTTAATGTTTTCTAGTCAGAGGTAATGCGTAGCAGGTAGCAGTCTTTTCTTTATCCTATTGCTAGCTTCTCTGCACCTCATGGCCTCATCAATTAAATATAAAATAACACATAGAAATTATGAATGGTGGAGTGAGTGCGGTGTTCAATCCTTTTTTAAAATATAGTTCCTACTCACAATAAGAAGATTAGGAACTATCTTTTTAAAAAGGATTAAAATAACACATACACAAAAACATAATAAATAAAACAATAGTTTGGTTAGCATTCACTCTACCCCAGAGTACATGAGATTCCTCAGGGTAATTGGGGATCATACTAATAAGTTACATTCATACACCACGATTCATTCGCACTACCCCAATGTAGTCTATATTCCTCACAGTAATTAGGGATAAGCCCTTTCATGCTAATAAATTACATTCACACTACCCCAGACTACTCGATATTCCTCGGGGTAGTTAGGGGACAAGCCCCTCCATTCACACAAATAAATACATTAATTCCAATAAATAAAACATCACATAAAAGGTACAAAGATCTATATACAATTAAAAATATTTATAGCACTGAGATATTTGATCAGTGATCTGTGTGTCAAGGCCGCGCATAGGTCATTTGGGATGTCGTATTTCTTCCTTTGCAGTCTGTTATTAAGTACTCTACCATAATAAAATATTAATTAAACACTTTGGTTTGATTTTTAGTTTAAAATTATTTTTAAAAAATTTCCCATATTAAAGATTTATTCATTTAATAAATAAAACCAAGTGCATCAGTTTTTACCAACATATACAATCTATGATAAATAAACAGGTTTAATTTGTTCATGCAGTGTACATATATATTTTGTCGTATTATCCGTGGTTCACAATATAGATGAAGGGTTTTTGAAAAACAAATAAATCCATGGTTGTTTTTATTTTTGTGACGTTTTGGGTTATTGACCCACCTTCAGCAGCCCAAATGGGCTAATTCTTGCTTAGCACCCAAAGTCTTTCCTTCAAACAATTTTATTAATTAACCCATTTGGGCTGATGAAGATGGGTTAATAGCCCAAACATCGAACAAGTAAAAACATCATGGATTTCTTGGTTTTTTAAATACCCTGCATTAATATTTCTACAATCTAAGATAAACTATTAACCTCTTTACAATTTGTTCTTTTTATTTAATTAATTAATTGTTTTCCAGCTGAAAGTCCTACAAAGGAATCAATTCTAGTAAATTACATCAAATCATGTGAAAAACACGGAGTGAATCCGATCAGGAAGGTCCTGGATCAGCTTGAGGTAAACTTTGCTATTTAAATTTTTTTCCAAACAAATTGTCTTATGTATATTTCCTTGCAGGAGCTTCCTTATGGAGATGGAGGTGAGCGGTACGACTGCCTTGACCTTAAAGGTGAAGCCCTGTTAGTTGGGAGTTGTGAGGCTCTCGAGGAGGTCTTGAAAAGAGTTCAGTTTGACAAACTCAATCTTGAAGATTCAGAATTAGATGATGAGGTTAGTCATATGTATTAAACTATTTCATTAATTAAAAAAAAATTCTTATGAAAAAGAATTTCATTTGAATGTGTAGATATCCTTATTTGTTTTGTTATTTCTATTTATATAAAACCAGGCATCAGTCGCACTATTTGACATGATTGAATATTATGAGGCCGCAACTTACCTCAACATTTCAAACAATCATAACATCGGCCAAAGAGGCTGGCAAGCTTGTTCAAGGATGCTCAAACGAGTGAGTGCCCTGAGATAAATGCATTTTCTTATTCTTACCTATCCGACTTTTCCTTGATTTAGACAAAGTGTCTTGAGCATCTTGAAAGCAGGAACAACCCTTTGAACGAATCGTTAATACAATTTCTAAGCAGAGCATTACGACTCGGTACACAGCTGCAAGTTCTTAAATTAGAAAACTGTTCATTAACAGGAAGACCAATTGTCATTCTTGGTAATTCTTTTAATACCTTGTGTTGTATTGTTTAAAAAATCTGTTTAATTTATATTTTCTTTGAAGCTGCTGCATTAAAGCTAAATACAACTCTCAAAGAGCTTTATTTAGCTGAAAATGATTTGACTACAAATGACGCAACACAACTTTCCACTCTACTCAAGTGTAACGTTACTCTTCAGCTCCTTGATATCAGGTTATTTTTTGTTGTAATAATTTTTTTATAATGAATTTCAAAATTTTCTTTTTGTAATATTACTTGTGTTTTAGTAATAATTGCATAGCAGATATTGGCTTTGGACATTTATGTGATGCTATATGTGAGCAAACTGGGCCTGCGGGCCTAAGTATTCTAGTCCTTTGGAACAATCGTCTCAAGACGGCTTCTTCTCAGCACCTTAAAAGGGTTCTTGTACGTATTAAAAGAAATTAAAAAAATAAAATAACGTACAACAGAAAAATTTACTTACGTTATTTTATTTTTCTTAAAGACTTTAAACAGCACATTAGAAATGCTGAACATTGGCCATAATGATCTCAAAGACGAATTCCTCTATGAGATAAAAGAGGCTTTGGCTCAGAACAAAACTCTACTAAGGATTGGGATGCAGTCCACGCAGCTGAAGACCGAAGGGGCTGTCTCTTTGGCTCAGGTCATAGCTAGCAACCCAGTCTTACAGGTACACGATTAATATACTGTTATATACCATTAGCTTAAAATTTATCATTGTATATTCATAGATACAATGTACATAGCTCTAATGTATATTATGTTTATTAGAGAATAGATTTGAGGGATAATGATCTCCAAGTTGATGGACTTCTTGCACTCTCAGCTGCCATGAAAACAAACTCCAGTATTACACAATTAGATATAGATGACTGTCCAAAGACCAAACTCCAGGTAAATAAATGAATTTTTATGAATCCGTCAAAACAAAAAGTAAAAAAAAAAAACTTTGTTCCCAGGGCGATAACACTGACAAGTACATGAGCCTTGTTGAAGAAATGAGGACGTTCTGTTCTCGTAACGAGGCAGGTGGGGAAGAAGTGCTTCTACGAGCCAAACTTGGGACGGCGATAGCAGCCAGGAAGATCTCTCTGACCTGTGATACCTCATCGTTTACCAGATACCGAGTACCTGCACCGAGTTCACCCTTGGCTTCGACACTTCTCCAGGTTGAGACTGTGAGAAAAGGGGGTGGCCGGCTAAGATCACCAGCTCCTTCACCAATTCCTAGCCCTGTTGCAAGTCCTTCACCAACTCGAACCAGGTGAATTAGACATATTATGATCAATATAAATTTAAATAAATTATTTATAAGTGGGCGCTGATGCTCTATGTGCTTTTCACTAAGCAATAAGAGAACATTCAGAATGCATGCTTAACTACTTTTGTGTGGGGGAAGGTACGGTTTAAAAATCCAATAAACTGGAAAGATAGCATTCAGAAACATTTATTAACACATTGGACTGTAATTAAGATCACATCAGATTGTAATTAATCAATAGTCAAACAAGGCAAGTCAACCACAACTCTAACTTCGAGGTTAGGTTTATTTCCAAGAGGACTTATCTCAAATGATGCTTACCAACACCAGCTTCCACATCTTTCAGTGTCTTCCAGGATCTTCTTCCTGCAGCTTCCTAGACCCTCAACAGTCCTAGCTGGCTAAGTCCTCAATTGAATGGCTACTTGACTACTCTTGACTTAGTTCTTGGATTGACTCTGTCTTCTCCAGTTGTTGGTAGAGTACTCTCGCTGAGTACCTGATTGAGTGTGGCTGCTTGACTCTTCTGACTGTCCTCCAATAGTTGGAGTCCTCTTGCTGAGTTCCCGGATTGACAGTGTCCTCCGCTAAATTTAGTGTGTCCCACAACTTGATGAACTGTGTCTGCAACAACCTTCCCACACTAAATAACTCCTTGACTTTTGTTATTTATTGGGGTTATTGTTTGTCTCATTAATTGATTTCTAGGCTTGTGGGGAAATGTCTCTTTTCTCCCGACTGGGTACAACTCATCAGATTTATGGCTTTATTTCCGTAACATATGTTGGAAATTCCTTACACCTATGTTTTAATTTATATTAAAAACTATTCCTAACTTATGCTAAGAGAGGGACCTGCTTACATATTTATTTATGAGTTAAAACAATTTTTTTTAAATATGTAAAATATAATTATATAATACTCATATTATTATTATTATGGTAATAATTAATAAACAATAATTAATATTATATATACATGTTTTGGCTTATATTATTTTCAATTTTAGATTTCAAGTCTCAAAAGTGAGTGAGGACTCACCTCAAGAAAACAATGTATTTTTTGGAACATCAACCATCGCAGCGAACGCAAGCAGCATGAGGTCTAGGTTTAGAGTTACGACCGTAAGCGACACCGATGATGATTCACCACCAACTTCCGCCTCGGCCGCCCCACCTGTCCTCATCGTACGGCCAAGCCCTCCTGTGGTGCAGCCAGTGCTGCAGGATCCTGCCACAGCATCAGCGGATCCTGTGATAGATGACCAGGTGAAAAAGCAGGAGACGCCACCAAGAACAAGGAAGCTTTCTTCTTGGATGAACCCCATTTTCTCTGAGACGAGGGCGGCCACTGGGATCGAGAAGCTTTTGGGCATCTTCCAAAACCCATTTGGAACAGGTTATTATAATCTAATTAAGCTGTTTTTTTTTAATTTTTCAAAACAAACAAAATCAAATATTTATTTATATTTTGAGTAATTATTAGCCTAGTTGATTTTTTTAAATTATAATTTAATTGGTAATTCATGTAAATTGACAGAAGCATATTGAAATCATATAGAAAGGTCCTCCTTCCAAAAGTTGAACTTTAAAGCTCGATCTTTAAACAATGAATAAATTTAACAATAGAATTTATATCTTCTCAAATCAGAGATGTAACTCTTAAAAACCAAAAATAAAACATTTAATAATTTATTAAATAAAACCACAGCTGTACACAAATTCAACCATGTAACCAAAGTCAACAGTCCTCACACAAATGTAACATTTTATATGACATTTTCTTCTTTTTTTTTACTTTTTTTTCTCACTCACTGCTTACAGAAGATTCATTAATAATATATATGCATGTGTTTTTATAATTTCTCCGTGCGTACATATGAAGTATATAAACAGCAAAAATGAATAGGGATATTTGTAATTTATTCTTATTCTGTTAATTTTAATTAAATTAACCGATATATTCTTTGTTAGTTGGATAAAGCAAAATAGATAATACAAACTAAAAATAAATAAAAAATTGTTAATCCTCATTTTTATTTCATAAAGATTACTCATTTTGTAAAAAAATACCTATTCTCCAGTTTAATCCAGTTAAAGACATATTCTTGAACCAGAAGTTCTCAATATTATTGTGGGAATGAGTCTCTGTCTTCTATTGATGATGTCTTTCCATGGTTAAAGAGAATACAACTGGATTAAAATGGAGAAAAGGTGTTTGTTTACAAAATAAATAATCTTCTTGTTTACCATTCTTAAGTAAACCATTATTAAAAATGAGGGTTAACAATTTTTTTGTTTTTGGTTTGTATTTTCTATTCGACTTTATCAAACCAACAAGAATATATCGGTTAATTTAATTAAAATTATAGAAAAAGAATAAATTACAAATATTCCTATTCATTTTTGTGTAGTTTATTTTGTATGTATTCATTTTTGAAATTTTAGTATATATAATGTTCTTCCTTGATGATTCTTCTTGAAAACCCTTTAAAAACAGGAAATCAACAGAAGAAATTTAAGAGTGCTTAATGTATTCATACTTACCTTTCAATATTGTTTTCTATTGCTTACTCATTCAATTAATTACATAACCTCGTTTTTAATTAATTTCTAGCTTTCAATTAGTTTTATAATATCAATTAAATTTAACTTCTAATAATTTCGAGCCATCCTTTGTGGTTAGGAACAATTTCTCAATGTGACTGTAGACCCTCAAGCTTGTTTTTGTAGTAGATTTTATACTTTTTGTGTATATTAGGTTAATGTTTTGTTCTTTTCCTTTTTATACCCTTTCTAACCATTATTAGCAAAAATTATGGTGTTCTTATCATTTGAAAAAGAGAAAAAGCCATAATAACCAGATATAAACTAGCAAGGTTTGCAGTTAAAAGTGAGCATTGAGGATTTCTGTCTGGTCTGGTTTTGAAAGGCTCAAATATTCTCTAAAATAACAGAGTCTTTACTTTTTATCCTGAAACCCCATGAACATTTAATTTTTACGGGCCTTCTCTCGAGTTAGAAAGAGAAACGAGTAATAATTACTGTAATTTTTTAATTGAATAAATGACATATTCTTCTTCTTCGACAACTTCATCAGGATTCGAGAAATTCGAGTCTATCAAGGAGAGAAAAAATATCCCTTAAATAGTTGTCCCAATATGCGCTGCAGGGGTTAAGATTGGTGAACTCATTTCTAATAAATGAATATAAACCAGGTCGAGAAGGGATGGAAACAACTAATTCGGAGAGTGCGAACGGTGGCGGCAATGGTAATGAGGAACCCACTGGAGAGGGTGCCCCAAGCAGAGGAGCTACTTGGCCTCAGGCCGTAGTTAGATCTCTAGTAACTTCACCCGTTCAGTCACCACATTCAACTAGCGCTCCCTCCCTTACCGCTCTTGCTGTCATTCCTCCCACAGGTCAGTCTCCACTTTACACCTCTTCTAACACTGCACACCTAAATTACCTTCTAAACCTAAACATATATATGTATAGAATTTGCTTATTTGCTCCATTAAGTGGGAACAAAACGGTTACTTAAAAAAAAAAAAAAAAAATAGTATGATGCTGGTTCTAATTGTTGCTTGCTATTGTATTTATTTGGTGATAAACTCCTCTTCTTTTATGTTCGCCTTATGACCTTTTATTGGATGTTTTATGGTGGTGGTGCAGACATCCATAAAGTATCTTGCGCCTGATAATATTACCCTTTTTTCCTGAAGTAATTTAATTAGTAAATCTGTGCTTATTAATTTTTTTTATTATATTAGAATGCTCACCATTCCATGTATGTACATTTGTTTACAATTTATAATGGGTAACTAATAACTATTTGGTATTTGTAAATATTGTATGCTTATTTTGGTTTGAAAGATTAATATAGTGTTAACATATTTATTTTGCATTTAGTACATTATTACTAATTGGGTTTGTACTTCCTCAGATATATTATACAATTAGCCATTAGTCTACATTGATGTAATCAGTATATTTCTTAATTCTCTTTTTTTTTCTTTAATTTCCATGACTAACTCCAATACTAATCACAATTTTTGTTTTTGTTTAAACCATCAACCTTTGTTTATGGTAAAATAAATTAACAAAAATAAAATTATCTCATTATATATTGAGGGAGATAAGAAATATATATTCAATGCATTTTTGATGCATATTTTTAATTTTAGAATTTTTATTTGTTTTATTTTTCAATGACGGAAAACCATAATTTTCAGTAATATATGTTTTGCAGTTTTTAAATAAAATATAGGGTGTAAAAAAAATATTTTGTACACTTTTGCAAATCACAGATGATCAACTACAAATAATGTTGAAATCCTTGGTTCGGTAAGTACTGATTATTGCAAAAATCATTACTGGTTGAACTACTTCGTATATTCAAATTTATGTAGCAAAGATGCAGGTTCAAAACTAAATAGGTTGTAACAAAATTCTTTGCATTTTCTCTTGTTTTCTTTTGGTTATTATTTAAACTAGTGTTAAAGTGACTAGATCTGGAGTTATATTACATCTTAAACCATCTTTGCACCAGAAGTGCGATGATGATTGATCTTTATGTCTTGTTTATATTCAGCTATTATAACTTTTTTTATTAACCAAATTATGTGGCAACATCAGAAGTGAATGATTACTTCTCACCTCCATTTCGAAATCAATGCATGTTCAATGCTAAGCCTGTTTAATGTCTTTTATTTCCTTTAAACAATGGCCTAAATCTAGGCTATGAGTGGTTTATTCTTTGGTTTTAAGTCATATATCAAAATGTTGCCCATGTTCACTCTTATCCTCCCTCACCCAGAGGTTATACAATTTATGCTTTAATTTATTATTTTTATCAGTAGGATTCCATAATAGTCACTCATGAGTAAAATGTTCCAAACACATCAGGGTTCAATCATTGTTCCAATTCATCTGCATATTATTGAATATTATGCACGGTGAGTTATTTATTTACTTTTTATTGGGCATTTTTGAGGAAAACTCAGACATAAATTTTTATGTTTTGTATAGTTTCTCATGAATCAAAAAGTTTTGATTTAATTCACCAGAATAACAGGATACAGATAGGATTTTAATTGTGAAGAACCCTTGCAAAAAACAATTTTCGAACAGTTTTTTGGATAAATGACATTTTCTCCAACTTTTTCAATCAATCAGCAATTGGTCCACTTTTCCCAATGACAGAATCATCTCCACTTTTTCTTGTAATGTTCAAGACATTTTGATAATTTGGACAATAAGTTGAAGATCGAAAACTAAACTTATTGTGGATTTTAATATAAGTGTTAACCAGTAAAACATTACAATCTTTTTTTACGTTTGGTTTGTCAAACATTAGTTTCTTTAAGTTTGTATTTATGGACCGAAATTTGCACCAGGCTAAATTGCACTTTAATGAGCTATATCCAGAGAATCCTGTTAGTTGATGTTATTGAGAAAATTGGCCCGAAATTTTCTTTGAGTACCAGTTGCAGAAGGTTTTTTGCGAATAACTTGAGAATGATGGCTCCAAATTAAAAACTGTAGAATTCAGTATCAAAAAGTGTTTTGAAAAATGTACATTGATATAGTCAAGTTTCTATCCTTTATCCGTGATCGTGGAGAATCCGTATCCCATTAGTCTTATGTTGGCTAAAAGTATAGGTCTAATAGAAAGATATATTAAATTAAGCTAATAAATTTTTCTTTATTTTTTGGTTTTTAAACAAATAAGAAAAAATGCACAGGCATTTGTTACAACCTAACTTCACAATTATAATTGTACATTTTTTTAATATTTATTCTAAGGCTAATAATAAATTTATAATGCGCGTTATTAATATTGTCATGATATTTCAATTTGTCTTACAATGGGCGATCAGGTTGGTGGTGGGTCATGGATTTAAATCAAACTTTTTTGGTGATTCTACACTCAAAAATATCGGACATGTATCTGCTACTTCTTGTGAATAGGGCCCTGGTTTTGCTGAAAAAAATTGAAAGTTGAAATTTTCCATTTTTTAATATTTTTATTTCTCTGTTCGACTGACCAAAAAAATTTTTTTTCATGAAAGTAATATGAAATCTTTTTTTCACCTCAAAAGACCCATAAATATAAATTCCTGTTTGCATTTACATTAATTGATTTTTGACCTTTAAAATTTTACTGATTTTTGAGTTGTTGTCGGAATATCTGTTTGAAACGGCTATAATTCAAAAACGACTAAAAGGATTTTAATGACAACCATATTATTCGAAAGAAGAGGAACATAGCTTTTTAATGATATGTACCATAAAAATATATAAAATTTTTCTATAAGGCAATATGTAAAGTAATAAAATTATTTGTCAGAAATTAACTTTTTTTTCAAATGGGAATAATAGTCCAATTTTATTGTTTGATATAGTTATATCATGCACTTGGCAATTTGTTTAAAACGAATTATCAACCATGAAAATTGGTCCACTAGCTTTTGAGAAAAACCTGCACTTATAACTGTACCAATTAAAATCACTTTTTCTATTTAAAAAATGAAGTTAATTTCTGACAAATAATTGTGCAATTTTGTGTATTTTCTGTATGCTGTAAAATGATATATTCAAATAGTTGATACGAGCAACTAGAACAGACATAAAATATCAAAAATCAGAAAATTTCAACATTCAGAAATAATTTTGGTGAAACTAGGACCAGGCAACAAGAAATGGTTGATACGTGTCTGATATTTTGGAGCTTAGAATTAAAAAAAAAAAGTTTGATCCAAATCTATGACCAACCTGATTACCCCTTATTAGTTTTCCTAACTCATTCTATAAACAAAAAGTGTCTGTAATTTATAAATTCCTTTTCTTTCTTTAAGTGTTATTTTGTTTGAAAAATACTGTACTCATTTTACATTTGAATGTGAAGCATATTAATTATTTATTTTTACAAAAAAGTATTGACACATGACAGTTTTGTTATTATTTACTATTGCTATTATGTCAAAAGTAACAAGAGAACATAAGATGTCTTTTTTTTGTAAACCCTCAACGTTAAAGGCTGTGTTATCAAGAACTTAGTATGAAATGTACTAAATGATCATTACTGATCCAATTATTAACATAATTTAATTTTTTCAACCAATGTTTGGCGAGGAGGAAAGCATAATTTTGAGAATTTTATTTTATTAGTGACATGTTTGTTCAGTTTTAATCCTCACTATATGTCTGAGTAAAGTAACATCAATTGCCTGATGATGCACCTGATCGTCTATGATCAGGTTTCACAAACAAACTTTAGCCAAAAATATAAAAGTATTAAAATACATATCTTCGTAGAAAGTTCTTAGGGCACTCCATACTTGAAATGTGTCAATACTTTTTCCCTAATTTTAATTTATTTTTACTCACATATTTTTTCCAGTTAAATTATGCATATTAGAACCAAGTTCCTCTTTACATGCGAACTTTTTTGGACTTAACATTTTTAAAATTCTAATTTGTGTGTTTTCATTACATATATGTTTTTTCACCCCTATTCTTTAAATAATATTTATATAAATCCATGAATGAATATTTATAAGTTATACTTCATTTAATTATTTATTTTTTTAATGTTAGTGATATTTCAACTTGTACAAATTATATTAATAATATATTATATTCAAAAGAAAAAATTGGCAAACTCTTGAAACTAACTCTAAACTCTTATAATTTTATAGACATTGTTTTATCATTTTAATTAATTGAAAATCTTGTTAACAGATTATTGTTGCTACAAGGGGAAGTATAAATTTATTGTCTTAATGCTAAATTCAAGCACTGCTCAAAAGTAGATTAAATTTTAAAAAAATTGTATGATTATATAAAACAGCAACATGGTGTGTTTGCAACTTTTGCTTCAGCGGTTGATTGAAATGTGTATTAGAGTTAAATGCTTTTCAGTTTTAGTGGGGGAAAAAATAGTTTAATAAGTGAATAAAGCTTTGGCACTAGCGGATCACCTGGAATTTTATTATTTTGACTGTACAATTCGGTATGAAATGGTCAAGAAAGAAAATATGGCTTTTTTGGTGCAAAATTATGTCTATGCATTGTTATTAACGCCGTTTTATTATTTTGCAGGTTGAAATAGAGGTTTGACTGACATACCACGGACCAAGGTGCAAATCCTCAAAAGAATAAATATTTACAAAGGAACAACTTCACTTAGTTGAGAACACAAAAGAGTGGGAGATTTATTTTCTCATCGACTCAAAGGAGAAATGAGGGTAAACCCCCCAAATCCCTTAACATTTCACTTTATTTTCCTGGAGTTTTTGGTTTTTCCAACTCTATCTTTAAGGTTGTAAAAATACTTAATATTCGTATAAATGTATGTAAAAGTATTTTAGTTTATCAGTACGTAATGCAAGGCAAAGAGATTTATTACTATTTATAACGTGTAAAAGTTATAAACAAAAAATTAAGATATTAAAATATAAATGTAATTTATATATATTGATTACCTTTCTAAAAGGTAAAATTGTATATTGAACATATTGGGTTGATATTCCTAGATGTATTTGTTTTGGCCCGTTGAAAATGGCATTCATTTTCAAATTTCAACTGCCTTTTTTATACACTCTCTTTTGTGTTAAAGTTCATAAAATGAACTTTTCCTTTTCAAATTATAGAGTATTAAAACTTTATTTGTTCTTAATTTTAATTAGGGTATGTACATAAAAAAAATATTTTTTGAGTGATTTTATATGTGATAGCAACTGTACAATTATAATTCAAAGTGTTAGTAATTAACAGCGAGAAATTTATTAAACATAAAATAACAAAAAACACAGAGAGGTTTCATGTGTTCTTATTATTTTCTTTCTTCTTCTGCCTTGTCAAAAAAAAAAAAAATTGAAAAATATTTATTTTTATCAATGTACAATTTCTATATGATATAAATGTATATTCATAATTAAGAATTTTAGCATAGAGACTTTTAGAGTTTATAATACAAAAAAAAAACATGAAATCTTAAAGAGACTATATCAATATTTTTATTATAATGAGATGATATATTATTGATATATTCCTTTTAAAAAAATCCAAAAAAAATGTAGACTAGAATGTTTCCTTTAAAAAACATACATTCACTTTTTGGTGATTTGAACGTAAAAATAATAAAAATGAAATTATATTTTTACTTAATATGTTAAATGCATTGTAGTTTTGCCAGTTGATAATATTGATTTTTTTGAATATGGATCTTAGACGAATAAGCAAACTATTTTAGAGATATCACTAACAGTGTATTATCTATGGGGTAATGATGTTCTCCGTATTTCTTCTGTGAGGCAGACATTCGCATTGAAAGTTTTCTTTGCACTTGTACGTTCTCTGCCTTCCGCTGAGGGCACTGAAGGTGGGAAAAACTATTGAAAGAGAGAAAGAAAAAACCAGAGTGCCTACTAGACTTTCTGAATTATCTCACTATTTGTAACACCAGTATTTAAACTATTTTCATGGATGAAAATGTAGGCTGTCGTGTGACATTGATATTGCCTTCGAGTCTTTTTTGCACTGTTGGTTTATTTGTTAAACTTTTTTTTTAACACTGTTCTGATTGAGCATTATTTTAAGCTTCTTTTCTGAACACATTCCTAATGCAAAATTTTTTTTTTAATTAATAGTTTTTCGCAAATATACCTCTGGTTTTTTAGGCCAGTTTGCAAACTATTTTTCCGCCCACACTGGCTTACCTCAAAGAAATTTTTTGTTGATTAAATTAGTTAAATTTTACCCTAATAATACCAATTCATCTTAAATAAAGTACAAATGATATGCTCGTTACCAAATATTTTTCAGTTTAATTAAGCTAATTTTTTTCTTAATATTCAACATTTTCAGTTTAAATTGTAGTTCTAAGAAAACCATTCTTTTGTACCATACAAAGACTCAAAAAGACAAATTTTCAAAAGTCAAATAATGAATAAATATTCAAAATAAAAAGAGGGATTTTTTTTCTTTTTTAAATTTAAATTTTGAAGTAAAAATACTGTTAGATAAAAGGTCTTTCCAGATCATCTTTTTCCAAGACAATTCACTACTTATAAAAGAGAAGTATGGATCTCTTTGTAAAATAATCTTTTTCAACATGATCTTCAATTTTTTAAACTACTGTTAAGACCTTTTTTCTATTATATTAGCTTTTATTTTCTTCATGAGATATCAAGATAAATGATATTTTCAAACTGCATATAATTTAAAGCTTTGCTAGGTTTTCCCAGCAAACAAATCATTGTGAAAGTTGTGAACGATAAATTTCCTTGTGACAAAGAATTTTAAATTATCTCAATTAAGTAGATTTAATAAGGTAAATTTCATTTTCATCCCCTCTCACTCAAAAGTAAATTTGTATTCGCTCAAAGAGCTGGCAAAGCCTGAAAGCATAATTTTTCACGGTCACTGATTATTTTTTGGCCTTGACATCATTTAGCTCTTTTCACTTGCCTTTGAGAGTATTGACCTAATGGTTCTTGTTACCAATTGCTTTTATTATTATTATTATTATTATTAATAATGTCCTCCAGTCCTCCAAAAGTTCCACTTGCATTTTGCATTTCAGACCTTTCTGAATAAATTTGGTTCCATGTCTGTGGTCAATTCCTTGAAACCGGTAAAATTCTGAAACCAGACTGACCAAACTCTGACAAATTTTTATGAAATTTCCAGAGATTGTGTGGGTTGGTTTCTAGATCGTCCTTTATGAATTTTATTTCAAACGGATTAGCATATGCACATGCACAAAATGTGAGGAAGCACCCACTGGCAGGCTTGTTTTTTTAAGTCTTTGTTGCCGCCATTGTACAAGTGATTTATTTTTTGTTTTTTTTTTAACCAATTATTTCTTCCCCTGTGAAATCAAAAATTTATGTGGAATTGCTTTGTAAAAAAAATATATATATATTGTAAACTGAGTCCATCCAGAATATGTTTAGTCTCGAGTTAAATCAATTATTAAGATGTTTTAATTTTTAAGACAGAACTTTTATCTATATCCTGTTCATTCAATTTTAAGTCTCATCTCAATGTTTACTGTTGGGTAATTTTAGACAATCAAATTGAATTTTATATTTAAAAGTAAAGGAAAAGTTTTATTACGGGAGAGGTAAGGAATTATGCCTTTTTTGGACCGATTAATTGAACGCATGTTAGGATTAATTTCTTTGATTGAAATGTTAACATTGATAAAAAATGTACCCTGAAATGTTAATTATTACCTGAACTTTTCTTATTGAAATTATTTAAGGAAAAAAGATAATTATGCTTGATCAGAGAAACATGTACAAATTGTTTTGCGTTTATAGTCTATTTACTATGTTTTTGTTATTGTACATAATATTATATTTGTTACAAATTACAAAGAAGAAAGAAAAAAAATAGAGTAAAAAGAATTGTATTTTGTTACAACAGAATTACTTAATATATTAGTGTATGAAGTATTGTGTATTATAATAATGGTTTTATGTTTATGTGAGAGAAACTAATATTACTGTTGGTTCCATTGCTGCATGTTTGATATAAAAAGGGATAATATATGTTCAGTTAAAATAATAAAAAATAAATGTCATTTCTTAATAATCAAATAATAAAAAAAAAGGAACAAAAATGTGAACATACAAAAATATAAATAAGTATAAAGGGTCTATTTTGCCCTACTTTAATACTGTAATACTCTGAGATTTTCAAAATAAAAACAAAAATTAAACAAAGTTTTTGGTTTTGAATAATTCCCTTGAAAATATTGTAAACTGTTGTAGTAATTTGTGTTTGTAATTCTTCTTGTGTAAGGAAAATCAATTATTGAAGGATTTATGTGATTGAAACATGGTTGATTCGCCAAACTTGAAGTTTAGTTCGTGCATAGCAGAGGCTTGTCCACTTCATGGACACTCCCATGGCACTGCAGCTTGCACATAGAGTTTTCGTGGTCTTAGGGTGGTACAAGTCTAAGGAGGCCCTACCTATCTCATCTGTATGGACGCTTACTACAGAGGTATGCTGCCTCAGAAAACCAGTACCCAGTCTCGGGTTGGAGGGCATTTTGCACTCCAGTCTGAACCACTATGATCCAACCTGCTGATGCCTTATTAATAGTAAAAGTGTTATAAATGAATCTTGGCAGTGTCATTGTGCCAGTTGGTCTGAGAAGATCTTGCGCATCAAGAGTACAATTGAACGATGGCCCCCTGAGAGTTTAAAACAAAAGAAAGGGATCATTCTTCCTGTTTTAGTGTAGGCCTTAGTGTGATTGACCCACGTAACCTGCTTTTGGGGCAGACTCCACACAGTTGTCCTGCTTGTAAAGAAAGGTCGCTTACTTGGTTGATGAATACTAGACCTGGGCTACTTATAGGGAGTAAGTAGATATGGCACGCAATAAAATAACAGTCCTTGGGCATGAGAGATTGTTGCAGCCCTTTATCCAATTTTTAAGTGAAACAGGATATTCTATTTTAAATTTATACTTATAAGGTATAATTTATAAATGCAGAAACTATATTTTTGCCCAAATCTGTAGGAAAATGCTTGAGACAAAAATCATGGGAAAAAGGGTGGCATTGTGTTGGGTGAAAGGGCATGCAGGCTTATGGCAAAATGAAATGGTGGACGCACTTGCAAAGGAGGCTGCAACATCAGGTCCATCCCTTGACATTAAAATTCCTAAAGATGACGGGGAAAAACGTTTTGGGAAAGTTTTGTAGAAATCGGTGGCAAGAAAAATACAACACATCAAATGTCGGCAATTATTACATGTCACTGTTCCCTGAGCTCAAGAAAAAACCATGGTTTTCAGAAGGCGACAGCCCAGAAGGAATGTCAAAGGAGTTCTATTCTACTATTTTTGGACTGAAGACAAATCATGGCCTATGGGGTAGCTAAAAGAAGAGAATCGGTTTGGCATCGTCTCTGAACTGTCCCACTTGCGATTGCCCTTCAAATCCTTCCCACATAATTTTTGAATGTCCAGAATACGAAAATGAAAGAGATAAACTGCTAAAAAATCTAAGCAAAGTCCCAAACGTTTTCAAACCAATAAACTTATAATCTGTTCTAATAAGCAAAATCCATCAGCATTCAACATAATTTATGGATTTCTAAAGTCGATAAACGTTACTTTTTATCTTCAACCATGAAAATTTAGAAGATGATGGGGTGCGGGCGCGCGGCGGGGACCTGGTCCTGCTCGACAGTAAAGTGAAAATAGAAAACTTCATGGGTAATATGCCAGTGTAAACAAACAAACAAAAAGTATAATTATAATGTACTGTTTATTATTCAAGTTGTTTTAAAAAGGCATAAAATTCAAAGGAAATTAATTATCATTAAATAATAGGTTCATGTGCTTACTTATATCTTGTGAAGCCAATAAAGGCATTGCATTTGCATAAACTATAACTATTTGTGTATGCCAAGGTGTAAAATGTATCGAACAACCAAAACAAAAGGCGTTTCATCTTACCATTGAACAACGTACTTAAGAGAAAGAAGCCCTTGTAAAAAAAGTAAATATCACATTGCTAAAAGACCTGAATTATCCTGTGATGCTTTCATAGAAATATTTAGAAGATAAAGTGAGCAAGTAATGGAAGGTTCTCCAAGTCTCTGATTTAAAAATAAAGACATTGCAAGAAGAAATCAGAAGTTTGCTCTGCAGGCTCAGACAACTGAAAATAATGGTGTCAAGAATGATGAAATACTTTCTCTAAAGTAAAATAAACCCAGACACAACACAACCATTGAAACAGGTACACAAGACAAAATTAATTGACTCCAATACTTTTGGTAAGTAGTCTGCCTCAACCCCTCACTTTTGGCTACATTTACTAATTTCTCAGCCTTCTTTTACATTTCCGAGGATGGGAAAACAGATAGAGACTCAAGCTTGAAATAGTGAGAGGGTTATCAGCAGATCTCACACTTTAGAACACTTCGATAATTTAGCATTCTAGAGGAAAACATGTTTTCAGCCTCGCCAGCCAACTCACTTTCTGCTATTTCTAAAAGAAATGCCCATATGATTTCTTCAATTTTTTATTGGGAGACATCAGCCGATCATTCTGAAGGCAACCACACTAAACCCTTTGTGTATGCCAAGGTGTAAAATGTATTGAACAACCAAATCAAAAGGAGGCGTACATGGAAAATTTGAAATTTCATTTATATGACATCACATGGTCTAAAATGGCTCAGGGCATCATGAGCTGGCGGTTTTATCCATAGCTGAATGTTTCCACCAACTTACATAATATGCATCATCAATTATCTTAAATGAAGTCATCCTTTGGTGCCCCATCTTAAGGTAAGTTAATCTGTCCAGTGGTCAACTCGAATTGTGCGATTTTGGCGATTTCGCGAATGCAAGAAGAGAATGTACCATCTCACGATTTCTGAATAATCATCGACTAACGGCCACAAATCACCACACATTCTAAGCATACTTTACTTCATGCGACAAACTCGCTAAAGGCCCGTTTAACTATACTAGTTTTGTTTTCTCAATTTTCTTTTTGGGCATTAGTGAGAGTTCACTGATATAAAAGGCAAATCACATATGACTCCTTGGAGTTTGAAATATTCAAATTTCAAGTACTTGATTCCTGAGCGACTTGATTGTTAGATCATCAAGTTTTTGAGCCTGTGTTTGAATCCCATATTTGCCCATGAAATTTTCTGAACCTTCATTGACTACAGTGGAAAAAGTTGGAATGTTCCACAAGATTCTGCCAACAAAGGTGCAAAGGGGTTTTGCTTAAACCTGTATTTAATGAGAATTTTCGATTCCCACCTACAATGTTGGAATAATGATAAATCAGTGGACAAACGGAAAGTATTGATGGTCATGATCATTTTGAAGAAACAACTAATTTTATCTCTAACATAGGAAATCTTGCTCATTGCCTACATTTCTTTAATATTTTAAATTTTATTTGATATATTAATAAATAAATGCGTGACAGTTGCAAATAGACTGTTTATTAGCTTGTAAAATACAAGGCTAAGTATATTTATGCGAAGTACTTCAGAAATGTCTTCCAGTAAAATGCCTTTGGAGCAACTTGCAATAAATAAATTCTTCCTCAAGTGTCTCTGCGATTTGTTTTGTCGAGTTTTAATAAAAATTCCAACTCAAAGTCAAATAAATGTCCTAAATATTATTTAATCGGCTTCTTTTAAAATAAACCACCTGTTTTCTAAATCAAGCAGTTTTGTTAAAATCATGGCTATGTTTATTTTATTTTTTATTTGATTGATTATTACAATACAATTCTATAGTTCCAAAGCATAGAACTTTCAGCTCTGGTCATTCCATAGCCAATTATATAGGAGGGACAACAATGGGAAGTGAAGTAAGAAAATAGGATTCGTTCTCCGATTCCGAATCATCTTCCAACTCTTTGCAATAGTTGATCGTGATCATAGTGAAATAAAGCATGGCCACTACAAAACAAAAAATCCTATTATAAAATTTAAACTGTAATAATTGAATTTTATTTACACATCTGGATGAAGTAGTAGATCACACTAAAAATTAATATGAGCAATTTTTGATCCTTTGTGTAAAAGAAAGCTGCGAATGCAATTTCACCACAGCAGAGAGCAATATACACGATTACGCACAGTACCCAAATCATCGTCGTCCAGATGTTCAGAGTGTTCTAAAATCAATTATTTTTTGTTTAAATCGACCTTTATGATACGTAACACACAAAACATCTTACTCGACATGTGTTAATAAAAATCGCTAAACACAATAACAGCCATATAATGTAATAAAATGCAAATGTTACAAAAATATATTCTGAAACAAAAAACAGTACAATAACAAATTATTTGTTAAAGAACAATCTGACTTTCGTACCATTTTTCCTGTAATATATCATCATGAAAGCATCCTGAGGATGTAATTTTGGCCCAAACCAATAACGGCAAAATGAATTTATAATATTGACAATGGCAAATAACTGAAAAAGCAAATGTTTCTGTAAGACTCAAATAAAATAAAAGTATTAAAATATGTAATTTATCGGATGATTTTTTTATTTACTGAAGCACTTTTATTCTATCTTGCTGAAAATATATATAACAACAACAAATTGTTTGTTCGATGATAATTTAATCAGTAAATTTAAGAATATTTTCAACTGTTTGCAAAATTAATTGTTAAAATCTAAATATTAAGTATTATTATTTTATGATTTCAGTTAAGAGTTAAGTCTAAATTGTGTTTTTAAATATAATATGAGTTGATTTTTAAAATTTAAATAAATGTTTCACTGTCATATAGGAAGGTCCAACTATCCGTTGTTTATCGTGAGCGAGGGATCAAACCACTTTACAATAACTTTTACATATTTTTAAAATTTAAAATTTCATGGGCTGTGATTTGAACCCAAAACTGCTAGCAAATATGAGTTGGACGCCTTAAACACACGGCCACCATATGGCACTTAGCCTTAATTGTGCTAAAATATTTCCATATATGTACTGAAGATGGTTAAGAGAAGAAAAGTTTGATTTAAAATTGATTCTTTAAGTTAGACTAAAACATTTCAATTTCTGGAGCAAGCTGAGAATAGTGTCATCTCAGTATGCCCAAGTTTGGAGTTAGTTTCCTTGAAAGTGCATCCCGCAAAATACCAATATACACATTTTGTTTCTTAATAGAAGAAAATAGTCCCATTTTATTTTAAATTGATTCTGATTACTGATTTAAATAAGCTCAAATCTGCATATATACAGAGTTAAGCATATTAGTTCTTGCGGTCCATTGCCAATTCTAGCTTGATTTATTTTCAATAAATTACCGGCAGGCCTCGAGAATCACCCACCTCGAATGTTAGTAGTTTGGGGTCAGACCTCACTTTAATCCGTCGAGCTGTGGAGGTTGGGTTCCAGGGACTGCCAACAGGTAGGTCATTTCAGCCGCCAGTGCAATCAGTTTCTAAAACCAAACCTATTCCCACTCATTCTCTCTTAAATACATTCTTTTCCACTTCGATACTATTTACTCAGAGTGGACTCGATATTCCTCCATCACCCTTTAAACGTATTATATAACTAACCTAGATGAGATCGATGGAGTACTCAATTTTTTACCATTGGCCCTTTCATACTACACTTTCACGCCAATAAATACATTTACTCTCAACGCATGCTATGGTTATGGGGTACGGGCCTACTCAGGCTTTTAACCCCTCGGGTCCTGGTCGCCCGCCCTGTGTAATATATATGCTATGGACACAAGACTATCAGTACTACTTACAATGAAATAACCCTGTTTCTCCAAGATCAATTCTCATATCTAGTGGCATAACTACACGCTCTCTACACAGAGCCAAGGAATTGCACCCTTCAGTTAGGGGGGACACATTAAGCAATCTGCCTGCCAGGCACTTGGCCTTGCTTGGCATATTCTTAATTGGGTGAGGATGATCGCTATTCTACGAGTCAGATCATCCAAGGACCACCTCGACAGTGCTTTTGATGTATGAGAGCTTCTTAAAAGTGATTCTGCTAATCTAAAATATTTCAACTGTTGAAGCAAGTTGGGAGGGGTCTCATCTCAGGCAGAATTTGAAATTGGTTTCCTCGAAATTTTAAAAATTTCGTTTTCTAACAAAATAAATTTTAATTCAACTGTACAAGAAAGCGATTTGCCTTCTTTTTTTATAAAACATATTTCCAAATGATTAACGAACAAATGTTTTTTGTTTTGTTTTTTAGACTGGTAACCCGCGAATGATTAAATGTGAATTTGAAATTTTATTTTCTAGCGAATCTTTTAATTTTTTCCTCCCTCAGGTCGAGAAATGTCATATCCTACCAGAAAAGGCGTACCATTGAAAAAGACATAGCAATCAGGGTTCCGTTTCTCAATGAAGTGCAGCAGCAGCCGGCTTTAATCGATGGGACGACGCACACGCACCATTTGATTAAGACTTCACTCACTAAGTCCCTTTTCCTGTTGGATTTTGGCATTGTAATATTCGGAGGCCAATGTCACTTTCGATCCACGTCGGGAAGCCGGGCGAAAATACTTAAAAATTTAAAAGAGAAATAATAAAATATATACACAATATTAAACACGTGTTTTTCTTTTAATTGACTCTTTTCATAAAGAATTTGGGACAACTGAATTGCATTGAACTAGGATTTAGAAAAAGTAATTTCAACAAATATTTTCTCCTTAGTAGGTGCCTGAAATTTCCATCTTCAAAAGGCCGAAAGCGAACACAGGCGGACCAGAATAATCATGATCAACCAAAACAAAACAACCTTATAGCGTTTTTCTAATTATTTATTAGTTATCCCTAATGAAAAAAACAATTGTCTACATAAGCTGTATTTTTTAATAATAGCATTTTTCAGTAACTACTGCTAAGTTGTAGATCAACTTACATCTCGCTCTCAAAACTAACATTTCATTATTAGATTTTTCCGACAGTTCTTAAGTTCTTGTGCTAATAAAAAAATTATATTCATAAACCAAGTACAATAGCCATTATCTAAAGAACTATCTTAATGTTCAGTGACGTCAGGGTATAAGCAGGGTGATGCAAGACACGGTCGACTTCAGTTTTTTGTGTTAAGCGTGAAAGATGAGCGTTAGTAATCTGTTCGAGGTAGGAATTCATTCCAGTTGGTCAAATAGCAGAATTTTGTCCTTAAACCAATCTGTTGGATGCAAATCCCAGAGTCTTGAACATTTGGAACCCGAAGACTATCTTCACAGCCCCAGACATTTCAGCAATAGCACAGCAATCTTTTAACCGTCAGGGCGAGGCTAGACGTGACCCCTTGATCTTTAAAACTTAAAATACGAGAGTCAAGCCCGGCAACAAGCTAAAAGTACAAAACACCTTTATAATTCTAGCAAACCCGAAGAACGACCTTTTAACCGCCAGGGTAATAAATAGGATGAGATAAGACGTGGGGCACAGGACACCTTGATCTATAAAACTTAAAAATATGGGAGTAGTTAAGAATGAGCTAATTATGCGCTGTACGTTATCTTGTTGCAGCATTCCTGTTGTTCAAACCAATTCTGCCTTTAAAGCTCTATTTATATGTTAACTTTACAGCTAAGAGTCAATATCCATGCCTATCCGGATCAAGGTTAAAGTAAAATTCACGTCTATAGTTCCAGTAAACCCAAAAGTCAATCTTTAAACCCTCAGGTTTATAAACAGTGGGAAACAAACTGTTTAGTGAATTCTCTGCGACCAATTGCATTAACTATGCCTTCATACAGCATTCATTCCAATTGGTACAATAATAGTATTTCTCCTTTAAAATTATCGATCTATTGACTACAAAACTGAAGTCAATAGCCTTGCACATCTAGAACAAGCTAAAAGTGCAAACCACTTTAATAACCGTAGCAAACCCAAAGGACGAGCTTTTAAGCATCAGGGATATAAGCTGGTTGAGCCCAAATACAAACCCTTCCGTTTTTTATGTCGAATCAGAATTATTTGATGTACATTGCTCGATCAAACCTATTTTGTCTTTAAAACTTTAATGATTTGTTGAATATACAGCCCATAGTCTATATCCTTGCACTTCTGGAACAAGATTATTGTAAAAACATCTTCAACCAAACAAAAAGAATTAGCTGTCAGGGTTATAAATAGGGTGAGCCATGACGCAGACTTTTCATATTTTTGTCAATTCCTTCTGCGTTAGACGAGAACTTTAACAATACAAATTTATCGATCTGTTGTCTATTCAACTCAGAGTCAAAAGTCTTACACATTATTAACTATTCAAAGCGCAAAATCACTGTCAAACTTTGTCATTTGGATTTGCATCGATTTGCCGGCTTGGGCTTTTCACAAATCATTGATTATCCACTCGAGGATCATTGTACTGATGAATAACAACATCATCGATCACAGAAGGACAAACAAACTAAATTGCAATGCCTCTATACCTTCTATCTCACCACTTGCCTCATAATAACCGTTGCTAATTTTCGAAGTATATATTAGAAGATATTCTCGTGTCACTAACTAGGAATGCACCAGGATTTTTGTAATAATGCTCCTTTATTTCTTAGTACAGGCCTTTCTAGTTTTGCAGGTTTGATCTTGTGGTGCTAAGATCTTCATGAGAGCTGTATTGGTTTAAGGGCTCTTGTTGGCTAACTTTCCTTTTACCAGTAAATGTTTTGTCGAATTCCAAACAGGACAGGACAGAAAACTTTAGGGAAGACCTTATACTTCGAGGGTATGACAAGAATAAATTTTAAAATCCCCGGAGAGTGTCGTATTGATATTTCCCCGTTCCCACATTTCCGCCTGCACCCCCGTTACCATCTCGTTATCCCGTTCGTCCCACAGGACTGCACACCGGGGGTGGAAAGGGGGTTGGTCGGCTGAGTTGGCAATAGTGGCACAGCCAGCACAGGATATCGACCAGTGTCGGCAGGCGTACGGATATAAACAGAGGGTCGCTCCTTGCATCTGAAAGAAGAAAATCGAGGGATGACGAGTCCAGGGGGGCAGGTCCTTGAGCTGAACGTGGGAGGCGTCCTTTACACGACATCCTCCTCGAGCTTGGGCCCTTTGCAGGCCCGGCTTGAAGATCCTTCCCTCCCGAGGGACGCCAAGGGGCGACTCTTTCTCGACCGGGACGGGGTACTCTTCAGGTACTTAAAAAATATATATAAATACATATTTATAAAACTAACAAAAAATCACTCATAAACGTTTAAAATTAAATATGTAAGATATAAATAAAGCAATGCAGTTGTTTAGAAAGTAATTTTTTTAATCTAAAAAAACTAACATTTTAATTGCACTCCTTGAAGAAGCAATATAGACATTTTTCCATTTGATGAATGTTTTACCCCAGTCGCGTTTCCACCCCTTATTGTTAAAATGTCAGGCCTGATCGAAACCTGAACAGCGCGTTTAAAAAGCATTTAAAAACTAGCTCTACCAAGCGTATCCTAATAATCTTTAATAAATAAATAATTTATTTTTTAAAAAAATTTGGTTTGTTCAGGTAAGTTCCAGTTTAATCTGGCACTAATACGAACTATTAGGGCAGAGACCCCTAATTAATGGCATCTTTATAAACCATATTGGTTCCACAATTTGTTCAATATGAGAAGAAGATTTGATGATGTAACAATAAAAACATGTTTAATATTAAATTAAATTAATTATCTAATATATAAAATTTATCCTTAGACCTCTCCAGATTAGCTATTATAGGCTTGTCCTATTGTGAGGTGTAGGGAATTAGCACACAGAATACATCCGTTTTAGCTCGTGTTCAAGAATCGTCCTTTGTCTTTTTACAAGTTTTTTAAAAATAATTTCTATTCGCTTTTTCAACCAATTTGTCAAAGTGGTCGCTAAACGAACGAACTTTTGGTTCTTTTTGGGTTAGCTGATGTCTTAAAAATCGATCCTTCAGACATACCACCCAATATATTTTAAAAATTCTTCGAGTTTATAAAGAATACGCACGATATTTTGTCTTATCATCGCCCAAAATATAGATTCTTTTATTCTGGTCAAAATTAAATATAGATTAGTGGAGTATTTCGACATCTGGCTAAGTGAAAAATCGAGACAATTTATTAATTAAAAAGAAAATAAACTCATACGCAAGGGGGGAAGCAAGCGTAAAAGAAACAGTCAAAACTGATAACGAAAAGTTACATTAATAAACTAAGTTTAAAATAAAAAGACGTTTCATTTCTAACTTCAAATGATTAATTATCAAGTCTGGTTCGTTTAGTCTCGCTCTTTGTCCGTAAAAAACCTCCTTAAATCATAGAAATTATTTATCACAAAAAAAGAAACTAGCCCTATATGCAATGTTAACTTATGTCTCAAATTTTCGATGATTGTTGTGCAAATAAACACAAAAGAAACGGTCAAAACAGATAATGAAAAGTGATGTCAACGAACAAGACTTCAAAATTTAAAAAACGACCTCTAATTTTTAACATAAAATGCTGAATTATCAAGTCTGGTTCGTTTAGTCTCGCTCTTTATCCTCAAATGTTCTTCACTTTCTGGAAGAAAATGGCCGTCTGCAAGTCGCACTTAAATCCAAAACAATCAATTTATTTAAATTCATAAAATCCTTGAGTTCTATAATCGCGTGATTATTTGTCCGCCTGGTTTCGCTGTTCTACATCTAGTATCTAAAGGTCGAAGCTTAAACCGTTTAACGTCCATCAGCTCATAGATATAGTTGTGCAAACGTACATAAAAGAAACAGTCAAAGCAGATACCGTGAAGTTTACTTTAACGAATAAGACTTTAAAAAAAACTTAAAATGATGAATTATTAAGTCTGGTTCGCTTAGTCTCGCTCTTGTCCATAAAAAACCAGGGAGACAATTTATCGTTAAAAAAGAAACTAAACCCATACGCAATGTAGTCTTATGTCTCACATTTTTGACGTTAGTTGTGTAAACGTACATAAAAGAATCAATCAAAACAGATAACGTGAAGTTTACTTTAATGAATAAGACTTAAAAAAAAAAAACTAAAATGGTGAATGATCAAGTCTGTTTTCCTAAGTCTTGCTCTTTATCCATAAAATACCTCCTTAAACCGTAGAAATTACTTATCACTAAAAAAGAAACTAACCCTATATGCAATGTTAATTTATGTCTCACATTTTCGACGATAGTTGAACAAATAAGCATAAAAGAAACAGTCAAAACAGATAACATGAAGTTTACTTTAATGAATAAGACTTAAAAATTAAAGACGTATAATTTCTAATTTAAAATGCTGAATTATCAAGTCTGGTGCGCTGTCTCGTTCTTTATCTTCCGTTTACAAAAATGATTTTCTGTTCTTCACTTTTTGGAAGAAAATGGCCGACTGCAAGTCGCACTCAAATCCAAAATCAATCGATTTATTTAAATTCATAAAATCCTAGAGTTCTATGATCGCATGATTATTTGTCCGCCTGGTTTCGCTGTTCAGATTCTACATCTCGTATCTATAGGTCGAAGCTTAAACCGTTTAACGTCCATCAGCTCACAGACAGATTACAGTCAGTTTATTTCAACATTTATTCGTTTTAAACCTACTTTTCCACATTTATTACTGCCAATACCAAAAAGTCCAAGTTAAATTAGGTTAGACGGAGTGCTTTATCCCAACTTTTCCTACTTCAAGTTATTTGGCAGTTTTATCCATTTTGACATTTCCCTCCTGGCTTGTCTTGTGCCACCTGCTAGCCTTCTTAGCACATCTGGTTTAAACACTTGTTTATCGATACACCTTGAATGTTTTGGAAATTATCAATAAAATAAATTAATTGAAAGTGTTTCCTAAATGATTCTTTAACAACTGCAATTAAGGCAGTCTTGAGTTCCTTATTAACAACTTTCTCAAATTACATCGACTCGTTTGGTTTGTCAGACGTGCTCCGAAATTCACCATCTTCAAAGATTTGTCTGAAAGTTATTTAGTAAGTAGTGTCCTTTTCAGACGTATCTAATATGTGTATATCATTAGCTCAAAGTCACTGTTGGTTTTTGGTTTTGGTCATCCTCATCAGCCAGGGCAGACCAAATCAAATAGGATTGGTAGACATTTATTCCAAAGGTGTGGACAGAGACTGTGGTGACACTCGAGCAAGTGAATCTAGCAGACCGGAACAAATCAGATTATACCTTAATTCCTGGTAAATAGTATTGGCAGTCTAAGATCGACCAGGCAAGAAGTTTATCATCTAGCAGACCATGAGTTAAACACTGTTGGGTTTTTTCAACCCAACTAAATTGAATAATAACAGCTTCTTTATCTCCCAGGCCTGAACAAAATATCTCACTCTTCTTTTATGATCGATTTTCAGGTATATCCTGGACTACCTCCGTAGCGGAAGCATCGTGCTTCCAGACTGCTTCAGAGAGAAAGAACGGCTGCGACGTGAGGCACTCCACTATGGTCTCCAGTCCATGGCGGATTCGCTTTCTTCCCTTGCCAAGACTTCGGGCTACATCACAATCGGCTACAGGGGCAGCTTCCAGTTCGGCAGAGACGGCTTGACGGACGTCAAGTTCAGGAAAATCAGCAGGATTCTAGTTTGCGGCCGGGTTGCCCTTTGCAGAACCGTATTCGGCGAGTCGCTCAACGAGAGTAGGGACCCCGACCACGGCTGCTCGGACAGGTACACGGCTAGGTTCTTCCTGAAGCACAGCTCCATCGAACAGGCCTTCGACCAACTGCAGGAAAACGGATTCAGGATGACCGGCAGCTGCGGATCCGGCACCGCAGGTATCGCCGCTGCGGACCTCAAGCCTGGCGTCGATCAAGAAGAAAATAGATGGAATCATTACAACGAGTTTGTATTCGTACGTGACTAAACCATATCATTAAAACCTTTCAATTTTTTGTTTAACTTTACTCAGCTACATATCACCATAAATTTATATTTTTGCCGTAGATTTTTCTTTACTAATAAAGTTTAAATTATAAAAATTGTGGTAAATCTTAGACCTAACCCAATGCTAAAATGAGATTATAAATGTGCAATTAAAAATTTTTGCTGCCCTGAGATTGAGTAGTTATGTTTCAAATAAAAAAGTCCAGTTAAAATCTTAAAAATTAAATTAAAATACTGCATTTTTGAGAGTTTAGAAAAATTTAGAGGTACATTTCAAATTCTCTACCAATTAAATTTTTATTGGTTGTTTTTTTAATTTTTACAATTGCAGGACAAGAAATACAATTTTATTAATTATCTAGTTTGACATGCTATATTGTTCAGCAATTTTTATAACTTAAGAGTTTTTCACCTCTGGTTTCTAGCTCAAATAAACCAGCAACAATAAAATTCTCCATAAGATTTTGCATTGTATGGATTCCAAGATCATATTTTAAAAAATTAGACATTCGAGCTAATGTAATCAAATTTTCACAGTTTAATTATTTTACTACTGTCCCTGCTGTTTAAATTAATCGTTTCAAATATATTTCCCATGGGAATCTATCAAAATGTCAGTTTCCTCCATTATCGTGCAAAAAAATGTTTCCCAGTGTTGGTTAATTTTTTACACTTTTCCCTCTTTTTATCTTGCCTCGGCGAAGCCAATCAGATGCAAATTTACATAATTTAATCCCTCTTCAGATGCTGAGAGAACCCTTGTCCCCTGCTAGCTGCTTAAATTATTCGTATCATCGCTTTTTTCCCTCTAGCCTCTTCTTTCCTTCGGTAATTTATCAACATGCCTGTTTCTCTATTGACAAAAAATTTATTAAATGTCAAAGAAGAAAGGGGTTAAATTTTTGAATATTTTTCTTTATTTCTTTAAATAATTTCAGGCGAAAATCAGGTTCTGAACAAAAATTAAAAGACAACAAAATTAAGGTTGTTGTATGTCCAAACTCTATCAATCTTAAATATAATGAATTGTTATTTTCCACTTTATCTGATATAGATAAAAAAGAAGAAATATTCTTTATAGCCAGATATAAATTCTGCAAATATTGGTGAACGAATATTCAGGGCAATATTCTCATTCAAATATTTAAGAATTGCACATATTACTTGCATTGTGAAATTAATTCAAATGGAAATTTAAGTAAGTAGATAAAAAATTCTAATTTATAAAGTTTTTTTGTTTGTTAAATAATATATGTTATCTGCTATTGTAAACTAAGATTTATCACAAGGAGGTCTTTTTACAATAATTAGACTGTTGCATTTAAAACTGTTACATCAAAGATTCTTATTTTGAAATGTTTGAAGTAAATTCGCCACATATTAAGTTTGCATAGTATAAATTTTTAAAATTATGCTCTGATTTTAGTGTTTTAACTTTGGCACATGTGTTAGATTCTTCAAAAGGAGAAGTAAAGAAAAAATGTTTGTGATATGAAAGATATACAAGGAAAATGTGTTAGTTTTTATTATTTTTGTAAGTGTTTCCGCTGTCAGTGATTATGTTTAATTATCCTTTTTAAAATTTTTTAAATAATATGATTTGGTGAGTTACTACTATTATTGACACAAAGTGCAGTGAAGTTACGATGCGTGCCAAACTGTTAATTTTTTTTATATAGTCACTTATGATCCTGGATAATCGAAATGCGCCATCGAATTTTTCAGCCACGAGGGCAATTTTTTTATTTAAAAAAATTGTCTTTGGGTGATATGTAGCGAACTCACTTCCTGTCCTTAATAGAAACTTCCTCTGTTTCTAAAAATTTCTCTTCCTATAGGGTTGCCAAAGAAAATTTGTATCGTAATGTGTATTCTCTAGAGACTTTTTTAAAAGAACGGATCTTCCTCCTTATTTTTGTAAAGTACAATTTCCAAATGGATTATTTTTATCGGCTTTTTGAAAAGAAACAAAACTTTTTAAGCATCTACTTGACCAAATGTTTTATTGCAAGATGTGTATAAAATATTTAAAACAAAGAAAAATACAACTGCTTGTGCAGTTTTCCAGCTTGTAGATTCTTCCATTAACATCTTTTTCCTCTTCGTTGCTCTCTTCTCAATGGAAGAATTTTTTTTTCAAAGCCAAGTTTCACCATTAGACATAGAGCCGCATTAGTCCCATTTTAGCGAAATGTTTATTATTATAACAAGGGTGGAAATAAATTACCAATCAGATAGATTTACTGAAAATACCTTTGTGTTATGTACATTTAAAGGTTGCACTGTAATCTTTTGAGCTTTACTGGGTATTAATGCATTTGCTATTTAAAGAAAAAAGTCCTATATATCTAGGATATCGTTAAACATAATAATAACTACGGGTATTGACCTTAAGAATTATAATTAATAATTAAAAGGAATATAATAAATAGATCTGCTAGTCTGACTCCATTATTATTATTATTATTAGCCGTACAAGCCTACGGGGAATTTTTAAATTATGGAACAAAATTCACAATTCTAATTAAAAAAAGAAACAGAAATAAATTTTATAAATTTATTAAATTTTATGCAATTTAAAATGGGAATTTTGTATGCATTTGGCCTTCCGAATTAAGAATTTTAAAAAGAAAAATTAAAGCTTGGATGGCAATAGGATAAATAAGATTACGAGTGAATGTTTGGAGTCAGAGCTTTATAGCACTCAGAAGAGATATAGCTAACCTAAGATAGAAGGTTTGGATGTTAGGGCGTGAAATGACCTTAGCCGTTAAAACGCCCTTAAAAATTAATAATAATAATAATAATAATAATAAATAGATCTACTTATAAACTTAAAATACAGATAATTAGTTCAATTATTTTGTGCAGAATCTAAATTTTGTATTTGAAATAATTTAGTTTTATCGGGAAAAATTAAAGAACAAATCCTTTGAAATCATTGGACCATATTTATTAACAATTATATGTAGTTTTCAGACAGCAATAAACTTAATTTTTCTTTAAACTTTATTATAATTTGTACATGCTCTTTAGACTATCTTTTTCTGTTGCACAGTTTTTTTCTCTAATATTTATAGTTTTAACAATTTGTAACAATAGGGAAACAAAAAGTAATTATAAGCTACTGAATTTAATATATTGGGATGATAGTGTTAAACATAGTGATATATTGTTATTAAATTATAATAGAACTAATTTATTAGTAGGTATATCATTTAAGTAAGGGAAGAAACAAAAAATGTATGAAAATATATCGATATCAATTTATATAGTAAAGCTTTGTTTATTTTGTTTTGTTGTTTGTGATATTAATGTAAAAACTATATAACATAAAGTAAAAATTGTGAATTCTTGCATTACAAATTAAGTGTTGTTAGGTTGTGGCTAAATGTAACTGTAAATTAAATTTAAAAAGGAAAAAATCTATTGAAATTTTATGAAATTAAGTAAGTTATTGCAATGGATGGGGTATTTATTATAGATTTAATGTGAATTGTGCAATCATGAAATAAAACTGTTTTGAAATTGTGATTCTATTATATCACACGTTATTATGTAATTTAAATAAATGTCTCCAAGAGTAATTTCCTTTTGTGTTGAGAATATATAAAATATGTTGATAGGAATCTAAATCCCTTTTTTTATATATACAATGTTTAAAATTTTTTTTATTATTTCATTTTTTTTTTCAATGAATATATCGTTATATATAAATGTAAAATGGGGGTTTATTTTTTTACCCCTTTTGCTCCTTCAAATCCCGAATCAACGTTTGGACACACTGTCACCAACTTTGGACAGTACAATGAGGCCCAGTGTGTGGAAGTTGGTGCAAAGTTTGACATATTTTCAATGCGACGTTCATCTCCTGCACAATGTGGACTTAATAAATTTACATTAGCTTGTTTGTTCAGTCATTACTTTAATTAAAAATAAACAAATTATATTACACAATTATCAAATTTTATCAATAGATCTCAAATTTGATATTTATTTTACTAACTAAAACAATTTAAAAATGGTCCGTTTAATATAATTTAAGTAAAACACAATTACAAATTATTAGATGATTTATTTTGATTAAATTGCTGACATTTAGAATACTTTTATTGTGAATAGCAGGGTTATCCCCAATTACCCCAAGGAATATTGAATACTCAGGGGGAGTGTGAACGAAGTCCGGTTATGAATGTAATTTATTAGATTCACTAGTTTTTGTAGTCCGCTTGACCAATTAATTTCTTTCAATTAATTAAGGTTTTTAGTTGAGACAAAAACATCAGTGTCATGTGCGGGATTCGAACCCACGACCTTCAGCTAGATATGCTACTACCACTTGAGTGAAGTCACGATAACCCAAGTGGTAGAGTAGCGGCGTATCTAGCTGAAGGTCGTGGGTTTGAATCCCGCTCGTGACACTAACTTTTTTATCTCAACTAAAAACCTTAATTAATTGAAAGTAATTTATTAGTGTGAATGGAGGGGCATATACAATATGTAGAGTGGTAGGTTCAGGACAAGGTAGCATATGAATGAAAAGGGGGAGTTTAAAGAAAACAGCAATGATACAAATAATTCAATGAAGCTAAAAAATGTATTGGCAAATTCAAAATTTTGAATTTCTTTTTTTTAGATTAAAAAAAGCGTTAGATTTGTTCATATATTTCTGTTGTTTTCCTTAAATTCTTATCATTCCTTGCCACTTCCTTTATATATATACATATGTGAATTATGACACAATACTTACATTATTTTATTTGTTTTTTTTTTTTTTTTTTTTTAGTTTATCCATATTTTTAATTATTGTTATATGTACATTTATGTTTCAGTTATTCATTATTACTTATGTAAGTTTGAACTCTAACAGAACTTGTAACTGGGTTTATTTACCCGTTAATATTTAAATAATAAAAAAGAAATAAAAATGATAGTAAGACTGCTGAGTGTGCTGGACACCTGAGGCAAATGTATATTCTCAGAGGAGCAGAAACATGCCTGCACTGATATCGCCAGCATGAAAAAATACTCAATCAAATCCTCTGTTTGTGCGAAGACATATGCATGCTGAAATTCCTACTCCTGGGAGAGGAGGCCAAGGCCTGAAGAATACACAGGAGAACCCTTAAGTTTTGCGATTTAGTAAAAATTGTTAAGCTTGATGAAAAGCTCTAGACAATGATTGAGATAGAACAATAGGCCAATAAGGGATGCAGAAATTTGTAAAGAGGCAGACTCCTAAGGCAAGCCTAAGGCCTCTTTCAGATGAGGCAGTTAATTGAACTTAAATTAAAAGTCAGGAAGTCAGTCCTGCACAACTAACATGATTTTATGAAAACTGAAAAATTCATTTTGAGTTTTCCATGAATTTAACTTGTTTGTAAAAATTAAAAGTTTATTAAAGTTGAAACAGGGTAAGACATTTAAATTAAACTCGCAAATTGTTATACAGGTTTATTTAGTTAATGTTTAACAAATCTAGGCAGGTGCTTGAAAGTTCTAAACTAAGCAATGGTTAATTTTTAGTATTATTAAGTACAACACATTAGAAAAACCTAATAATTTAAAACAGTATATTAAGTATTTTTGGTTTATAATTAAATAATTTTTAACTGATTACAATTTTCTTTAAAAGAAGCACCATTTTTTTCCTTTGTTTTATAATGTAACATCGCAAATATATAGAAACGCTATAAATACAACATGGATAAAAACTATTTTATAAAAATTGACAACTGTTAATTAGAGAAACATCATACCCAAAAAAACAGACTAGTGCATAGTAAGAACTATGTGAATTTTAAATTATAAATATTCGTTCAAATCAATCTATATTTTAGTACTAAACAGGCTTAGAAGAGAAACGATTAATAAGAACGTGCAAAACCAATATAAAATGTTTATTTACAACAGAAAGTAGATGAGTACAGGACATAAATTTTAAATTGACCCGTATTCACACCAAACTTCATTATGTTTTAGACTTTGGTGTTGGCTCTTGGCTGGAGAGGAATTGCTATGGATGCTCTGGTTGTCACTATTCCTCACAGTGACACGGTTGTAGACAAGAACAGATCTGGAAATTTGTCTTGTATAATTATTCATATAGTCAACGATTTAAAAAAATAAAAAACAGGACAATCGTATTTTGTTGTTTATTTCAAAATATATTAATTTTAACATACTTATTTTAATGTAAACCAAATTAAACGAGATCAGAAATTCATGAATTTTAATAAAAATTATTTAATTTTTAAGGTTTGAAAGAATATTCACCAAAATACTAGAAAATCATTTAGAGACAGATTAAAATTTAACTAACAATTTATTACCTAGTTTTGCTCTTAATAACGCAAATTAACTACCTCCCTGGGGGGGCTTTAAGTCTCCTAGACATCGAGTAATTATGTGATCAAATTTTGTCTTTGAAACAGAAACCCATTCTTCAAAAAGAGCAGTTTGAAGCTGATCAACAATTATCGGAGGCGGTGAACGATGTCTTTATCATGTCCCGAAAGTGTTCATGTCAGGAATGCTGGCCAATTCATTGTGGTAGTCCGTACATTCTCCAACTAATGGGCGACTCAAGCTACATGCAGCTGAGCATTATCACAGTTATGTTATCCCCAATAAATGGAGTGAACGGGACCAAAACTTCCAGAAGAATTTATTTAGTGTAAAGATCCATTCTTTATGATAATCAGTACACAGCAGGGACGTTGATTCCACCCCATACATACATTGACTGTCTTTGAAAAGGCTGCAACTCATACATGGAATATGAAACAAAGCGTTCTCCACACACACAGTCCCGGTCATCTGATTGCCAACCTGCACTCATCTGCAAAGAGAACAACAGTGTCCAAGCAAGATGCTGATTTGCGAATAGTCGCCTTTCTACTCAATGCCTCTCCAGGAGTAGAGAAACTGATGTTCATTTACATTGCAGACTGTTTGGAGTTGATTACCTATGAAGGTGGTGTTAAATGACAGTTCTGTAGAGAGGTAAGAGCAATAAAATGATCGTCTCTAGCCGTTATACATCGTGGTCTTTTTTTTCTTTGGTGATTGATCAGCCTTCTCAGTTTAAATTTTTTTTTTCCCTTTCCAAAAGGAAAAGATCGGGGATGAGACCAGGGGATTCATTTTGGAAAGGAAAAAAAAATATTTACCACCTCTTTTCCTAAGAGGTGGCCCTGTACTGCTCTAGATCATTGTGGAAGTACAGCATGGCACACCAGGACTTGGGCTATGTAACTGACACTACGTCCGTTGTTGGCAAAAAGCAAACCTTCTTGACTTAAAAATCATACGTTTTAAGACAAGAAAATAATTTATTTTTTTACACAACTTTATTGTTTCATCAAAGAAAATAATTTAAAAAACACACTTGACAAGTAGTTGCTGGGAAGGAGAAATTGGCCTGATTTTCTTTATTTTTTTATCATTAGAGTATAAAAAGATTAGTAACACTATAAAGGTAAACAACAAGATATTAATGTTTTGTTTATGTTTTAAGCCAACATTAATCTTTACATTTATCTTATGATTTGTAAGCCATGTTCCTTCTCGAAGGTGGGATAATAGGTCACTCAAAAAAACAACAATCAGTTTTTCTTTCAATCCACAATTTCAATCCAACTGGTTGTTTTTTTGAGATGACCTAATATCCCATCCCACAAATTCATAACTTTACATTTATGTAAAATAAATAAATACAAGTGTCCGGTTTTTGTCTTTAAGTGTATTTGTTCCTTTTGATATTTTGCATTTTTGCACTTACGGATCTTGCTGAGGTGTGGAGCTTCTAGGTACGTCATTAATATTCGAGTAGCTCTTATCATCGTGGTCCTTGAAAAATGTCAATAATGTTAACAGTGATTTAATTCAGGTTAAATGTCTTTTTTTTTAAACTACACCTGGTTAATTTAACAAAAAAAAGTGCATTGTTAATAAGTGAGTCTGTTACGTACATTAGTAGAAGCTGAATTCTCGTCGCCTGATAAGTAGACCGTTCGCCTGGTCCCGGCACTTCCGAGGCCACTTAAGCTATCTGTAAAATGCGAGTTAAACTAATCTACCTGATCTTGTTAAGCATGATGTTATTTAAACACAATGTTATTAGTCCGGTTATAAAATAATTCCACAAATTTTAAGCGTTAATTTTACCTTGACGGGATCGGACATCTTCAAGGCTTGTGTCCGAATCAGTTCCACCACCACCACCACCAGTCCCTTGTAAATTCGTCTTCATGGGGTCTTCATGCCACGATCTTCGACTCTATAAAGATTGTTATAATTTTTTGTTAATTATATAATATATTAATAACAGTTAAGCAATTTTTGTTTAAATTTAAAAAAAAAAATTGTTCTACCTTATTAATAAGTTCAGATCCAGCTTTTCTAACTCTTCTTACCAAATTAGCCCCAAAACTCTTCCTATGGAAAGTAATTTTCTCACAATAATCTAACTAATAACTATTTATTTAGTTTTGTTTCTATATAAATTATTACTTTTTGTTTGAAGAACGGCTATTTATGATTTGTTCCATTATCTTTTCCTCAAGTTTTTCTTTTTGTCGGCATATGCTATTAAATTGGTCCCTGTAAAAAATAAATTCCAATTAAAATCAGCCATAATTTGTTTATGACTAATAAAATTAAAACAAATCCCTTATATTTTTATAAATTTACCGGAGCAATTTTTCTTCAGCGTGAAAATGATCCTTGTCGTCCAACGAATGGTGAAGAAGTTCACGATATTGATCCAATAAAATGGTTACATGTTTCATTAATGACTTTCTCTCTTCTTCCAATGTTGATTTCACTTGTTTTAAACACTGGCAGAGAAGGATGAACATTAATATAAGTAAAACTTTTAAAATACCACATTAAGAAAAATTTACCTCGTTTTCTGTTTTATAATCAGCAAGCTGATCCTCGAGATGCAAGTTTGTTTCGATCCTTGTCGTCAGCTCTGCGTGCAGTTCAGTCTGGCTTACAGTTAAATTCCTCACTTCTACTTTCATGTTTTTGTACTCTTCCTGTGCCGTTTTGTATTCGGATTTCAGCTTGTCGTGTGACGTGAACAATTTTCTAAAATCCTCCTGAAAAATCGTATCAGATATAAACTTTATGCCATTTGTGGAAATAGCTGTGCGGACCTTTAGTTTAGAATGCTCTGCTCGTAAATTAGAGAGGCAGTTTTCATCTGAGGACAGACGTTTGATTTCTTGCGTCAGTAAGTGTACTCGCGCTTCGAGACCTTCGTTGATTTCTTTAAGACTTCGAATCTCAGTTTTGGCCAATTTGATCTCAGCTTTCGTCGCTTCCCGGCCTACACTGAGCTGCTCGTATTGTGTTGTGAGTGTCTCATGAAGCCCTTGCATCGTTAGTTGATCCAACAGCAACTGCTGATGCTGCTCTCTCAGCGACTCCAGATGTTTGTTAATCTGTAATATATATAAATTTTAGTAAATAAAAATAGCATAATTAATTTAAATTTACTTCTTCTTTTTCTGCGACGAGCTGAGAATTGGCTAATTTTTGAGCTGTGTGCTGAGCTGTGAGGGACTGGACTTGAGACTGAAGGGTTGACAAAGAAACAGACAACCTCGCATTCTCCTCCTGTAACTCTTTCGACTGATTCAGCTTGCTCTCGCCTTCGTTTTCAGCCAATTTTTCTTTCACCGCACCAAGAATATCAGCATTGGAAAATATCCTGGAATATATATATTTTTAAAAAATAAATTCTGAACAGGGCTTCTGTTTTTTTGTGGCCTGGCATTTTAAAAAACCTGACCGGATTACAAGAACAACTTTGTTAAAAAAAAATCTAAAATTCAGTTTTTTGTTCTTACTTTTCAATGAAGCCTTCGTTCAGTTCTTCCGATGCGAAGCCAGGGCTTTCCAAAGAATCTCGCAGCTTTCTATTGATCATTTTTTCAGCCACCAAGTCACTTTGCAAAGTTTCAATGGTCGCTTTGTCGACTTCATACCTCGAATTTAAATCTTTCCACGATTTTTCAATCTCAACCAACCTACAATAAATGTTGATTAATTCATTAGTAATTCTTATATAGTTAGGGTTTAATGCCCCATTGTATATTATTATCAATTAATAATTAAAATCCCATAGTTGTGCTGGGATTCAAACCAAGAATCATTAGTGGCAAATACAAGTCAGACACTTTAACAACTTGGCCACTGTGATCCCCAATTAATTCAAAAATACAAGGTAAATAAATACATAAGCAGCTCTTAAACAGTAAAAATTTTGAGAGATTGATATTAGTGATATGCAAGAAAATCAACAAGCAATTTCTCAAAGAGATCAGTATAGGGGAAAAGTAACAAAATTAACTTCTAAGTAAATAACTTAAAGGCTAAAGTTTTTATTTACAAAAACAGGTCAAATATTATGTCATAGATTTGCATAAAGTTGATCAGTCTTTTATATTTCCATCTGGGGTAAAATTATTCAGAAAATTTAACAATAATGAAAATTTCAATTAATTGTACTTTTTATCTAAGGTCTTGGTTAAGATGAAAAAGTTAGTCGCGAGCGGAATTTGAACCCCCGATCTTCAACTAAAACTTTTTCGTCTTAACCAAGAGCTTAAATAAAAAGTATAACTGATTGAAATAATAAATATGGTTAATTATCTTGTATATAGATTTATATAATAATGAAAATGTTAATATTTATATTAAAACTACAAAAGCTGGTATTATTCAATAATTTAAATTTAAGTGACACACTGAGATCAAAATTGTTAATTTGGAAAAATGGTTTATTGAAAAAAGAATTTATCAAAAATCAGTCAAATCCATTGCAGGTAAGTCAGAACACTTGGAATTTCAGTTAATAACGGTGTTCGAAATCAATCTATTAATTCATTCCAAAAGCACAGACTAACCTCTCTGGGACAATTTCGAATACAATGTATCTGGAAGGAAATTGATATTATTGAAAATTGTATAAATAAACAAGTCCCCTTATCTGTATTTTATAAACTTGAAAAAATTTTGAAAATATTTTCTAAAACATACCTGAACACTTGATTATTAGCTTCTTCCAACTGCCTAGAAATCTGCGACTTTTCTTTCAAGCTGTTGTCCAATTCGCACTGGAGCCTGTCAATATTGACTGCTTTACCCTGAAACATGAAGTTTTGTTAACTTTTTTTTTTTTTAATGAAAATAATTTTTTACCTCGAGAGCATTTTTGAGTCGAGATACTTCCCGGTCTGAATTGGAAAGTTTAGCTTTTAGTTCGAGCGTCTCGTCAACAAGTATCTCCCTAGCTTTAAGCGCTTCGATAGTCTCCTCGGCCTCTTTAATCCTCAGTTCCATTCTGCCCTTTTCCCTCTGGACAGTCTCAACCTCTTCGATCTTCAACTGCAACTGTGTCTGAAGCGAGTCCCTCAAGTCTTGCATCTTCTTCGTATCCTTCTGGGCGTTTTTGACTGTCGCTTCTAGTTCGCTGATATGCGACGTCAATTTCTTTTTGGCCTCTTCTAACTCTTCGACCTAAGGATGTCGATTTTTATTTCAGAACTGAACTTTCGACAAAAGAGACGAACCTGAAGAGAGAGTTTTTTCTTGTCTTTCTCGAGTTGCAAAAGCCTCTCATTTGTCTGGTGTAAAGTTGCTTCTTGCAGTGACTCCAGTGTCTGTGCAAGACGCTTATTCTCAAGTTCTAATTTCAATGCCCTCCCTTGTGCATTGTTTGACAACTGTTCGCAAAGGCTATTTTCCCCTCCTGAAACTGCAAACAAAATATATAAAATAATACAATTAATTAATTCTTGTACGATTTTGAATACCCGATGTTTCTTCAGGGTCCAACAAAGTCTTATCACTATTCAAAGCAGACTTGCTGAGAAGTGTGAGTTGTGCGTTCTCCTCGAATAATTGCTGCAGGCGTTCCTGCGTTGCATCTCTTTCCTATAAAAACAGAAATAAGATTATCGTCAAATTGTTTCAATAATTTATAATTTACGCACCAGAGACAGGTCATTGATGGTCTGTTTGTGGTCGAGGAGCTTTGTTTCAAGCTCGAGGGTATAGTCAACTCTTGATCTTGCACGAGCCAGCTGCTCTTCTAGCATCTCTCGAGTTTCTTCCAAAATCCGTTTGTCCTGCCTCAGCTCCTCCACTCTCGATCTAAATAACAAAACTATTTTGAGAATTTTTTCCTTTTTTAATATTAGCATTATATGATGGTTTCCAAATTTAAAAGTACAAGATGCGGTCAATAACAGTTTTAAAAAAATGATTTATGAAGATTAACATTTATGGGAATGAAGAGATGTATTTGATATCCCTTTTGAAAGTTAAAAAAAATTATGGAAATTGTTTTGTATTTTAAGATTTTAAACAAAAGAATTGGTGATTTGCAGGCTGTAATATTTTAATAGACATACAACATTTAACAATAGCAGAACTAATAAACATAGATTCTTTCATGCAAAAATTTTTCTTACAGAACACAGCATATTGAAAAGTACACCAAAAGCAACTTAGAAATATAAAAGAAAAAATTAAAAGTTCTTGACAACAGAATGATTCTTGTAAATAAAACAGATTGTGAGGAGATTGATGAAGGGTAATGAAAATGCTTCGAGTGTGTGATTGTGAATTGAAACACATGACACCAAACTACACACTCAAATGGGTTTCGGGGGCAGGTCACTTACAGGTAAGAAGTGAAAAGGCGGTGTTATCACATTTTTATTTACCCAGGTTATCCAATTTTCCTCTAGAAAAAAATAGCCCTCTTTATGAATTAATTTTTGAAACGTGGTAGATAAATTGGTGATACAATATCGAATCCATCTTACTTGTAATATTCAAGGTCGGAAAGTTTCTCCCTGTACTTGCACACTTCAGTCTCAAGCCTCTCAGCGCGCTCAGCCTTCTCTCTTAAAGCGTCCGCCTCGTCCCTGTATGCCTTTCCCACCCTCGCTTCTGTTTTTAATTCATTTACCTGGCAAACACAATATATTATTCATATACTATCCATAATCATTGTAAATTTGTTTATTTTCAACAAAAAACCTTCTCATCCAATAATAAAGCTTTCATGCTACTTCTACTTTTTTATTACAAAATCCTTATTCCAACCAAACAATAACCACAGTCATTTTTGTCATATATATAGTTCTACAGAATATCACAATATTATCAAATGAGCAAACTTTCAAAATTACTAAAAACAAATTAATTTGTTAAACATAAAAAGTTGATTCCATACCTGAAACAGATACAGGTCACAGATATACAGGTAGCCCTTTCATACATAATAAATAATATTTTTAATTTGAGTGAGTGTATTTATTAGCATGAAAGTTATTGTGATGTCAAATACCCACAAACACACCAAAGTAGTGTAGGTTATTTAATTTGATATACAATAATTATTATTAATTGCAGGGGTGTAGTCACTGGCATAATACTAAAAACCCTAGTGACAGGGAAATTGTTAGACCCGCCAAACTTAGGTTACATAGTTTAGGACATTTATATAATGATTTAGGACATTTTAATAATGTGTGGAAGGGTTAAACATCAGACAGCTAATATGTAATAACTAAAATGTATGCAAAATGTGGAGAATAATGGTACGAACCCTCGCCGCAAGGAAACAAAATTGATCAATAAATTGATATTATAATTAAAATCCAATAAGCCTTTTCAAATTGCTAAACTATTTTATTGAATTAAACAGATAATAATGTCGAATTTTTAGAAATTTAAGAGGCCGTATTGCTTTTTTAAAAGCATTGTGATTAAATTAAAATATCCTCTTAATTACTAAAAATATCAAAAAACCTTATTTTTTTATCGGCTTTATTTTTTAAATATTAGTCAGAGCTCATATTCACTTTTTTTTTGGGGGGGGGGGCTAGGGGGAAGGTGGGACTTGAACCCATGACTGCGGGGTCTATGAGCTGAGAGTATACAACGCTGATCATTCAGCTAGTGTGGTTGCTATGATTTTTCTTTTTTACTATACTTTTTAGAGTTAATGTAGATATCGTGGTGACCAAGTGGTTGGGGCCTGACCTGACTCGTATTTGTCTTGCTAGGGGTTTGAATCCTAGCAGAGCCTATTGCTATTTAATTGATTATAGTATGATGAATATATTGTAAAATAATTTGACCCATCATCGTCCTGGGTAATTGGACGTTAAGCCCTCTTGTATAGCAGGAGGGTTGTTTTACTGTTTTTTATAAGCTAATATGTAATACTTTATTTTAAAATTTTATACTATCCTTGAATCTTACTTTCTCTACGATGGTAAATTCACAGAATTTTGTAAATTTTTCTTCTGAGTTAACCCCATTAAATAAATTTAAAAAGAAAGTCAACTTCAGTACTTCAGTAATTTCATGCAACTGTGAGAAAATCATTACTACACTCAGTTCCACAAAATGGTCAATTAAATAAAAAATAATTCTGAAAATGACTACCAACAACTATTGAGTAAAACCAGCGTGCATAAATAGGAAATATAAATACCCTATATTTTGTTTGCAATCTAGGAAGTGCTACCACGCCCACCATACAGATTGCCTAATCATTTTCAATTTTAATATATTGGAAATTAACTTAAATATAAGAATTTAGGGCAAAAATAAAAACGCTGGATCAAAGATTGGTAGGAACATATATAATTGAATAAATCCTGAGATTTCAGCGTATTGTCTTGTTCAATCAGTCAAAGATGGAGTATGGAAAAAATACGAGTATTATTTATGGGTTAATTCAATTTATGTTTTGATTGGTTATTTTCAATAAAGGGCAATAAATTTTTAACTACTGTCTATAAATTTGTTAGCACTACTTGCACATTTGGTTTTAGTCTGATTGAACTATACAATATATTCTCATATAGTTCTTTAAATATGGCAATTCTGTGCAATTTCATCAAATTCATTTCTAATCAATGTAGATAATTGCATTTGTGATAAATAGGGGTGTGATAAATACATCTATTTTATTACCAAACAGAAAATAGCACATCTACAATGAGGGACAATATTGCTTACAGTCCTGAGAAGGATCAATACAGGAGTTTTTTGTTTTGCTTTTTAAACTGCATGCCACGCTGAAAAATTAACATTCTGCTTTAACCTTTTAAACTGGAATACAATACTTGTATTATTTTCATGTTTGATCATTAACTAATTTAAGAAAGTAAGAAAGACTATAAATATGTTGTATGCCTGTTGCCTTCAAATTTTTACTCTTCTGGCATTTCAAATTTCCATTTATTAACCTTTTATTAGTCAAGAATTTTAGTTGTGTTTGTTTAATATTAGACGATAAATCACCGTGTTGTTTTAAATATATGGAGATGGATGAGGGCAGCCTATTGATTCCTCCCATGATGCATTAATTATGGCCATTTTTAATATATAATTTTTCTTTTTCGTGGGATAAGATCAACAGGCCGCCAGGCATTCATCCCCAAGAACATTGGATTGGAACTGCTATGGAAATACTCCTGCATATCCAGGGATCTTCGTCTTACTTTCTCAAACTCTGACAGCTCATCCCAGACATTTATTTAATAGTTAATCCACAACAGACAAATGTAATAATGACCAATGTTACTATCTATAAATTGTAAAGAAAATATTGATAGAAAATTTAATTAAATTAATACACTAACCTCAGTTTTGAGTTTTGTAACAAGTGCTTTATTATACTCAAGCTCATCCTTGGCTTCAGAAAGGGCTTCAGATTTTTCTTCCCTGGAAAAACAAAAACATATATCGATAATGTACAAAAGTTTGTTTAAAAAAAAAAAATGCAAGACAAAAATTTAATTTCTTTATCTAGAAATATTTACAGAAATTATGGCATGCCTCTAGGCTACAATTTAGGTCCATTATTGGTTGTAAAATTTCAGTAAAAAAATTTTTTGTTACGGTGGCTCATGGTGTTCAGGCTAAGCAGTTAGAATTTTCTTTCGAAATTATTAAGTTTAATCATTTTGATTCTAGTCTTCGGGGATGTGTTCTGAAATGAAAGTAGCTTCATCTTTCCTTGTCAGCCTTCCTCAGGGTTCTACTGAAGGATTTTAATGATATTAAAACTAATATATTTATCCTTCTGTAGAGCCCTGAAGAAGGTTTAATAAACACCAAAATCTTGGAAAAAAAGGTCACAGCTATTTACTACATTTTGGACTACATCCCAAATTCATAAAATTAAATTGTTAATCACTGCTGGCCAATAATTCCCTGTGTGATTTAATCAATTGTAAAATTTAATTTGATCTGGCCCTTTGTACTTGCAAATTAACTGGTAGGAATAGCTTTACTTTTTTATTCTACTATATTTAGTCAATTTTTAATTTACTTTGCACATTATTAATTATATCCAATTGGAATTATACAATTAAGACGGCTAATTTTGTACAAATTGTATGTAAATAACAAAATTTTTATATTTTTTCTTTTGTGTCAAAAATATGCTTATGCAAAAGCTTAGAGAAGCTTTTTATTATCTGAGTCTAACATTTGCTGTTCTGACAGCAAGTTTTGCTCAACTTTGCATGTTTGTCTATCAGCAGAAGAAGCATGAAAAAACTGCCATAGTTGATTATGTGTATCTTATAATGATAATACAAAAATAAGAAAGACACGAAGCCAAGACAATTGGAGTCATGAAATAAAAAGAGTTAAATTTAAAACACTTTTGGTTATTAATAAACCATTGTAATTTTGAATGAATGAATGAATTATTAATAAACTGTTGTAAATTTTATGAATATATTGTTGATAGTGTTTAAATAAATAAAGACTTACACATCTTGCCGAAGTTTTCTCAACTTTGATTTCCAATCTGCTAGTTCTACAGCAAGGTGTTGAGATTCAGATCCTGGTACGGATGATAAATTTCCAGTTGATTGTTTGCTTTTTTCCTCATATGAGACCTAGTATGAAAAAATTGATGTTTTTTTTCAACAAATAAGCACTAATTGGTCCGGTTTTTATCAATTACCTGGAAGTAAAAATCTCTTTGTTTTATGAGCCGCCTGATATGCCCCAGAAACAGGGTCACTGGTACATTTTCACTCAGTTCAGGTACCAGAACTATCTCTTGGCTCTCTGTTACCTGTTATTAAAATAAATACATGTACAAAAATATTTCTCAGTCTTAAATCTAATTTCAAGTACCCGTTTTATGCAGTCAACAAGTGAATGTTGAGCATCAACAGGTAATTCCTTGATGCGCTCGATAAATAGCTGCTTGTTTGGACATTGAACAGCACAGCCAAGCAAAAGCATAAGCAAAAGCTGGAGTTGTTCGATGCCCTCTTTACTGTCCGGTTCCCTTCCAATTTTGATCGGATCCGGCAGCACAACAACCAGCTGGCCCAGCTCCTCCTGGAAGTTTTACATTTTTTACAATTGTCTAGTCATAAGAAGAAACCCATCAAAGCAGGACTTACCTCATAAAGTGTTTTAATGTTTTTTGTGATACACTCAAAATTCTTTGTCCTGATTGTGGCATTACCAAGGCTTGTAGTGATGCCATGATGAAGCGGCTCAGGATCACTAATGTAACAACAAAACAAATTATTAGCACAAATAATTAAACATTAGTTTTTAAATTAAATACTCACATCAATAGAAAAACTTCATAGATTAAATTTCCATCAGCTAGGTCTTCATAATCAGAAAGTCTGTCTGGGTTATTCAGGCAAGATTTGAACTACAACAAATAATTGAATTAACACTTTCATCAAGTCAAATTTTTTTATACATATTTGATGTAAAAAAAATCGAATTGAAAATTAAATAAATAAATAATGAATGTGAATAATGCCACAATGTTCCTTACACACTTTTAGAATCGCCAATCACATGGTAATCTTCCATAAAATTCCATATTTCATATCATAATAATTAAAAACCTTAATAGGGAGTCTGACAACCCACATAGTTACAAATAGTGCAGTAAATGTGAACAAACAAATTCTGAGATTTATTTTCATTTTGCAAACTTTTGTAAAAACCAGCACAATGGGTAGACGAAGATGATCAGAGATGACCAAATTACACCATACTTGTTACCATTTCATCCTTCTTGGCACAACTGTACAAAATATTAATTATAAACATTTGACTAACTGTTTAAAAAAAGACTTGTTTACAGTCATAATGAAAGGAATTGTATTGTTGAAATGAGTCAGTCAACTTTACAGCATTTTTGAATATCCAACCAGTAGATTATTAGAGTTTGACTAGGAAAGACGTCTTGATAAACCAGCCAAACAAGACATTTTAATATTCGATCATTGACAATTTTATCAACTATAATGACCGGTAAGTAGAATATTTGATCATAAATGATCAATCCTAATCAACCCATTATTCAAAATGATCTTGTTAGAGCCTATAACTACTACTGCACCTTTGAACATTGTCAAACCAACTAGTTTTCAATCCCTGGGACTGGTATGTTAGGCCCAAATTCAGGGCTACTGGATCCGACCCCAAGACTTTTACTTTACAGTGATGAGCGCTGTGTCAATGCCTTAACTTTAGGAGACTTTTGATAAATTTGATGTTCAGACAATATATTTGAGCAGCAAAGTTTTGTCTGTCTACTCTTCATGCAACAGGCAGATCGTCAATGAGAAATTATGATCAACTTGCTGTTAAAAATGATCATATTATTGCTCAAAAGTCCACTGTTGTTGAAATGTCATTTCGACCAGAGTTTTTCATCCTGAATATACCACCAGTGGATTAAAGAGTTTTGATAAACCAGATGGACAGATAATACATTCATTGTTTGATTATTGGTAATCATAAGCAAAGAATCATAATTCTCAGTAAGTAAAGCAATGTCTGTCACCCAGGAGGGCTTAACATCCAAGTACAGCTAGATGTTGCTATAATTAATTAAAAATCATGGGGTAAGCCTGGATTCGAACCTAGAACTGCTAGCTTAGTAGATACAAGTAAGACACCCTAACCACTATTAGTGCGTGGAACATAATATTGTTTAGTTGCAATGTTTGGTCTATAGTTAGAAGCAACAGTAAACAGGCAAATCATTAATGATCAATAGTGATAACCAACTGTAAAATGTTCATATTAACACTTTACAATGGCTATTAAACATGAAATTCTTATGTTTATAAGTGCTGTTTTTGTTTTTAAGCTTATTCTGATATAATTTCTTTTTACTATTTTTATTTTATTTTCTTGTTTATTTATTACACAGTTGTTATCACAGACTGCAACAAAAAATGAGCAATTGAAAGAATAAAGCGTAGAGACTACTAAAACAAAAGTTCACTGTTCATGATTTAAGGTTCACAAATGTTTAAGGATGTTGTCACAGATTAAAAATAAATCTGAATCACAGTTTGTTATCAAGAAAACCTGGTTATAAAAGTATAAAAATAGTGGAAAATTCGAATCTTACCCAAGTCACGAGTGGACTTTCAAGGAACTCTTCAATGTCAGTCTTGGTTGTCATTTCTCCTGTGTATCCGAGTTTCCCCAAGAGAAAATCATCGTCTGAATGATAGAGAAAAGTGGAAAAGTTGAATATTGAAAGCTGAGACGAAAATAATCAAGATATAATCAATGTACAAAGTACCATCTGAACGTCGTCCTGACCCTTGACATCTTCCAGGCCTGGAATTACTCCTGGTACTCGTCTCCCCTCGTAAAATCTCCGGCTATAAACATATCTGGGGTTTTACAACAACAAAACAAAAACAAAAACTATGTTGAGTCAAACAGAAATAAGTCTGGAGGGGCAGTGTTGTGCAGTTCCAGCCTGGAAAAATATTTTCCCTTTCACCAAGGAACCTTGGGCACAAATTTGTATTGTGTAATTTCAACAGGATGCTTCATAAAACTACAGACTTTATTTCTTTCAACTCGATATTTCAAAAAAGAATTAAATATTTACAAACACCAAGAGGAATATGAAGGTTTGAAAACTAACTTTCTGAAAATTAGCACAAATTTATACAATGACCAAATCATTTATTTAATTAATCAATTTTAATGGTACTTATAGGGCCTAAAACCCCCTTACATGTACATATTTTAGAAATAAATTTAATTTTACAAACATAGTAAAATAATAATAAAAGATCTAATAAAAACATGTAAAACAATGACAATAATATATTCTCTATAATATTAATTATTTATAAATGATCAATGAAACCACTTTAAGGAAAAAAAGAAAAAAAGGGAAACAAGGAAAAGAAAAGGAATAGGAGATTATCCACGTCGTTTTTAAAAACTCACATGCCATGGATTTAAAACAAGTCAGCAACGAAATAGAACATAATTTCTGGGGAAGCAAATTCCACAGTCTTCCATAGATTCTGAACAATCATGCAAAAGTTTCATAAGAGTGTTGAAGGCTTGAGATATGATTGATTTGGATAAGGAATTTGGGAACAAAGTTCATAGATATTGAAGAAACTTATTTGTTTTAATTTTAATATGTATAGTAAAACTATATATAATATATAACAACTAACTACAATATATAAAACTATATATAATAACTATAGATTTGTTATTGTTGTTGTATTTTTATAATGAGTTTCTTGCCTGTCTACATAAATAAATAAAATTGTAAAGTGCTTAGAATGTTAAAATTGCTGAAGATGTTAATATAGGAAGATCTCTTGGTTTAAGATACTAACAGCATCTAATGCATGAGTAAGCAATTTGAAGGCAATGAGCAGATTGAGAGTCAGAGAAAAGTGAAGGAGAAAAAAAGCGCTAATAAGAGAATAAAGGAATTATTAAAGTTTTAATTAGACAGGATTTAAAGAGTCCCTGAAGAGAATGTAGACTTGAATTTTATTTTTAATAATAGTACTCACACGGTCATGCCCTGTAAGCTGGGAATTAAAAATAATGCCGACCAAAATTAATATGATTGAGGGGACAGGATATCTGTATTAATTGGGTTTTTTTAAATAAGTAAAGCCTGAGAATTGTTAGAATATAAAAAAATTGGTGATATGATTGAGTGAATGAAGTCGAGGACATAGGAGAATCTAAAGCGAGTGTCATCGGCATTTGGATAAAATCAGAGTAATTAAGAACTAATGGAAGAGCATACAGAAACATAGAAAACAGTAAAGGTCCTAAATAGGTAAATAATAATAACGCCTTGGGGTACACCAGTTGAAATTGAGAGAGACAATAGAATTGGAATCGTTCATTTTTTGTGTTCTGTTAGACAAATAGGAGAAGGTAAGATTAGTAGTAGAAGAAAATCCAAAAACATACATCAGTTTTCAAAGAAGCAAATTATGATTTACTGAATACATTGGAAAATTCAAATCTTAGTATGAAAATTTGAGAAGGGCTGCTGTCTTAGAACTATGATATTTTTGTATATTGTTAAAGCAATATAATGCAAGAAAACATTCATTAATTAAAATGTATATACATATAAAGATAATAATAATAATCAATCAAAACAATAACGTAGTATTTAATCAAATCCTAGTAAGAAAATAAATAATTCTATGTAAAGCTATAAAAAATTTAAGTAGTCAGAAGAAATTATCTTAGTTAAATTAGTGTTAGAAACACAAAATAATAATTATCAATATAATTGGAATTCTGTGAATGAAAAAATACTAATTGGTTTATAGCTTTAAGGAAAGTTATTGTTTACAATGTTTTAATTATTTTATTGATGTATGTGTTTGTAATTACAAACTTGAATTAATTTGTACCTTAATTTTCTTATCTTTTGTTTTTTTTATGATTGAATTTTATTAAATTTAATAATAGTTGTACATATATAATCTTTTTACCTGTGGTTAATTATTTTCACTATTGAGATCCTTTTATTTATTGTTCCTTGGGGTCTTTCTTTGTGTCCTGAACTAATGGAACATTCTCAAGTTCATTCCATTCTACATTTCCTTTGGATTATTAAAAGTTTAGAGCTTTGTGGTGATATCAAAATTACATGATCAATTAGATTGCCTATGGTCTATTTCCTAACTTTTAGAATCTAGTTTCATCCTATTTAGAGTTTAACATTTTTTTTAATATAAGTATATAGATATTTTCATCCATATTAAATTGTAAATTAATATTTAAAAATTAAAAATCTCACACAAAAATTGATACTTATTCTATTGTACTTTTCTTAGAGATTAAAAATTTAAATAAAATTAATTATGTATATATTTAAAACAAAAACAATCAATTACAGTGATTCTCTTTAGACTTTAAGGTGCCGAAAAGTCGTTTTAACTTTTGGAAAAGTGTCAGTTTTTCTCCGTTTGTTCTACTTTGTTCCATCAACAGGCTTTGAGCAAATTTATTTTTCTTTTCGGCATCGTTCAGTCCATTGTTTTCTTTTGTTTCAGTAATTTTTTCTTGACTGCTTTTCTCGTTGTTACAGTGGAACGTTTCGATTTGTTCTATGCAAATTATATCGTCTTTTGGTTGCCACTTTTCTTGTTTCTCTTCTGTAAACTCATCGGATTTATTTTCCGTGTCAATCTCCTTGCATTTTGCCTTTTTGTTCACTCTTATTTTCTTAATGGATATATCTTCTGGGTCAACCGCCTTCCTTTTTGACCGGAGGAAATACCTTGTGACTTCAGTCTTTGGCTTGTCCTTTCCAATAGCTGGCGTTATGCTTTCAGCCACAGCGACTTCCATATCCAATTTAGCCACAGAATCGAGGCCCTTTTTTTATGCAGAGTTCAATAAAATTGGATTATTTAAATTTTTTATTTGTTTAACAGCTTAACAGAAAACAATGACTGAATTGTCAGCTTTGAAAAATAAATTCAAAACATATTTTCATCAGGTGTTTGTTAATTAGTAGCATATTTAACCCTAACAGCTTTTTAAATATAATTGTATAAATTATTATGGATTATTTTTATAAATAATAATTTTTAAATATAATTACAAATTTGATTTAAAAAAATTATAAATTTGAAATTATGTATAGGTTTGGAGAATTATGCGATTTTTTTTTTTTTAACCAAACTGGATATTTTTTTAAAAATATTAGATTGTCACATAAACAGAAAATATGTTTAAAAATAGAGCATATTATAGTTTTGTCAGCTTCATTATTTGTTATACTGCTTTGTTCTTTTAATAATTTTATGATATTTCGAATTTTTAAATTTCTAAATGGACATAAGTCATTACTTTCTGGTTGATATCTGGCTGCTATTTAAAATCACCAAGGGCCCAAGAAATTAACAAAAAATAACAAGATTAAATAAATCATCGTATTTATTGAATATATAAATATCCAATAATATATATGTTGGATAAATAATTATTAAAGGAAATGTATTTTGCATAAAATTATGCTGAAAGATTTATCACAATAACTTAGTTTTCAACACTGAGCCATTATAACACACATATTTATCATAAAAATCTTATAAAAATTGATAAAAGCTAAAAAAAATTAGTTTTGAAAGGTGAAATTTAAATTTTTGGCGGTTTGGAAAGATTTCTTGATAAATAACAAGTGTGGAGTTTATACATTGTTACACGGTGAGGCTCGACGGTTGTTAAGTTTGAAATACTTTCTTTTTTTAAGTAAATAATTCCAATTGACATATAATACTAATTATGATTTTATGATCAGGCGATGGCAAACTCTTAGCTTAATGATCGGCGATTTACCGGGCTTATTTATAAGAAATGACTGCCTTTATTGGACTGCACATTGGTAATGAGAAATCTTGTGAAAAAATTCTGATTAATTAATTACTTAAAATGTATTAGGTGCAGGATATCATTCTGTAAAAAAGGAAAACCAGTACAAAACGCTATGCAATAAAGCCTGTCAAGCGGTAAGTTTTGTTGTTTGTTTTGATCGGTTTTTATTTCATGTGTTTTCCATAGGCAATGGAGATTTTAATTGCTGGAGGCGACTCGCTGCAGGCTGCTGTTGAGGCGACAAAAGTCCTCGAGGACTCGGTGCTAACGAACGCTGGCAGAGGGGCGAACCTGACTCTGGACGGTAATGTCGAATGCGATGCTTGTGTCATGGAAGGCCGTTCTATGAGGTTCGGCGCAGTCGGGGCTTTGCCTTCCATACTAAATCCGATCACCGTCGCCCGAGCGCTGTGCGAAAGCCAAAAGAAAAGACTGTCACTCGGAAGAATACACCCTTGGTATGGAATAAGACCAAAATAAGTAGAACTTTCAAGCTCAATTTTCTTTTAGCCTTCTCGTAGGCCAAGGTGCACTTCAATTTGCTGCAGAATGCAACATCCCTCAGGCGAACCCAACACAGATAATATCTGGTAAGATAAAGAAAATTTCTATTCTTAAATACATTGACAAATAATTATAACCCTTATTTTAAAGAAAAATCAAAAAGGATAGTCAAAAAGTATAAAGATCAACTAGAATCTTCAAACATTGAGGTGAGTTGAAGACTCAATTTACTTACTAAATGTTTATTTAGCTATAGTATTGCATAAAATATGTATTTGTTAAATTAATTACACTATGTTTGTATGTAAGGCCTTTGGTTTGTATGGGGGGAGGGGTCTTCAAAAAGGACATCAGTGAGACCTGGCAGATTAAAGGGTTCAATCAAGATTTCAAGGAGTTTAAAAGTGTGTTAGCTATAGGGTTGTGTGTCTCCTTTTTACAGTAAAATAGCTTAACCAGGCAGACCCACCAAGATGGCCAGATGCAAATATGGCTTGGTTGATTGTTAGTTCTTTTCCAAAAAGGAAATGTGCAAAACTACCCAAGGATTTGTACCAGGATTCAAGGTTTTTCGGTGATTATTCAGAAATCGTGAGCTGTGGTCTGGTGTGATGTAGGTTTCAGAAAAACATTTTCTTTATCGTGCCAACATTTTGATCTTTATTGAGATCATCTTCAAGGCCTGGGATTTACAAACATTGTTTAAATTTAACAAATACATGTAGGATGTGGAAAAAAGTGAATTTATACAATGCAAAAAAATATATTTTTTATTTTCAATCAAAACCTATATATTCTGAAACCTACATCACACCAGACTGCATCTCACAATTTCTGAATAATTATCGACTAATGGTCACTAATCACTACACGTTATTCGGTGTGTTAGTCATATGTGTCTTCGTTTTTCTGTAAAACGCCAAAGCCAGGTGGACCAGGATTGCAAAAGTGAAGCCGGTCATGTGTTCTTTACCTAAACGGAAAATGGCTTGGCAGGCAGGGTCGAACTAGGTCTTTTTAAACTTGCATACACTCACTCTTTCTTATGCGCATTAAGGTTTATTTTATTAAAATGAAGAAGAGTTTTAAACTATACTACACCCATTTCCAGGCACAATTTTTTGATTTGCTTCTCATACCCAGGTTAGCTTAGAATCCAATGTACATATTTTGGATTTTCTTGCTTAATAAATTTGTTCATTTGTTGCCTGCGGATACATATATCAGTCACATTGAAAAGAAGAGGAAGAAACAGTAAATTTTATTCTGGGGCTTAATAAATAAAAACTACATAATGGAGTCATATCTGTACTCACGCTCAACACAAGTACAAAAGGGCCTGTTTACAAAATATGTTCATCATAAACATACACTAAAAAATTAAATGAGATAATTAAGGAAAATTATAAATAATTGTCAATAAAGGCAACTGGTTCTAAGTTGCAATGACAGGAGGTAATCAAATAGAAAGGGACTTAAAGGTGGGAAGGGGTTGGCGGAGAGAGAAAGGCAATTCCAGACGTTGGATGATGAAGGATCGACTGAAAGAGATAGTTCAGATCAGAAGGGTAAGAAATAGTAGCCTGGTATGTACCGAAGACCTAGCGGTTAGGAGATACACATATATGGAGGGAGTGGGAAGATAGTGGTTGGCAAAGGAAGGAGCTGAGGAACACACACATTTTGAAAGCTTTGGTTTTGCTGAATTGGCAACTCAATAAAGCTAAAAATATTATAAATAATTTTAGTCATTTCCGATCATCTTGGTTGGCCTATCCTCACTTTTTTTGTTCTGTTAGGCACATTTTGAAATTTTGCTATCTTTAGTATATATCTATTTAGGGGTCTTTAGTATATAGTATCTTTAGTGGTTGGAAATTGGTTAGATCTCAAAAAGAAATTTCACATTCTAAATGATTTTGGTGTTGCTGAGTTGGCAACTGAATAAAGTTAAAAATATTACATAATCCGGTTCGAATCCTGCTCGTGCCATTGACTTTTTTTTATCTCAACTAAAAACCTTAATTAATTGTAATACATTAATTGGTCAAGCGGACCACGAAATTAGTGAATTTAATGAATTAAAATGAAGTATACTTCACTAAAGCTCTCCGTGGCCATTTCATTTGTCGCCGAGAATCCAATCCGATTACACATTTGAAAAATGGCAAAGGAAGGAAAATTCAAAAGGTGGGGTTGAGATGGGAAGTTAGTGTCCGAGTGGATCGAGGTCACAATAGCTCAAGTGGTAGAGCAGCGGCGTATCTAGCCGAAGATCATCGGTTCGAATCCCGCTCGTGCCATTGACTTTTTTATCTCAACTAAAAACCTTAATTAATTATAATAAATTAATTGGTCAAGCGGACCACAAAATTAGTGAATATTACATAAGTTTAATCATTTCCGATAATCTTCGATGGCCTTTCCTCATTGTTTTAGTTTTTTCATGCACATTTCAGCATTTTGCCATCTTCACTAGTAAGAACTGGGCAGGTCTTAAAAATAAATCTGACATTTTGAAAGATTTTGGTCTTTTTGCGTTGGCAACTCAATAAGGACAAAAATATTATACATGTTATATAAGTTTAGACATTTCTAACCATTGATCGGCTTCCTGTTTTGATTGTGTCGGTTACATTTTGCCATCTTCAGCGGAAAGGATTAGCCACACCTCAAAAAGAAATCTCACAATACGAATGATGTTGATGTACATGCATAGTAATTGATTTCATTGTATCTGGTAACATTACAGTTCCAACTTTGTAAAGTTGTTTCATTCCCCCCCCCCCAAGTTAATTGTCAGAAAAAGTTAGCATCACGAGTGGGATCCTAATTACATACTTAAAGATATGGCTAAAAGATGGAAAATCCGAAAGGTTGTATGTTGTGAGATGGGGAGTTGTCTGAATGGATAGATGTCACGATAGTTCAAGTGGTCCGCGGTGTATTGTGCTGAAGGTTTGAATCCTACTCGTGGCCCTAACTTTTTCATTTCAACCAAGACCTTAGATAAAAATATTATTAATTGAAATAATTAATACAGTTTTATTAACTTTGTTGGGCTTTTTTAGCCAGTGTTTGTTAATGGACAAATATTTGGGGTTAATTTACAGACCAAATAGCAAAAACTGTTTATTTATAACAATAATTAGTACTCGTCTACATGAATACAAGCATTAATTTATAATATATATATATATATTTTGTTTAAAATGCAATTCAATATATATATACTAGATATTTATTTTTTTAAAGGTAACTTGTTTTTTCTATACTTTCATACATAATATACAGTGATATATGTTTTGTACAACAAATAACAACATAATAATTTAATCAGTCGATCAAAATAACATGATTTTTGTTTCTAACAAAGCGATGTTGTTGATCCCCTGCATTCATTTTCTTTGGTAACATTTTTTACTTCAAAGTTGTATGAGTATTTTAAATAATAAACAATATATTAATAATTTTTGGTAACTTCTTAGATTTTAAATCTTTTACAAACAATATTAAATCACTCCTACTTCCAATAAAGTAAATTAATTTATTGGCTGGTAAACAAAAATAAAGATACTGATTCATAAAGGAACGAAAATATTTGGAATGTTTAGTAATCCAGCAGGGAAAGGAAAAGATAAGCTTATATCTAATTAATTTTTGTTTTAAATAGTCACCCTACAAAATGAACAATTTCACAACACTGAAGGTTAAATACCATATCTATTACAATCTGCTAGAATGTTCTGATTGATTTGTTGGAAAGGAGAAAAGAAAATAGAAAGGTTAATTGTTTTAACTGAAAAACTATTGTCAGATAAAATTCAGTCGTATTTTTGTTGAAAAAAAAGTTTCATTTTGGGCGTGAAGGTATAGGAGGTGGTACGTTGGTACGTGGCGGGACGGGAGGCGGAGCGATAGAAGGTGCTGAAGGGGTTGAAGGAGGTGGCGGAGGGACCGTGGGCAGAGGGGGTGGGGGCATTGAGGGTGCAGGCTGTGATCTATAATCGTCGAAGGAGTCGCTCGAGTCTCTAGAGAAGAATTTAGGATGCTGACGTCTTGGTGATGCCGAGTGGAGCGGCGATCCCAACGGTGTCTTAACTGGCTGTGGAGGCCTCGTCGGTGGTAATGCCTTAGCCACTGGTACATAATTGCATAATGCAATAGTGTTGTTGTCAGTTAATCTGAGTTCTTCCTGAACTCTGTTTTCCCAGTCTTTAGAGGTAAACTGTACCTGGAAATTGCGCCCATTTACCAGAGTCGATCCACTTTGAGCTGCCAATAAAGCACTGAAGCTATCTCTGAATACTACATAAATCATATCTTCCACTTGTCTTACTATAACTACTTCACCGTACTGTGACATATTTTCTAAGAGAGACATTTTAAAATCCTCATCTGAGTTGAGGCTCTGATCGTCAACATTTATTATGACTGTCGCATCAGATGGACCTGTATTTTTCACAGCCTGTTTAAATACATTGTCTCTTAGACTTTCTTCGACATCGAAAATTTCTATGTCGAGTACAGCTATCACTGGACGGTGATCACTTTGTTTGAGTTCTGCCCTACCGTAATAAACGTTAACACCTGGGTTCCAATCGTCGGGCTTTTCTTCACCAAAAAACCTTCTCTTCCACAAAACTCTGTCAGTCCATGCTGGTGCTCTACATTTTTCACTTGTGTCGTAATCATTAGAGAACAGGTCATATTTGTAAGTCGGGTGGAATGTAATTTCACCTTCGCTGTAGTTTCTAAACACATTGCCAGCTTCTTTTTGTACCCTCAATTGATCATGTTGAAGAACCTGACTTAAGTTGCCCTCCTTTAAATGCTCTTTCAATTCGTCTTTGTCCATATCAACTCTATAATTAAAATCTCCGCACCATATTACATAGTCTTGTGACTTTAAATTTGAACCTAGAGGGAAAGTTATTTTTCTTGTTATTTCATTGTAATCAGAGTTTCTTTCATTGACTTGACTCTGCCCAGCTGCAAAATGAGCGCAAACAAATGTAATTGAAGTGTTGTACACTGTGCATCTAATAGCTACACCTCCTTTATTGCCAGTTGCACCTCCAAAACCCGTCTTCACAGAATCCACAGCTACATCCTTTAAATATTTGGCTAAATACGGTTGGATGAACAGGTATAGGCAGACACCCACAAGTTGTATGTATGTGACGAGTATATACGGCCTATCCCTTGATAATATTTTTTGCAGCTCTTCAGCCCAAGATTTTGCGTTCTCTGAACTAACTGCCATTATGTTGCTTGCATTCAAATCAACAAGTTCTTGAAAACCTATGGCATAAATATCACAAGGCGTATCACCCTCTAGAGTGTCTTTATACGCATCCAACAGCCAGTCTGCTAAAGAAACATCTTTGTATACTACACTTCTAAAATGTTTACCTCCGTTTACATTGTATGTTCCTATTCCAATTCTCAATTTACGTTTTTTTATGTAGTCTTCGTATTTGTCGCATAGATCTGTTAAAATGTTTGTCGACAAATGGATCATGCTCGGATCTAATAGTGTTCTAGCTCTGTCAGTTAAATTGCTGTTAAGGGCTTTTCCCAAGAGCAAAAAATCTATGGCTTCTTGTTTACTTGTGTCTAAGAGATTGTTCTGAATTGTTCTAGCTGCAGATCTGGCACCGTCCATGAATTTGGACCCTCCTTGGATGGCTCCAGTCCCTGCGTAAATTTTACTAACTTCATTACCATTATAGACCCACATCTGTTTGAATACTTCTTCAAACCTTGCGACCGACTGTTGTTTTTCTATCAGATCTAACATCTCCAGTTGTTTTCCCAACATTTCTAGCCCGATGAATGTCTGTACACAGTTTGTTCTGTCTAGACAGTCCAGGCAGTTTGTTCGTATAGTCCCAACCTGTTCTTGCATCACTTGACCTCCTTTTGAATAAAATATTGAATACGCTTTCAAATAAGTGTCAAGTTTGGCTTTCAGCTTGTTGAGATTTTTTGTATTTCCTCCTTTGCATTCTTGATGGTAATCAAAAACAATATGTTCTATGTCATTGTGTTGAGTGGACTTAAGTGCTTGTACATAGAGATTGGACAGCATACCTTCACTTTCTTTACTACCTACATGACTAGTACCTAAGAGATTCACGATAGTCTGATGGCCGTACCTTTCTTTGATGGAGGATATGTGTCGTTCGAAGGCGTGAATCGATGATTCTGGGCCTCTGGACATTTTAACTTTGTGCTGGCCAACCTGAACTCCTGTTTGTTCCCAGAACAATGGCACAGAGCCTCGGGTCTGGACGTACGATGCGACACAATCTTCCATAATTATAGCTTGTTCTGTTTCTACGAAATTAGCCACATGTCCTTCATCATTTACACCCCTGACGTGAAACCGTGTTCCAGTCCTCTCACTGCTCAAACGAGATATCATGACAGCTTTCCCCTGCCTTGCACCAACGTACACTGTTCTGATTTCAACACTACCGCACATGACTTTTTGCAGCCAGGCCGACTGGTCGATACCGAATCTCAGGAACGGTAAATGCAGGGTACGGTTCCAAAAGAACCTGTTATCCGTTTCGTTAGTCTTCGCTCTTCTTTGTGCACACAGAGTGATATCCTGAGCGTCTCCAGCTGAATTCCAGGAGAAATAAAAAGTGCCAGAATTAAGTAGTTTCTTTACTTCTGAGATGTGCTCTTCATCTTGAGGCTGCTTCCTCAGAGAAAGGAATGAAGTTTGAGTTATCCTGAACACTTCCGTATCTGCGATTTTCCCCAGTGATATACAACCTGTAATCATTATGAGATAGCTAACAACATCGGTGCCCACGTTGAGCTGTAAAATGCCCAATGAACCATATGCGTCAAGCATCTTGTTGTACTGTCTTTTAATTACATCCTTTTCTTTATTTGAAAGGCACACAATCGCATCGGACTCCAAGAGCAGGCATCCTTCCTTCGACCTCTGTTCGATTATTACACTGTACGGACCGGAATTGTTGTCTCTCTCAAACACACGAAAACTTTTTCCCATGGCCATGTTCAAATTAAACTTTTAAAAGTTTTAGAGAAAAAATAATATTTTGAGTCTTTTATTTTGAAGAGTGCTTCATTTCGGTACAACAGCTGTTCTCACACTGACTACTCCCCCTTTCGTCTTCTCGACTACCACCCCCTTTGCAATCTGGAAAATCAATATCAGCATGAGTTATCTAGGTTACAAGGTTGAGGCCCAAATAGTAGCACAACAACTTATAAACTTACTATTATTAATGTTGTATTAGTCTTTTTATTGACTTTTTTATTTAAGTTTATTGTGTTTTGCATTTTTAATTTATGTTGCTTATTTTACACCTCTTTACCATAATCTTGTTGGTTCTAAACTACAACTCTAATAATCACATTTTAAACTTAGGGTTTAAAATTTGGTTTCAATTGTAAACTTGACTTTGATTTAGAATTAACCAAAGCTCTATTGGCACCACCATATTTGGATATATGACATTTCATTAAAAAAAATAAGGATATTAAATATAAAAATAAAATATAATAAGCTAATTAGATATAACATTAAAAAAATAAAGAAGATAATCTACAATAAAAACAAAAACAGACAATGTAATCTAAAGAATATTATTACCTGGGTTTAGATTCAGAGTGTAGAACATCCTAAATTACATTTTCAAAAATGTAAAAATAAAACATCTATTATATCAAAGCCCTCAACAATAATTTAAACATTAAAAAAAAAAACGAAATTAAATACTTTTGACTACAGTTTTGTCCAGGAAGATATAAAAATTTACATCTGGAACATCGTTTGAATGTCAAAAAGGCCAATAAGTAAACTGATAAGGCAAACAATAAAATTTTATGAGGCCAAAATGTTCAAAGAGAGTTATAAAATTGGTGCAATAAATTTGAAGAAAAACCGTATTAAAATTGAATTGGAAACTGTATAGAAATAAGCAGGAAATAAATGCTTTTGACAATGGTTTTTGTTCACGAAGACATAAATTTACACATTGAACATAGTTTGAAGAATGTCAAAAATCCCAATAAATAAATCGATACGGCAAACAATTAAAATTTATGATGACCAACATGGTCAAAGGGAGTCATAAAATTGGTATAATAAATTTGACGAATAAAACCACATTTAAATTGTATAAAAGTATAACAAAATAAATTAATTAAATACTTTTGAAAATGGGTTCATCTGGGAAAACAAAATTACATCTTGAACATTGTTCGAATGCCAAAAATGCCAATAAATTGATAAGGTAACAAATTAAACTTCATGAGATCAAAAATGTTCAAAGGTGTCATAAAATTGATTTCAATATATATATTTTTTTTGCCTTATGATCTTGCATATTAGCCATGGTACGAATTCTTGTGTGTTCAAATTGGGGGTTATCGGGAAAAAAGGGCCAGAGGCGACGGTGGGAATCGAACCCACGACCGCGGCGTGAGTCTCTCATGCTAACCACTCGGCTACCGCGGTCCCCCCGGTTCAATATATTTGATGAAAAAACCATATTTAAATTGAATTTGAAACTGTTATAGTACAAAATACCAAATTAATAACATTTCCCTTTAAATTAACAAATTAAACTTTATGAGGTCAAAAATGTTCAAAGGTGTCATAAAATTGGTTGCAATATATTTGATGAATAAAAACACATTTAAATTGAATTTGAAACAGTTTGAAGGCCCAAAGTTACATCTTGAACATCATTCGAATGAGAAAAGCACAATAAATAAATTGATAAGGCAAACAATTAAATTTTATGAGGCCGAAATGTTGAAAGGCAGTCATAAAACTAGAGCGACAACTTTGACGAATAAAACCATATTTAAATTGAATTTAGAACTGTTATAGTACAAAATACCCAATTAATAATATTTCCTTTGAAATTAACAATAAAGAAAAGTATATTTGTTATCATGGAAAGAGTAAATAATGTAAGAATGCCCAACAAAATAGAATTTTCTTTTAAAATTTTCAACTCTTGTTAAATATGAGTACTGTGTATGTTCAATTTTGGTTCAAAATATTTATTTTTACATACTTATATTTTTTTAAATAAAAACAGAAGAGTAGTGAATATTTTTATTATATAATAAATTCTCTTAATCATAGATGTAGCACTATATTTTATTTATCAGGATTAACATGCTTGAACAAGTCTCTCTTCGCTAAATATATACACTTACCAAATCAGAGTTTATCATGCAATAAACACGGCTGCTAAACAGTAAATAGAATGTATTTGAAATGCTGTTTATGTAATTTTGTAAATTCAGGAAAATATGTTCACAATGAATGTTAAGCTGTTATGTAACAAGAGACTTACAAGACCATAAAATTAATTTCAAACACCTCACATATTTATATAACAGGTGAAAAACACATATCAACAATGACATCTAATTTCCCCCAATTTGGAAAGTTGTTCATTAATTGTCCACCAATTTTTAGTCCAGGACAATGTAAATTGATGCTTTATTAATGTAAGTTTGCCTTTGTTGCTTACCTCACGTTATAAACATAAATTATATTGTTTTGATGTTTTTTTTTTATAAGCCTCTATACTTTCAGTAGTCAAAATGGAAAACTGGAGACTGCCCTCCTCTTTGACAACAAGTTCATATTGTTTCTTTCTATCTCTATAAAGGATGAGGTTTCATTCATCCCTACCTCTATGCAGAGACCCTATCTTCAGAGAGGCACCAGAACTAATTTATTTGAAATTAAAACAAATACATGCCCTGTTTATTAATCCTGTACTAATCTAATCTCTCTAGCTTTTGCTAATTACTATTTAATAATTACAAAGATTGAAAAATTGCCAAAATTTAAAATTTGTATTGAGAAGTTGGTCGAGACAAGAAAAATTTTGCTTAAGAATTCGACGTTTCTTGTACTTTATTAATATAATTTTTTTATAAGGTGCATAACTTTTATTAGATCTAATTAAAATTATGACTAAGTGAAGGTATTAAAATTTTAACAAATAAGTTGAATTTTAGCTAAATTTGAATAAGTATAGTGAGATCAGCATCCTTAGTGTCAGGTAGTCCATAAGTGCCTAGTACGGGCAGTATGGTTTTGTTTAAAATAGTGTTTTTCAATCATTTAAAATGTTACATTTTCAAACTTATTAATGTTTTAATTAAAATCTTGATATACACTACAAAAGTTCCAATTTTTCCAGGAGTACGTACTTGAAGCAACATTGAACATTTTCTTAAAATTAGCCTACAGTTGGTTCTTTGTGGCCTATCAATTCTTCATATTGTTGCCAAATGCTTTCAATATAAACATTTGAGTATATATTCAATTTTCAGATAGTTCTCATCTCGCTTTGGAGTACTTTGTCATAGGTTTTTAATTTTATTAGTCTTTATGTTATAACATATTAGCCAGAGTAGTGTAGTATGTAATATTTATTTATTGGGGGAAGGGTAGCATAAAAAAAAGGCCAGTGGGCTTCTGGGGGAATTCAACCCAAGGGTTTTAAGACGAGTCCATCATGCTGACCACTCTGTCATAGGATAAACAGACCAGTTGACAATGGAGCATTATTATGGATTTTTTATTTCGTATTGCCTGAGGAAACAGCTATTACAATCCTGATCTGTCATTTCTTGTGAATTTTGACTGCATCCTTTTTGATTATAACTAGTTGTAGGTCAAAGTAATAAGATCTTTAGGTGAATTTAAAAAAAAAAAGATAACATCTCATACAGTTTTTAATTAATCAAAAACAGATTTTCATCGGCGGTTACTATAACATTAATATAAAGTTTTTTGTTGACTAATTAAAAAATAAATATTGGGTTGTCCGGAAAATAATGCAGGATTTTGGTATTAAACAAAAAAAAAGAAACTAGTTACTTTAAAGCAATGTTCTTTAATCAAAATAATTTCCCATACTCTCAATACATTTCTCCCAACGTGTTGGTAACTTATTAATTCCGTCTGAGTAGAATTCAGAATTTTTAGAATTGATAAAGTCAATAAATGCATTTTCCAGTTCCGTTTGATTTTTGAATATTATGTGTTGTAAGTAGTGGTCCAGGTGTCTAAAAAAATGGTAGTCAGTAGGCGAGAGGTCCGGAGAGTAGGGTGGGTGAGGCAAAGTTTCATAGCCAAGCTCCAATAATTTTTGTGACGTTACACGTGACACATGTGGTCGAGCGTTGTCATGCAACAAAATGGGCCCTTTCCGATTGACCAAAGAGGGCTTCATTACTGCCAATTTCTGATGCATGGTATTAATTTGGTTACAGTATGATTCAGCATTGATGGTTTCGCCAGGATTTAAGAAGCTGTAGTGTATTAAACCAAATGAAGCCCACCATACCGTAACCATTACCTTTTTTTGATGAGTTGGGGGCTTTGGAAAATGTATTGGAGCTTCTCCTTTGTCGAGCCACTGTCCAGAACGTCTAGTGTTATCGTAGAGAATCCACTTTTCGTCACATGTAACAATTCTGGCCAGAAATGGGTCATTTTTGTTTCGACAAAGAAGTGATGCACAAACATCAAAGCGCTGATTTTTTTGGCGATCGTTTAATGAGTGTGGAACCCAATTTTCGAGTTTTTTCACTTTTCCAATCGCCTTGAGGTGGTCAGCGACGGTCGTTTTACTGACTTTGAGTTGCTCTGCAAGTTCTCGAACAGTTGTTTTGGGGTTTTCTTCCACCACTGATCGCAGAACATCATCATTAAGAGAGGAAGGCCTTCCACGACCTTCTTCATCTTCAAGGCTGAAATCTCCCTCCCGAAATTTTTTAAACCACCTTTGCACAGTGCACTCATTAACACAACCCTCGCCCCAGACTTGGTTAATGTTTCTAGCCGTTTGGGCTCCGCTTCGGCCGAGTTTAAACTCGTAAAAGAAAATCGTACGAAATTCTCGTTTTGACATTATAAGGATGACTGAATTATTTCCAAGTAGCGGAATGCTACAGAGGTAAACAAACAATATCATTTGGAAGAGGATTAATAATACAAATGAGTAATCCTGTAAACGTAAACAGAATATTTTATATAGATTTTTTTTAATGAAAACTTAAAATCCTGCATTATTTTCCGGACAACCCAATAATAAAGATTGTAAAAAAGTCATCTGTTATTGAAAAAAATGCAATAACATTTGGCTTACTTTATTTATTATCTTTTTTGGGAGTTAAGTGAGTCAGAATGTAAGATTAAGATTAAGGCTAGAGTAGGAACCAGCCTCTTTACAGGACGTAAAGTACCTGTCACTGCGACCAGTATTAGTCTATTGTGCATCTCCATTGTTTAGTTTGCCATTAAGCTTAAGGCTTTTTATCAGATTCCAAAGTTTTTGCAAGGATTCGCGAATGTATTTTTCAGGCCCTGGCTTTTCCTCAGGAATAGGAATCTCAGCCTATATAAGCACCAGCAGAATATACGTTCCATTGTATCTTCTTCCTGATGTGTTCATGCATGTTTCTGCCACTCTGAGTCCAGTGCAGTGTCTAGTTATCAGCCCTACTATTATTCTGGTCCTAAAACATCCTTGATTTTGTTGTTGTGCTGTTTCTGTGATGGTCTTTGATGAAATTTTTCACATGCTTTTGTCTTGGGAAACATTTCTATTGTTATTATTACGGAGAACTTAATTTTAATCCATTGTCTATTGTTTCCACGTTTCTGGTTGTTTGGTTATGCCAGTAAAGTGTTCAGACCAATAGGTGTACTTGTTGAATTTTCCTTAGACAATTTTTTGTCGCCCCTCTGGTATGCAGGCAAAGGTAATTTTGTACTTATCCCCAATGTCCGACAGGGCCCTAATGCAATCCAAAATAACTGAACTTCACTTTAGCTACAGTAATTCTCCTCAGTGCACCTGGCTGTTGTCAAGGCCTAATTTTCTCAGCTTCTAGTAAATGAATCATTTTCCTTTTCCTTTGTAAAGCATGTACAATCACATAATGTTTTTGGATTTGTGTAAAACCATGGAGTTTTTGTCTTACTCAAACTCAAGTGTCTAGATTCCTACTAATGTGTTCAACTTAGTACTTATACATAATCCCATAGATTATTTTGTAGACACTGCTCTTTTCCGCATTGTGGATTGGGTTTTGAAATTAGAGATGTAGGTTCTTGATTTAGTTCAATCTGAATGCAACTTTATTTCTTTTTTGTTGAAGGACTTTTACCACTTTTGTACCTAGTCCCTCATAGTATGCAAACTACACCATTGATGAGGTGGCCTGTTTTCTGCCCCAATATGTTTTTTAAATAATGGTTTTAATTTTTAATAAGGGTTACTCTAAGATTTTATATTTATTAGGCTTCAATCAACAATATCGTCCTGGTCTGTTGAGTGTTTTAGTTTCATTTTATAAGTATGATTGGCATTGCTAAAGTGCTTTACGGGACTCTTAACTTTGATTAATTTCCTTTTAATAAGATCAAGTTACAAATACAGTTGTTTTTTTGTTTTTTTTCAGTTAAAAGACAAAATTTTGTTCCAAGTTTATGTCCAACCTTAGTTAAACTACAAATTAATTGACAAGAAGCAAAAAATAATAATTTGAAGTTGAAACCTTATTACTAAATTATTGCATGTACATTTTTAATGAATAATTTAAATAAGACATGTTAAATGAAATTTTAAATTTAATGATTAAGGAAGCAATCGCATGGCAGAAAGTCGACACAGTAGGAGCTGTAGCTGTAGACTTGACAGGCACAGTTTCTTCTTGCTGCTCCAGTGGCGGAGTCCTGTTGAAAAGGAGCGGCCGAGTTGGTCAGGTAATTTAATAAAAACTAACTCCAACAATTAAACTCAATTCAGGAATTGCAGGCTGCTATTTATGGCTGTGGATGCTGGGCTGAAAACGGCTCCCAGTGTAACACAGTCGGCGTGTCCATTTCCGGTACGGGAGAAGATATAATAAAGACGACGCTGTCAAAAGAAGTCGCCAGATCACTCAAGACAAGCGATTTTCCCGTCTTGAGCCTCGACAAATGTCTTAACCAGACATTTTTAGGTGAGTTTGCTAAAACCTTTATACAAATTGGGTTTATAAACTTTTATTTCACAGAATCACCGTATTTGGGTAATGATTGTACGAGAATTTGCGGAGTCATTGCGGTCCTGTACAAAGAAGGATCGGGGGAATTTCTCTGGGGACATACATCGCAGTCCTTCGGAATTGCTTACATGTCTTCAAAACAAAAAAAACCAATTGTAAGATGTTAACAAAAATCCATTCTTTGTATGCATGTATTAAAATTTAAAATTAAATATCTTTATCAGTCAAGGAAATATATGGTCTGTCAGACTGGCGCTTTTGCTAAATTTCACAGTGGTACTGGGATGAGGATAGAATAAAAAAAAAGAGCTTTACCACAATACTAATTATAATTATTAAATAATTGTTAAAGTAGTAAAAAAAACGTAAAGGAAGAAAGTAAAAAAAGCAAAATTTCTAGGTGTGCCACTTTTTTTGTGGAACAGTGCATTCTAATTATGGCTATTATATTATGTTATGTTATTAAAGGTACATATTGAAATAACCCTCATTTACTATTTTGTAAGTATTATTGTTCATTATTTTCAGGTGAGGATCAGTCGTCTTCCCAAGAATGTTAAACCAGGAACAAAAGTCAGTATCGAAGGAGTCACTTGGTGACGAAAGGGAATTAATCCGTTCCAAAATGGTAAAAATGTTCAAAATTGCTAAATCGGATTTTTTATCAACTTTTCCCCCAATTTAATGTTATTATTTATAATTCATTATACATATGTAATAAACCTTGTGTATGTGAGGGCGCAGCTGTAAAATCTGAGTGATAATTGATAAATGTACTTAATATTAATAAATTGTAAGGGTTGGATACAAATATTTAGATCTAAACAAAAAAGTGTTTTATTTACATGTTGCCATAATTTAAGAACGAAAACTTGTATTTCTTATAAACATTTATTTAAAAAACTTGTATTTCTTATAAACATTTATTAAAAAAAAAAAAAAAATCTTATAGAATAGAACTTTATTTCAGCTACATTGAGGATTAATGGAGTGGGTTTAATAAGTCAGTGAGATATTGGTACTGAAAAAGAAAGATTAGTATTAAAATTTACCAAAATCTTAAAAATCCTACATGTTTTAAATAATATAATTACCTCTTGTTCTTTCTCCAACTGCTGTTGGAGGAGGTTGTCAAGAAGGTCCTGGAACCTTTGCCTCAGGGCGTGATTTTCGATGTTGGCCACTTCCATCTCCTGCTGATTCCTCCTTTCCTTCAGGTCGGCCAGGTCTTTCTGCAGTTGGTCGACGCGAGCTCGGATTTCATCTAAAAGAGAAAAATATATAAATGTGAACAATATTCTATTTTGCATGGAATTGAAATTTACCTATTGACAGAGTGTGCGCCGGTTTGTATCCGGAACGTCCAAATTCAAATTCATCGTCCTCGTCTAGATCATCATCAGACGTCCTGTTGTTGTCTTTGGTAAACATGCTCTTTGAAAATTCAGTAACAAGGCCGGATCCTGATGCTGAATTATCACCGACGCCAGGAGTCTGCCTTCCACTATTCTATTTAAAAAAAAGTTTATTTTTCATGTATAAATGTGTGGTGATAAGTGACCGTTAGTCGATGATTATTCAGAAATTGTGAGATGCGGTCTGGTGTGATGTAGGTTTCAGAAAAACATTTTCTTTATCATGACAACGTTTCGATCTTTATTGAGATCAGCCCTGAAGATTGAAACGTTGGCACGATAAAGAAAATGTTTTTCTGAACCCTACATCACACCAGACCGCATCTTACAATGTCTGAATAATAATTTATGTTTTCATTTAAAAGGTTAAATTATTTAAATACGTACATTCATGGACATTGAATCAGAAATTCTACTGTCATCAGCAGAGAGGCGGCTATTTTCCTCCATTTCCTCGATAATGTCGATCCTTGCCTCTTCTTCATCAGAGTCGCTGACAGCCTCACCAAATATATCATGTTCGGCTAAAAACAAATAATTTAAAACAATTTATCGGTAAATTATATCAAGAAATGCGTACCGACGTCCACTGATGTTTGTGTGTTTGTATCTGCGATTGTATTCGGCTCTTCTTTGATCACGATGTTGCCCATGTTGTCGCCCTGCGGAGCGGTAGCCATTGAAGTCTTCTTTTCATCCTCTTCTGAGATCACTTCCCACTTGACGGATACGGCGTCGTTGTCGCCTCTCAGCAAACGTTTGACTTCCTTTTCAACCTCAGGCGCCTCGACGTACTTCTTTTTGAGGGTTTTTCTAAATCTCCTGCGCCGTACGTTTTTAAGAGGGGGTGTGATCCCATGAGGCCAGAGGAACTTTTTGTCCACCTTGTTTGGATCTTTCTTCTTATGCTTTGCTGGCGATTCATCATCGGTTGTTTGATCGTCTTCCTCTTTACATATCATCATCTTTACAACATTTAAATTTATCATTAAAAATAAGCAAAAAATAAAATATAAACTTTATTACCTGACAGATATCAGCCGTTTTGTAAAAACTCTTATTATCAATTGTCTTCAAGGATTCGACTATTGTCGGCAAATCTACGACCTGAAAAAAACAAAAATTTTCAATTTGAGTCAAGGGTTTTTGGACAGGTTTTTATACCTTTGCATGGAGGAACCAGTTGTCTATCCTAACTTCGCCATACCGAACATCATTCTCAAGTCTGATGGAAAATCTGTCTTTCAAGTTGTTGGATCCACTCCTTAAAATCTCACGAAGTGCCATCGCTGGTTCCTTGTGAAGGAAAAACATGTAGATACAATTTTCATACAATCGAAGGTTCAGGATATCAAAAATATGTAGTTAACCATTGAATATGTATGTAGTAACGATGTAGTTATCGACCAGCAGTTTTTAATTCTAGATGTACATCAGGGATGTGTTCCAATAAACAAAACTTTTATTAGTTTGATAAGCTTTCAGCATGTATATTTTTTAATTTTTGTAATTGTAGAAAATTATTTTTTTTATTGCTACAGAAATAAACGGTTTTTATAAATAATTGTTATATTATTTTAATGTAATCTACTATAGTTGGTATATAAGAACAAACAGATCAGAATGATCAAGGACGATCAAACTAGTTATTTAAGCACTAAGCCTAATGGCACACCCAGCAAACTTGATCAAGTGTTTATCAAGAGAAAACTGAGTCAGTGAATCGTACATAATTGCAACTACAGAACCTTTTCAAAGCTGGCGTGTAGGCACCGCTACATTTGTCAGCTCAATGCTACAACTAAGAATGCACTGATGTATTTCAATAACGCTTCAGTCAAAACTGATATTTGCCATTGGCCTAAAACGATGTTATTTAAGATAATCTTTGAATTAATCAATTTGCTATGTATGACGTGATGCAAGTAAATGTAGAAAATAATTGAAATGTAGTAAGAAAGGGACCAGTATGGCCAGGGATACTAGGGGAACACACGATTAAGTCTTATTATTTTACTACTATGACAAGATTTGTTGAAAATTGATTCAAGTAATTTCGTATTGTAACTGTGCAAGCATCATTATAAGCTATCCAGAGCAAAATGTAGTTTTGAAGGATGATCTTAGTCGATCAGTTTGATCTGCTTTTGTTTTGAACTAAAAATAGAAATATGACTGAAACCCACCAGGAAAAGGATGACAAGAGATGATCAGACTACTGGTCAAACACTATTTATTACTACTTTTGCAATATTAAAAACTGGTCAGTTTTTTAAGATGAAATGTTGTAAATACCTCAGGCAGCCTCAGTATAAACTGCCATTCCAGCTCGACAGGAGGTTCGGTCGTAGTTGCAGTCTCTTTTTTGCTCATTTTTCACTTGACAAATTATGATTAAGTCACAAGATTTGACATATCTTGACACTCAAAAAATGAAAATAGAAAAGGTTCAGTTGACAAGAGTCGTAGGTTATCTTTATGGTTATAAGTTCCTAGTAGCGCCTACTGACGGTTACAGTTCAAATTAACTTGAAAAAGAAAAGCGAAACTAGGCGGGCCCACGAACTGAAGTAGAAATAAACGATGACAAACAAACCAAGTATTTTTATGTATTTGTTTATTTTGGACCAAATCTTAATAATAGATACACATTTTTGAGGGATGAATGTCTGAAAATATATCCAAATGTCGTTATTCTTCTTTTCTGTTGTATATTACAGTATTGTGCACTTGTTATTGTTGTGTATTGAATTATAAGCTAATTATCATTATTTTAACTCGAAGGGTTCATAAGAGGAACAATTTTAATATCGGTGTTTAAAATGTTCAATTTTTCGGACTTTCGAGTAAGATTGAAGATTGATTAAAAATAGATTGACTTTTTTTTAAGTAAACAGTCCAATTTTAATTTTTTTTTAACTTAATCACATATCATATTAATCAACTTAATCATTAAGTAAAGTGTTTTGTAAGAAAACGGCCGTTTTATTGTAACAACTGTACCAAAATTTATATAAATTATAAGATGGATTTATATGGATTATAAGATATAATGGAGATGAAATTATCAAAGTGGGTGCTAGTACACCTGGTTGACAGCATTTAGAGTATTTTTACAATTATATATATATANTAGATAGAGAGAGAGAGAGAGAGAGAGAGAGTGAGAGAGAGTGAGAGAGAGAGAGAGAAGTATGTATTTGAAAAGTAAAGAAAGTGGGTTAAATACGAAATTTATACATACAAAAATAGATAGATAGGTAGGTAGATAGAACTACCAATAGATAAATAGACATATAGACAGTTAGAAAGGCAAACAGACAGACAGATAGATATATAGAAATATAGTTAGATAGACAACCGGACGAACAGATAGATCAATAGATACATAGAAATATAGATTTATAGAAAGGCAGACAGAGGGATACATGGATAGATAGAAATATAATTAGATTGGCAGACGGACACACAAATACATAGAAAGATCAATAGACAGATAGAAATATGGATATATAGAAAGGCAGACAGAGGGATATATGGATAGACTGATATATAATTAGATAGACAGACAGATAGGCAGATATATAGATATAAATATCTATAGATGGATAGATAGAAATACATTTATATTGACGAACAGAAAAGCAGATAGATAGATAGATAGAAATATAGTTAGAAGGATTGATTTAGAAAGACAGACAGAAAAGCAGATTCATTCGCAGAAATATCTATAGATGGATAAATATATATAGATAGTTAGAAAGTCAAATAGACAGACAGATAGATAGAAATGTAGTTAGATAGACGACGGACACACAGATACATAGTTAGAAAGGCAAATAGACAGACAAATAGATAGAAATATAATTAGATAGACAGACGGACACATAGATACATGGAAAGATCAATATACAGATAGAAATATAGATATATAAAAATTCAGATAGAGAGATAGATGGATATATAGAATACATTTAGATAGACGGACAGAAAACCAGATAGATAGATAGAAATATAGTTAGATAGATAGATTTAGATAGACAGATAGGCAGATACATCGACAGAAATATCGTTAGATGGATAGATATATAGATAGTTAGAAAGGCAAATAGACAGATATATAGATAGAAATGTACTTAGACAGACGGACACACAGATACATAGAAAGATCAATAGATAGATATAAATATAAATATATAGAAAGCAGACAGAGGGATAGATGAATAGATAGAAATATAATTAGATAGACGGACAGATAGATAGAAATATCAATAAATGGATAGACTTATAGATAGATCAAAAGGCAGACAGACGGATAAATAAATTTAAATTTTAAAAAATATTAAAATTTAAAAAAGTAAAGAAAGGTAGTGAATTATGAATATATACATATATAGTTTTTTAAAAGAACTTTTTTTTTTAATGAAGTTACGTTGAAAGATAAATAGGTAGATTGGAAGATAGATCGAGAATAAAAAAATTAAAGAAAAATGTTAAGCACGAAATATACGCATAGAAAGATAAATAGATATACAGGTAATTTACTAGATAAATGAGATTTGAGAATAATAAAGATAATGCTAGGATGGAGATATATAGAGATGCAATAGATAGTGATATGTAGAGATAGATGATGCAAAAATGGATAGTTAAAGTTTAGAGGTACAGGTAGAGATAGAGGACGTAATTGTAAGAGGAAAAAGAAGGAGAGTGGTTTAAGGTCTGTTCGCCCGAAATCGTTTGTTTTTAAATTTGTCAAAAAAATTTTCGAATATCAACGTCCTATTTCTACCATATAAAATCGTACGAACTTCCAGCTGCACGTATATAAAAACCGACTTGTCCCCATATATTATTTGATAAGATCTTTTAGATTTTTTCTCTTTTCAAATGATTTAATTATAATTATAATTGGCCTGTAGATGTTATTTGTTTTTCTTTTGAACGCGTCATTTCAAGATAATGTTTTGATAAATAAACCAGGCTTCTTGACAAAAGCCAATTCCACCACTGGCCTAAGTAGGACTTACACGGCCCCTGTTCCACTGTGACAAAATTGATTATTCCAAATAATTTCAGTAAGTAACTTGAATAAAAAATTATTTATAAATATTTAATTTATTACGTTTATTTTAAATCACAAAATTCTTTCCTGTGCATTAAAATCCTGTCTGTTCGAATGTGGAAAAAATGTAAATTTACTGTCTAAATTACAATTATATTTAAATCAACCACCATGTTAATTTAAATCGAATGTAGATTACACGGCCTTTAATAAACCAGGACGGTAATTATTGTTATTTAAAGGTCGATCGTTGAGTTATTGAAATTTTATGTTATTGTAAGTACATTTTTTTAAATGTATATATTTACGTATAAAAATTAATTTAAATGATTGAACTATTAATTTATCTTTTTTTCTTTATGTTTTCTATATACTTTTTTCCCGCTCTTTTATATTTTATTTTGCCAATATGAATTTTGTACAAATTTGTGTAGAATTGCTGTGCTTGTAAGCATGAATACTATGTTTCTTTATTACGTTCTTAATTAATTTATAAATAATTAAAATTTATGTTAACATTTAGAAATTTAGAGGCCATGTTTTGGCGAAGAGATAGTAGATGGAACTAGCCTTAGGCACAATAATTGTTGTACTGTTTTCTAGAATTATTTCCTGTTGGATCATGGGGTTAACAGATCGTGCAATTAGCTAGCAAATTTAAAAACAAAACATCAAATGCCCAAATTGGGCGTAAACCGTGTGTACAGTCATTGTCATTCCGCCAATGAATTCCGGAAGTGGGTCGAATTGTCGACGTACCCAATATAAAAATGACTTGCCATTGGAACGTTTAAAAAGCTCAGTTCCTCAAAACTCAAACGAAACGTAAAACTTAAATAAAAAAACAAGTTGTAGAGCTAAAAGTCCTTGTTTAAAACGCTACTCATTATTTCTGAGCCGATAAGAGTTAACTGACATTGGTTACATGTAATAGAAAACTTTCTAAAATTGAGGAAAACCCGCACGTGAATTTGTTTAGATTGATAACATAGAAACTGCTTTCGTTGATAGTTGAAAAAAAGTTTCAACCCGTCGAAAAATTATGTTCTAGTTGAGATAGTCACGTTTGAATTAAAGTTCGATCAATTTTGCGTTTTTACTACTGAATCTACATTTCGAAACTTCCTTTTTTTTGCTATAAGATGAAATTTAATCTTACACGTTTTACCATTCCATACTCTAAAACGTTTATTGTTTCACAAAAAAGTATGTTGATTTTTCATGAATGGAATCCAATAAGCGAAAAAGAGGTTCGAGATAGTAAGGCGAGGGCCATCAAGTATTTATCAACAATGTACACATAAAACAAAAAGAGTGAAAAAGAGAAAGGGGTTAGAGAGAAAAAGAGATGAATGTGAGAGATAGACAGAAAGAGAGAGAGAGAGAGAGAGAGAGAGAGAGAGAGAGAGAGAGAGAGAGAGATAGTTAGATAGAGAGATAGATTGATACAAAGATCAATATACAGAAATGTAGATATATAGTAAGGAAGACAGGCAGATAGATAAATATAAGAAATATAATTAGATAGAAGGACAGACAGATAGATAGAAATATCAATAGGTGGATAGAAATGCAGATAGAGAGACAGATAAATAGATAGAAAGTTCAACAGATAGATGGAAATATAGATAGGTAAAGATAAAAATAGAAAGAGTGGTTGAGAAAAAGTGAGAAACGCACAGAGAGAAAAACAGAGGGAGAGAGAGAGAGAGTGAGAGAGAGAGCCAGAGAGAGAGAGAGAGCCAGAGAGTGAGAGAGAGAGAGCGAGAGAGAGCCAGAGAGCCAGAGAGAGAGAGCCNAGAGAGAGAGAGAGAGAGAGAGAGAGAGAGAGAGAGAGAGAGAGAGAGAGAGCCAGAGAGTATATCAATATTTTATGATTTTTTTCTTTTTTCTTGGAGAACGTACAACTACAAATAGTCTTATTTGTTCTGACAAAATTTCAATTGCCTTTTTGGAATCTATAAAGTACATAAATGCAGAAATACAACTTTGTTTTGGGTGATACAAATAAGGTGAGCATGACCTGGCGGAAAGCAAATATTTTGAGTTTATTTTTTTCGATATTTCTTTTAAAGAGTCGTCCTCAGCAAAAAATTCCCATTCACTACAATGATATTTGTAAACTTTCAGCCGTTAAAAGACCCAAAGGAAATTATATCCCTGTATTAAAACGGATATCAAAAGGCGGCGGGGCTGGCGCAGGCGTCGGCAGCGATCTGGATATAGATTTTCTCGTGGGACTCCTCTCACATCTCTCAATCCACCCTTTTCAACCCCTGCAGACGAATCGCACCACCAACAACCCTCGGCTACCTCCCGAGACAGTCCACCTAGGGGGTGAGTATCACACTTTCACTCTTCCTTCTTCTCACGGAACAGGAAAGAAGTTTGGAATGGGCTAAATCGATATGAAACCACCTAGCATAAGGGGATTTTTTTAACTATAAAGTTTTGGCCAAAAATTGCAATGTTTTTATATCATGAAAGTTTTACTTAATTTAATAATTTATTTTGATAGATTTTTTAAACGTATATGTTCAATGACAGTTTGATATTTCAAATAATGTGAAATTGGTAGAAAATTTCAATGTTTGAACTTAACCATTTTTAAAAATTTAAAGTTTTCTCATTACTTTTTTTTTTAAAGATTTTGTCTATATTAAACAGGATTTTCATGAAAATACATACAAAAACTCTAGTTTCTTCTCGCAAATTATAATACGTAACAATAAATTTCAAGTTTAATGCAATCATCTTTAAAAACAACGCTCGTTACTTTCAATTTGAAATTTTGTTCCTGGCCTACATTAAAAAAGAAAAAAAAAGAATGAACAGAATCCAACAGGAATCCCTGGGGATGAAGACTGAATTGATATTGATCACCTCTGAGCTGATCCCCTGTCATCAGATGCTGATCATTGCTCATCAACTCTGACACGCCTTTTTTGCATTGCCTTATCCTAAGACTTTATACATACAGGGCAAAAGGTGGCCAAATGATCAAACAGCAATTATTTTTACAACCCGTGTTAAAAATATTTAAAATATTTCTTAATGATCTTTTATTTTTGTCTTTAACGGGCATTTTGTATAGGGACGAGAATGAGGACTTCATCGACAGGCCATATCGTTTCATCAAATTAATTAATTAATGACAGTTTAGCAAATATTTGCCAGAATCTTCCCTGTCGTAGATCATCTCTAGGCCATTTTTAACTGGTTTGTTCCGTTTTTTACAATTTTTTTCTTCATTGGCCGTTTCCAATTTGTAATTTACATCGACATTGATGGCGTCTGTAACAGAACAAACAACGCAGATAGGCCGACCCAGAAAATGTTCGGGTATCGATCAAACTGCTGACAATGCTGTTTCACTTTTAATTCCTTTTTGCTTTGCAACTTTCCTGATGTTTAAAATACTCCCCCGGACAAAGAAAGAAACTCCCTTCGGTGGATGGACGGCACATGTAACTACGTACATAAGAAGTCCATTTGTCTCGTTAAGCAACGTGCGTTTGCCAATATTTGTAATTAAACACGATTGTGATACGTTTTTCCGATGTAAGGCGTTATTTATGTTGATAGCCAACATTTTCAGCCTTGAATAAAAGTTTTGTAAGCCAAAGTGGCAAGCAAGACATTTTTCATTTGTTGCTCAACATCATACATTGATATACCATCTCCAACTCACATCCAGATGGCGCAGATGTTCCTCTAGGTTCCAAACTAAACCCCATCTTATTTTTCACTTTCGTTTCACAGCTTGAAAATTCAAAAAACCTCGTCCCCAACAAATTTATTTTTACAGTTTAATCTATTGAACACAACAGCTATGTGTTTTTCAACGATCCATTCTGAGCCAACTATTATTTATCGCATGTTGCTACTTCTTGCCTAAACTTTTATAATATAATCATCAACTTGACGTTGATTGTTAATAATGATCAGAATGAAGCTATAGTTAATCAATAAAAGTAGGCCAACCAACAACCAAATAGTGCAGTTATTCCTCAAGGTTTCATGCTAAGCCCTATTCTATTTTTGGCCTATTTCAATGCCCAACATGAATAAAACTCAACTTGCCCAATAAATATTCATACGGCGCACAGCAGCAAGGGGTTTTTATCAAGGATCCATTCTGAGCAAAATCTTATTTATCGCTTGTTATTACTCCTTGCCTAAACATTTATAATATAATCATTAATTGGAGAATTAATTTACAATAATAATCTCAAAATTGAAGCTATAGTTAAACAACAAAAGTAGGCCAAAACACTTCCAAGTATTGCAGGTGTTTCTCAAGGTTCCATGCTAAGGCCCATATTATTTTTTTGACCTATTTTAATTCCCAACATGAATTTTACAAGTTCAACAAGTCTAACAAATGTTTTCTTTCGAAAAAATTGTTTTCACACAAGTCCTATTAACAAACAAAGTGAAGTGTACAATAAAATAAAAACGATTGAAATGTCCATCCATTATGTCCATTTTTAAAAAAAAAAATTAAAAAAAAAAATGCAAAATTAACCATAAAATAAATAGTTAGATAAAGATGGATATCTTATTGGAAAATCTAATTTTTTAAGAAATCAGCAGTGTATTTCTCAAGGAAACATCCAGAACCACTTTTTATTTATTGCCCTTATTTCCTTTTTAAAATTTAATTATCAACTTGAAAATTAACACATAATTATATCAAGATTAAAGCTATAGTTAATCAATAAGAGTAGGCCAACAAGTAACCAAGTAGTGCAGGTGTTCCTCAAGGCTCTGTACAAAGCCCCTTGTTATTTTTATCATATTTTAATTAGTTGCATATCTCAATCAGGTAAACAAATCTATTCTTAATGAAGAATTGATTTCGCACAAAAGTTTAACAACAAACAAAGTGAAGTATAAATTGAACATAAAATATTAAAATGTATGATGGCAAATCTTTAATTTATATGTCTTCTTGTCTTATTGTTCATAACTTGATACGTACAAAGTTGACATTGTGCTTCTCAAGGTTACGTAATATGCCTAATCTAATTTATTATTTCCGCCTGAAATTTCATAATATCACCATTATCCTGAATAATCGACTGTAAATAGCAGAAAACTAAATCGACAGATAAATTAACAAATAAACAAAATATTGTACAATAAAAAAAACTGGATGTCAGTGGCCACAACGGTTTATGCATTGACATGGTGCTCATCACTATAAAGCAAAGGTCCCAGGTTCTAATCCAGCGACCTTGCTTACAAATGGGCTATTTTTCAAAAACACCAGCACCCCAGTTGATACGGCTTCTGCTGTTGCGAACCCTCATAAAAAAATGAATTAAAAATAAATAAATACAAATAAAAAAAGAGAGGGCATATAATACAACATATCAGTAGGACGTTGAGAGTTTGTCAGGTGAAATAAGGCTGGCAAAAAATGTAAATTTTGTGATAAAATTAACAATGCCTCTCAAAAGATATTATTCATAATGCTAAAATATCTGCCATTTGTTGAATACCATGACAGTGCCAAAAATTTAATTGTGCAATATACATAGCAATTCTGCCAAAAATACATTTTTTCATGTACTACACCTGATGAGAAAAATAAAAATAACACATTACAATAAAAATATATTCACATTAGTTTCTTTTTTGTAGCTTGTAGTGTAAGTTATACAGGTTTTTTAGCATGTTTGTTTTGTTTTTAGTTGACTGAATTTAGAAAAAAATTAATGGATTTTGGATCGAGGTATATGTTTATTTCCAATTAAATTTGACATTTAATAACAAGTAAAGAAAAAATAGTCTATTAACTCTGGATAAAAGAAATAGAAAATCTAGAAGAATAGAAAAGATTAAAACATTATATAATTAATTATTGTAAATAAAAATTGCAAAATAAAATATATATTAAAGAACCAATCAATAATGACATTATAGCAAAATCAAATTTTTAAAAGTGATTAAGATATATCTCATAATATAAGCATTGTCCTGAATAATTGACTGTAAAATAAAAATTGCATACTAATGAGAAAGTTGAACTTTTTAACATTACATTGGCCAGTCTTAAATAAAAAAACGATTATATTTGCAATATAGAATTTTTATTCAATTTTTAATGCTGACGCTGATGCTTTGCTGTTACAGGTCAAATGTGTTGCCCATTAATTATTTTTGAACATCATCTGTTATGATTGGAAGACCAATTTTTACACCTTTCCAAGAACATCCCAGTTGTATGAATTATACGTGAACATTTTTATGGAACTTTCAAATGATATTATTATTATTTGTATTTGTGACAGTTGTAAGGTAATAAGGTCAGAACAATTAATTAAATTTGTAACATCTGAAGCATATTTTATATTGGCAATTCATTAATATATTAAAATACATACATTGAAAACAATAAGGAGCTACAAAAGCATCCTTGCAACACTCCATTTTTGAAATTACAACAGGACTTTTAGAAAAACTTTAAAAATGTATAAAAATTATAAGATTATCCCAAAATATTAAAATATTATAAGAGAATAAAATAGTTTTGCATAAAGCAAATAGTAGAATATGACTCATTTTTAGTTATTAATTTTTTACAAATTAAACAGGAGGTTTACATAAATTAATTAACATTCAGGGTGGAAATAAAACAGCATTTGTTATGACTATGTTGTTATACTTTAAAGTAAGTTGCATTTTTCTTTTAGTTTTGTCTGATGGTGGGATGACATGCCACGCGTGTATGCTAAGCGGTCATGCGCTTGCTTGCTCACCGCTAGCCTCCTTCTCCTCACATTTCTCACATGGCCTCCAATACCAGTCTCGATCAATCATCCCCCGACAACTGCCTTTTCTGTACAATCACCAAACGCTGAGGTAAGCTGATGTATATTTAAAAAAAAATCCCTCTTATTTCATGCTGTCTTGGATTGCAGAGAAGTGACTATGTCGAGGTGACGGAAAGCAACGGGGCCGAAGTCCTGCTTCCTTGGTTCATGGGAGGAGGCTCGGTGACCCCCACTGCAGGGCCGGCCGGACACAGGAGCAGACTCTGGCCGGCCCAAAGGCCAGGCGATGACAGGATCACAGCCCAGTTGATGTTCAAGCCGGCTGTGGTGACGCCAAACCGGCTGAAAACAATCCTGATGTACAATGGTCTCGGGTCATGGGCGCCAGCAAAAACTGGAAGGAGTGTATTTTCGCACTGCCCTGTCAATACTTGTACTCTCACCTCTAACAAAGCTGAGTCGAATAAAGCGGACGCCATACTCTACCGAGACCACTTTGTCCATCCTGGCCATCACAGATCATCTAGACAGGTACTTTAATTTAAAAAATAAATAAATAAAATAAAAAGTGATCACCAAATTTCAAAAATGATTTTTAGGTATGGATCCTATATATGTTAGAATGTCCGTATCACACACAGCACATGAAGTACAATGACGTATTCAATTGGACGGCCACATACAGAAGGGATTCAGATATTGTCGCTCCCTATGAAAAATGGGTTTATTATGACGATCGAGTCAGACAATTGGCTCGCCCTTTAAGGAACTACGCAGCAAACAAGACTCGCCAAGTTGCCTGGTTTGTATCAAACTGTGGCGCTAGAAATGGAAGATTGCATTATGCTAAAGAACTGCAAAAGTATATTGGAGTTGACATTTTTGGATCATGTGGGACAAAAAAATGCCCAAGGTGAATTAAATCCAATCAAAATCGAATAGTTCAGAAAGTAACTGAAATTTTAATTTTTTCAGGACAAACCAAGCACTTTGTTTCAGTATGTTGGACAATGAGTACAAATTTTATCTGGCATTTGAAAACTCTAATTGTAAAGATTACATCACAGAAAAATTTTTTGTCAATGGCCTTGGGTAAGAAACAAATTACTGCTTTAATTTGAACTTTAATTTCATATAGATATAAAATATTTTCTAGGCGTGACATTTTACCGATCGTAATGGGCGCACGGCCGGAGGATTATGAGAAAAGTGCGCCGAAAAACTCATATATACATGTCGATGATTTCGATTCGCCAAAAGAACTGGCCAACTATTTGCACATGTTGGACAAGGACGATGAGCTATACAACAGCTACTTCCGATGGAAAGGTACCGGCGAGTTCATCAACACCCACTTCTTCTGCAGGCTATGTGCCCTTTTGCACGACGACTTTCCAATCAAATCGTATCGGAACATCAATGAGTGGTGGCGAGGGCGAGGTATATGCACCTCTGGGTCGTGGCGCAAGCAAGGAACCAACTGGGCCATTGAAATCGCAAAAAATGACAACCAATGAACAAAAATAATAAAAATTATAAAAAAAAGTTAAATTCTAGATATTTTTCCAAAAGGCGTAAATGTAGATGTCATCCATAATTTGGCGGTTTCACATATTTATTAACAATTTTTTTTTAAACAAAAAATGAAGCCAAACATGAAGAATATGAGCAAAAAAGTTTTCTTAGGGGGGGAAATGTATATACTATTAAAAAGAAGAAAACCTTTTAATTTTTCAAGACTGATGGTGCTTTAAAACATAAATCGTCTCAGAAAAAGTTAAGTTAAACAAAAAACTTCTTAATCTTAAAACTTAATTTATAATCTCTTCAGTTACCACATAATTAAGTTTCTTTTAAGTTCAATGTGATAGTAATTGTAAGTTCCTTTGTTGTTTTAAGCCCCTTAAATGAATGTGATAAATTTTGAAGATGCAATAAATTTGTCTGAGACTAAATACATGTTTGAAAATTTAACCATAATATCACAAAATAAAGTAATAATCAAATTATATATATATATACATGAAGTGCCTATTTTATGAGGAAATTTACTTTGGCAAAAGCCCAAAATTTTAATGTTGTGTCATCAGGCCTGTAAATTGAACTTTTCTTTTCAAAAAGTCGGTTCGTTAATGTTCACCCTGGTCATATCCAGCAATCTTCCAACTCATTTGATGACTTTCTTGAAAAGAAGCGTTCTTCAATGAATCAGGCACGTCTGTTTGTAAGATCTGTTTTATTAAAAGCTGCAAGCTAAGGGCAAGTTAATTTTCTTAAAAAAAATTATCCTTAATTTCAAATTAAAACAAAAATTGTCTGAGAAAACTAATCAATTAAAAACAACAAAAGCACATTGTTTGCAAATTTTAATTTGCTGTAAACTCATTTATAATGTAGATTTCTTAGGTGTTTTTAATTTTTTTAAATGTTTAATTTATTATATGTTGGCCTGAATATTTAAGTATTCAAATTATACAAATGGATGTTTGTACATAGTAAAATAAGTAGGAAATGAAAATAAGTTTTAAAAGTAAAATTAGATAATTGTATGTAACAAATGATTGTTTCAAAGTTTAGTTTAAGTGTTTTGATTATCGTTTTATTAATTATTTTATAGATTGTCTTCTGACAGAGTTATATCAGTGTGTTTACAAGGTGGGTCGAATGTATTGAACATTATGAGATTTGTAATGAAAAGTTGTTTGTTAAATAGAAAGCTTTTTTTTTTTTACTTGTTGGACCAAAAAACTTATGGATCTTTGATGACATTGTGTCATTAATAATGTGTAAAGTTGAATTTGGCAAAAATGTTCATGGATCTGTCAAAAGCGACAATGTAGATAGATATTTTCTTGTCTATAAGTTACGAGCCTTTGGCATTCCTTGAGGTTTAAGCCATTCTTGTCTCTTATAAAGATGTTCTCTCTAATGATGTCCTTTTTGATGTGGGTGTTCCTCAGGGCTCACATCCCGGACCAATCTTATTTTTAATTTTTTTGATGGTGTCACAAGGGTTAGCAAAAATAGTCATATATATATATATATATATATATATAAAATGCAGGGTGGGCGACCAAGACCCGAGGGGTTAAATGCCTGGGTAGACTCGTAACCCATCCCTAAAAGGTCCGGGACTTGGTCGACTCACGTGTCCTGCATAAACCTCTTGGAGTTGTTCACAAACCCCAAGATTTTGGACCATTTTATCTCGGGGAGTGATTTGGTGATGTCCTCTCCTTCAAAGATTTCAAATCTAGACCTAGCATGCCTATCACAGGTGCATAACTATCTGCTAGGTAGTGTTTTGCCGTTTCTTCTTTTATTTAGCAAAAGCGGCAAAAGGTAGGATACCTAATGGTAGGATACCCATTACGAAGAGGTGTCTTCTCAGTGGGCAGTGGCCCGTCAGCTGGTTTGATCGCCTTAACAAACTCTTTCGATTGCCTGTGTCCGGGGGATAAATTCCACTCCCTAAGGAATTGTTTCATGCCCCAGTTATTGATACTCTCTTTCGCTGTGCTCATAGAGTGAGGTAATACCGGTTGTGGCTCAACAAACGCAGTATTAGAACTTTCTTTGGCTAGGCCATCCGCCTTTTCATTGCCATGGTGTCCTTTATGTGCTGGTATCCAAGTAAGGGTTACCTTGTTCTCAAACCTGAAAGAGATCCTATTGATAAGATCTATAGTTTCCTCCACCAGTCGTGAGGTTGACAAATCTTTTTGTAATGCCCTAAGACTAGCCTGACCGTCAGAAAAGATTTTAATATATTTTCCCATAATTTTATTTTCCATAAGTGTTCTACAAACACATTGATGGCCCATATTTCTGCCTGAAAAACGGAGGTGTTATTGCCAAGAGGGGAGGAGATGCTGATTCCTAATTTTGGTATGTAGATTCCTGCACCACTCCCTCTACCTTTGATAAGTGAACTATCTGTGTAGCAGTCTATACGATGGTCATCATCCAGACTATAATCATAATCACAAGGGGTGACTACCTGAAAGTGCTTTTTCCCCGAAGGGGTTTTAATCTTTTTATCAATTATAATAGTCATATATAATTCTGCTTGCTAATTTAAAGCAATAAAAGGTGGAGAGAAAAAATTATGTTGGTAAGAATGGCTGATGGACTGCAATGACCGATAAATTAAGAGAAAAAAATTGTTGATAAAATCGAGGGCCAGGAAGAAAATGAGCAGAAAAGAAAGAATAATAATGATTTTATTGCGAATAGGCCACACCAGTATAACACATATCATAATAATAATATTTTGGTCGACACAGAGAAAAAAAAGAACAAAAGAAAAAAAAAGAAAAAAAGAGAAAAATTGAACATTAAATAATTATTACAATTGATAATTTAATTTTTAATAATTACATTAATTACTAACAAACATTATAAACCATAATTTTTGTTCTTCGTTTAATTTACAATAAGTGTAGATTTATAAATTATTTGGGCCAGCAATTTAGAATTAAAAGCTTTAAAATAATCAAAAATTAAATTCTAACATTAACTCTTGGCGATAGTGCCAAGTGTGGCGCACATATTTGATTAAATTTTTGTAATCATTAAGCAACAAATCAATAAGATGTGTCTTATTCAATTTAGCAAAATTTAGATGCAGAAGCCAAATATTTTGCAATAAAATGCACTATGTCTTCTTTTACCTGGTCATTGCAAAATGAACAAATTACATTTTCTCTAGCCCAAAAACCATTGATATAAAGCAGATCTCTTAGTCTAGGGCTACTATTTTGGAAATCAGGATGTTTCAAGAGTTTAAAGGTGTAGTTAAAATGAAGTTTGAGGTTATATAAAAATAACGGGTCAACTTTAGTCTCTAAATAAATCATAAAATTCGGGGTGGTTCTGGGAAGGGCAAATAACTTTCTAATGAAAAAACATTGGGTTTTTTCAAGCTGTTTACATTTTGCACAGCTCCAGACTTGTGAGGCGTAACAAAGTATTGAGTGGCAAACGAGTTGAACAGACTGAATTTCACTTGAAGAGAAATAAAATTTTGAGAAATTAAGTCGTGCCATAAACAGTTCAGAACCTGTTTTGTTGTAGATGCTTTATTATTGATATGATAATTGAAAGACAGATGAGGGGATAACGTTACACTGAGATATTTATTCCTTAACAATTTCAATATTTTTTAATCGAAAAAAAAATCAATCTTTAGCAGCCAGCCTTCCACCCCTCCTAAATACCATGATCTTCGATTTACTCAGATTAACCGATAAATTCCATTGAAGACAGTAGGATTCCAAAAGTTTTATATTCCTTCAGAGACTGGCGGCGTTGTCGGCAATGAGAACAATATCATCAGCATACATTAGAACTTTAATCAATGTATGGCCGATTCTGACACCTGAATCTAAAGGTCATCTAAAGGTCATCTAAAAATAATGAGAACAGAAGTGGACTCAGCACACAGCCTTGCCTTACCCTCTAGTTCACACGAAACCACTCCGAAATACCTTCTTTCCCACGTACTGCAGACTGAGAACATGAATATAGAGACCTTATAACATTTATGAATTTGGTTGTTACACCAATATTAAAAAGTTTTAAAACAAGTGCTTTTATGTCCACTCGGTCAAACGCTACCTGAAAATCTTTTTTTTTTCTTTCGAGGAAACGGAGTTTAATAATATTTATCAGCACAAAGAGATTGTCATTGTCAAAATGTTTGAAATTCAGACAATAAATGATTATTAGATACATAAGTTTCAAGACGCAGCAATAATGGACCAGAAAATACCTTAGCAATTGTATCTATATAAGAGATACACCAGTTGGCAACCAAGTTGATATCTCCGTGCTTGAAGAGAGGAAAAATAACTGACCGGCTGAAAGAAGCGGAGGTAACACCTGTTTTGTAAACAAAATTAAAAAATGCAATAATTTTTCTTAAAAAATATCGGGTGCAAATTTATAGAACTCATAACATACCCTGTCATAACCAGAAGCTTTGCCATTCTTTAAACTGCTGTTGCTGTGCTACTAAAGTGGTACACCCACTGATCCATTAAACTATTGGATCTGCAGACCATTTTTTTTTTTTTTGAAGTGGTTCACTTGTTTCCAAAATTCTTTCAGCTTGTTTATTTGCTTTAATTTTCTAGCCGTAGAAGTAAGGAAATCCCTTGTTTTAGCTGCACAAATACTTTTGTGCTCATTAATGGAGTTCTTGTAGGCCAATTGGATGTAGGTAGATTTAGTTTGGCGAAACAAATTTAAAAGTCTAAAAGACCGATTTCTCGCATGGAAAATTTACAGTCAAACCATGGTTGTTTTCTTTCAAATCTTGTAACTGAAGATTTGGATTCGGAGACGGGGTAAGCTTTTTTTACAGTTGCCACTAAAGCGAGTATCTTTGAGGATCCACAAAAAGAAACATCTTAAAGTCTTCAATTAAATGCATGCACTGTAACAGAACACAGCAGAGTTCAATCACTGACGAGCCAATATTCCCCACAAAAGTGAACTCACCTTTGAAGTCACCGGGAAATCTGCTATTTAAAACAATCAACTCAAGATCATCACAGATATCTAAAAACATTTTACCTGTCTCATTTCTAACTGTGTCTTTTGAATACCCTGAATACCATCAAACTTAGATTAGGAAGATATTAGTTGGACTATTTATTTTTAAAACTGATTTGCCATTTTTGATGATGTCCATGTCAAGCATGATGTAGGATTCATAGTTGAGTTTAGGTGTCTTAATTGTTAAAATCTTGTGCTTGAGGATGTTATGCTTATCCTGAAAAGTCAAAAGTCATAGTGATCTCAAATCCACTTATCCGTTGAGGTTTGTAAGAAGGAGTTTTACGGTGTATTTAAGAAAACCACAAGTTTTGTTAATTGATTTATTGCATGTGGGTATTATTCAAATACATGGACATTTGATTTGTTTATTATAGGAAAAACACTTTTTTTAAATTAAAACGAAAACAAAGTCTTATTATTGAAATATAACACTAAAACTATGCCTTGATATCTACTGTAGTATTTATTTGTGTATTTATTTGTGAATTAAAGTATCTAGAGAAATGCTTAGATTTTAAGTATTTTTATCACTTAAAAGTTAGTATCAAAGTCTAGGAGATTTATGAAATATATACAATATATGACTATTTTCTAGACATGCAAAAACTACAACTAGTTAGACTTCCTTACAAATATGGAAAATTTGTGAATTCCATTTACACTAAATTCAGGTACTCTAAATTTACATAGAGAAAAATGTAAAAGAGAATAAATATAAAAATACTGTATTATACCTTTATCTAAGAGAAATGTACAAATTACTGAATAGAAAAAACACAGTCTAATTTCCAATTTTTATTTATACATTTTCTTTTTATACTAATATTTATGAAAGATTTTTTCTTAGTTTCTACAAAAAAAATCACATTTTTGTAAATATATTGAATATTAAAATATTCATTGTCATAATAAAAAAAATAATAATTAAGAAAGAAAATGACGGGATCAAATATCTATATTGCCCATCCTAAATTTACCCGTTTTGGATCACTTTTGGCATTTAATTATTTACCTTGGAAAGCTCAACTCGTCCTATTTCATTGTCGCTCCTTCAGCCTGAAGTTGGCCGGTGATTTGGGAGCAAGAAGAAATTCAAATTCGAGCCTCAACTCGCCGTCAAACTCTATTTCAAACTGCCTTACAGTCTGGAAAAAATGTTTAAATTAGCCCAACACCAAGTTAAAACACTAAAGAGTCAATTTACCTGTGCAAGAACAACCTGAAGTTCAAGTTCAACAAACCTCTTTCCGGGGCACATCCTTCTTCCTACGCCAAACGGCACGACTAGGAACGGATGGGAATGGCCTGAACATGAGGAGTCTTTGCCAAGCCACCTTTCGGGCATAAAAGTTTTGGCGTTCTTGAAGTTCGACTCTTCTAAGCAGGCCAGCCAAGTATGACAAAGCACAACAGACTACAACATACAAGAATTATTATTAATTTTTATTGTATGAATTTAATTTAATAATCAGCGAAATAAAATTTATTTGTGTTGAAAAAATTTATAAATCACTGTAAATAAATTTGTAAAAATGCAACTTTTATTTATACAGAATTAGGCAACACAATTTGATTGAAGTATAAAATTAAAAAATTTGTGTAAGAAGGGAGTTCAAAATAAGTATTAATAAAATATTTTAGTCTTAATATACATAATACTTTTTTTTGTACAGAATTATGGTAGTTCTTATATTTTTTCTAAATTTATTAAGGTTTAATTATAAAATTAAAAATAAAATCATGACAGCTGTATCACATGGTTAAATAAAATCTGGAAAGCTATTGTCTAGGCCTTTGGATAGTATTATTTTCTCCAGAAGGCAAGTGGAAAAGGACTTATTATTTCAAAGTTTTTTCTTCTAAAATAAACAATAAACAGTTGTCACATCTGTAAGTGAACATTAGTTAATTTTAACGGAACATATTTTTGTTGGAAAATAACAGTTGTTCCATTTAGTGATGTTAAAATTTAGACAAATTTAAAAAATGTATGCTTCGATTTGATTAATTGTAGTCAGCTGAAGTTTAGTCGGAACTTCGCAGGAAAAAATAAAGGATGTATCCGAAAGAGCTGAAGAAGAAAGTGAACAACATCACGAAGAAGTACCCGAGGAACTTCTTCAGGAGTGTGTTCCTGTTCTTGTTTGCGATCAGGCTGTCCCGGGAATTAACGGGGATAACAGTCTTCCCAGAAAAAGCATGCTAGTTTTTACACCAAATTTTCATTGGTGAGTCATTTTAAAATTGTAAAAACAAAACAACAAATATTTTTTGATTGTGCGAATTTTCAGACTCACCCCTGGTTGAAGATGGTAACCACTCAGTTCCATGTCTGTTTCAAGGATGCGCGCCACACATGGCGCTGTGGGGAGTATTCTAAATAAAAATATTAATAAATTTGGATTGAATTTTGATTAAATTGTTGTTTTTTGTACCTGAATGCTTCCATGATGCAAGCTCTGAGATAATGAGCCTCTTTTAAAGTGTGAAGATCCAGAGCTGAACCATTTGGAGCAAGCTGGTTAACCTCCTCGTAAAGTTTCTCTTGGCAGTGCTTATTCTTTGCAATGAGATAAAGCAGAAATACTAGTGTATTGCCAAGCTAAAAAAATAATATTTTTTGTTAAAATATAGAGAAGAGAGGAAGAATTTTTAAAAATAAAAAATATATACTGTTTTAATCCCTGCTGCAATAAAATCAATAATTCCAGCCTTTTTATCCCTTAAATCTAGTCCTTCAGCTTTCAATATTGCCATGAACACACTCCTCATTGCATCTATGTCGCAAGTATCTTGTTCTAGTTTTTCCGCATTTTCAACCATTTCAGATATTATACTGAAAAAGAATAGTTTCGGATAAAAATTAATTTTGAATAATTATACAAGTTTATTTTGTCAGTACATAAACATTCCTTTTTATAAAAATATACAGTTGATAAAAACTCACTCGTAAATTGTATCTTCACTACTCATGAATTTTTTATAAGCGGGTGTCGGGAAAATTTTCCAGAAAGGCAGTCCAAAGAAAGTGTCCCTCGAGGCGCAAAACTGGTCTTTGACTGCTTCGGCCAGTTTTTTGGCGAGTGGGCTCACATCGGCATCCAGAAACCCAAGCCTTTTTCCAAGTATCAACGTACACGTACCTATGTACATTAAACTTATTACAAGTCTGAATAGCTTGTATACCATCTTACTTACTCTCGAGTCCCATTCTGCATGCGAGTTCATCAAATCCCTTGATAAGCCCAGTGCCCTCTTCCCTTGAATGAAGCAGGAGCTGGTTAAAGTCGTCAGCGACGCTGTTCAACTCTGGGAAGAATCTGTTCATCGTCCTCGCTGAAGTCAGTTCTGGGGTGAGCAGGCTTCGCAGCTTCTGCCAAGATTCACCTTGTCTTCAAATTAAAAATAAGTTAAACATGGAGTAACAGTTAAAAATTAAAAACAAAAATAATTAAAACTGTTTATTGTTGGTTTATTATTATTAAAAGATAGTCTAACTAACTTGAGTTTAATTGCGATGATGAGGACTGCTATTGATAAGAAAAGACTATAATTAAATGTCAAGGATATAAGTAGGCTGAGGCAAGGTGCTGTCCAAGTACTGAAGAGGTGAAAAGACAAAATCAACCTGACAGATTAAGCCTGCAAGGGTGGTCCACACTGGCCAAAATGATCATTAACAAACAAAATACAGATTTATCAGACCCCATGAAGAAATCTCAGAATTCATTTGCACATAAATTATGTTTATTAATATTTATATGTATTTATAAATGTTATATATTTAATATTTTAAATGTTTATTACATTTGCCCATTGGTACTAAATATCATCCAGAGTCTTGTGGAACTGAGATTGTCAAAAATTTAAAAAGCAAACATATACAGGAAAAAAACAACAAGTTTTTTTAATACAAGTACTTACTCATTAATAATACCGAGATTAGTGTAGCGGTCTGGCCTGGAAGCCCTGTAGAAGGCGATGACTTCTGTCGGTGGACGCATCGGGTATCGGCTGACATGGCGCAGAACTTTCTCAATGTCTGCTCCGTCCATGATGCTGATGACTGGGTAGTTCCAAATCGCTTCTTCCCTCACGATCCGGCCATATCTTTTGAACAGCTCTGCAAAATCAAAAGAGAAAATTATTAATAATAAAAAAATTAGATCTCAATGGAAATTGATTTTATTTACCTTGGTAGGCCTCGTGGATTTTAGTCAGTTTGAATTTACCGTAGTAGATCCATCTAGTTCCGATGATTGGAAGGGCTTTGGGCCCAGGGACGTCTTTTATCGTCAAGGGCTTTGTTGTTCGCACACCTTTAAAAAAAAGAAAATTTAAACATATAGATATAATATTTTAAATAATGAAACGGTAAGCTGTTGAAAATAATTTGTTAAGATGTAGTTCAAGTTTTTTGTATTCGTATTCTAATGAGTTGTGCTAATTTTTGTCTGTTTAATGCCACACTTGGTTGATGGTTTTTCCTTGTCATCTCTCTGAGTCTGCCCTATCTCGCTGCTCTTTGTTACATCTCAACCGGTTGGATAAATTTTAAAAATAAAATACAACAAATGCGTTCAAGAGTGTTAAATATAGAAATGTGAACAGCAACGATTTAGCATTACCTTTTAGACAAGAAATAAAAGGTTTTTTGCAATTATGTTTGTTAAATGACTGATGGTGGTTTGATTAAAAAAATGAACGACTCTTGTCAGCTTTTTCTCACTATGTTAACACTAAAATATTAATTATTAGACTATGAAAACGTTGACGAATAGTGCTTTAAAACGTCCAAAGACCGAGATTGCTTAAAAAATAAGACGAAAAGAGTCTTCATTAACAATGATCAATTTTTCTGATCCTTCGTGATTTCGGTAGATTTTCTCAAGTTTAAACAGTCACCAATGTCTTTAAGCATGTAGGCCGAATGAGGCAAAAAACGAGATCAAGGACCATTTCGCTCAAACGATTTGGTATATCCAAAGCTACATCAGTTTACCTTTTAGCTGTAGTAGCAGATTGTAAATATTTTCCGGTTTCATTATAACTTAAAGCTTTTAAGCAGTCAAAAGTAAAGTTAAAAATTTAGTTTCAATGATGGTAAGACCAAATCAAGCGGACCAAATATGATTTCGTTTAAATCGTTTAAACAGTCTAATGTTATACCAGTTTGTACGTAGTAATTTTTCAATCCTTCCTGGTTTCGTTCTTTCTTAACAATTTGAAACAGCAACAAGTATATTTAAAAATATAGCGCTTAATGAGCGAGATTAAACGAACCAAAAATATAATTTAATTCGAACAATTTGATTTGTCCGGTGTTACACAAATTTTTATTCAACTTTGTTGTTGGACTAGGAGGTTTTCAATCCTTTTTGGTTTTGTTATTTATTTTCGATTTTAAATAGCAACAAGTATATTTATAAATATAGGCTCAATGATGAAAAGAGCGAGTTTAAGCGGACCAAATATAAGATTTTCTATAATCTGGTGCTACATCAATTTAAAACTATCAATTAATTCGACTTCTTTACACGAATAGTAGGAGCTTCCTGTTTTCGTTTTTGGGTTTCAATCGGTCAAAAGTATGTTTGAAAAATGTAAACCTAATGATCGTAAGAGCGAGATTAAGCGAATCAAATATGGCGTTTGTATCATAATAAGTTTGTACATCTATGTACTACATTAGTTTATATTCAACTTTTTAGTTAAAGTAGTACTTTGAAACTCTTTCTGGTTTCATTTTTTTTGGGGTGGTTTCAAGAAGCCAAAAGTACGTTTAAAAATAGTGGCTCTATATTTCTGATCTATTTGAAACAGTAACAAGTATATTTTAAAAAAATGTAGGCTTAATTATAGCGAGATTAAACGGACAAAATATGATTTCATTGGAATGATTTGATTTGTCTATTGCTACACTAGCTTAGCTAGTATCGAACTTAGTAATTGAAATAGGAGCTTTTCGATCTTTCCTGATTTCGTTATTTCTTATCTATTTGAAACAGCAACAAGTATATTTAAAAAAAAAGTAGGCCTAATTACGCATAGAGCGAGAATAAACAGACAAAATAAGATTACGTTCGAACGATTTGGTTTGTCCAGTGTTACACCAGTTTTTTAACTTTTTACCAAGTCGGACCGTAACGAGCGATATCAAGCGGACCAAATTTGATTTTTTGTATAATAGGATTGTCTGGTGTTATATCATTTTATAACTATGTATTTATTTCATGAATTGTGTAACTTTCTAGGTACAGTAGCATCTTCCTGGTTTCGTTATTTTTTCATTTGTAAACAGCTACAAATATATTGACAAACTATAAGCTCAATGATGGAAAGAGCGAGATTAAGCGGACCAAAAATAGATTTGTCTGGTGATACTATAGTTGATAACTATACGCATGTAAAGAAGAAATTCTCAAAATTACATAGGACGAGGCGAATAAATAACTGAAATTTTTATATTGCTTTCACCGTTCTGTAATTCGACTTTTTTATTGTAACATTTTAGGAGGATTTTTTACTGATAATTTTTGTACCAAATTTTAAATAGACTTCTAAATATACCGTACATAAACCAGTTTTACTACTTGGTAGGGGGGTCCCCAGCTTTCAAGTCTGATGATGTGAAAAAAAAGAACTTCATACGACGACTGGAACCCGGCAGAGTTTATATATAGTTTTCATTATGCAAATATTCTATTGCCAAGTACACAATGTAAGTTTCGTAAGTTTAAGTTTTTTTATCACCCAGGGTTTCACAATTTTTCAACTGATTCAGGGTTCAGATCGGGTTTTATGGCTGGTTCCATTTAAAAAACTTTTTTGGTTGACGTGTTTCTGAACGATTGGCCAGTCGAATTTCAAATGCAATAGATGTCGCTGAAAGTGTCATCGTAAGTATGATTTTTCAAAGCTGATTATAAGCCTAAATCAGTAGCGAATTTATTATTGCTCACTCTTGAGTTCAAATAAGAAGCAAATTGCCATGTCATAAATATTTACCTTTGTTGCTAAAGCAGCGGACGAAAAGCTCGGTCTTTATTGTCGATCATTCCAGCAAATGTTCCAGCATTAGTGATTTACAATGCATCATCAGCCTAATGGGGCTTCGTGTGCTGGCTTCCGAGAAAAGCCCAAAAAAGGGTGCCGGGCCCGATTGACGGCATACCGTTACTTGTCAACACAATAGATTACGCCTTGAGTGGTGCATTACCGTAAGGTATTACCGTAGGGACATTTTTCAAATTCCCGGTAACCAAAGGGGACTGGCCGGGGCTGTAATATACACGGTGACCGATTGGTACATGTTGTGGCAATGGGTGGTCTGCCTGTTGATAGACCAATATTGTTACTAATGGACTCTTAAGTATTATCTTCAAGTACTCTTTATTTTTAACGTTGTAGTTTATCAACCAGCAATCAAAAATGAGGAAATAGCCTGTGTACAACAGCAGCCCGTTTATTTTCGCTGTTTTACATTAGAATGTGACAGAAAGTAAAATTTTGTTAAATATTTTGAAAAACAAAGAGATGAGAAATCGTTTGTGCTCTTTAAACAACAGAAAAAATAGAAAATTATCCTGTTTAAACAATTGGGCAAATAATCATTGAAACATCACTGGTCCGTCTAGTTTCGTTGTTGGTGTAGACTCAAACCAGCTAAAGGATTTAAAATCTAAACTTTCCCTGAATCCCTTTTACCCAATTTATGCAACAACATTCAACAGATTGTAATCAAAATTTCTGATCCTATTGTTCTCACTTTTTTTACGCTAGAATGTGAAAGGAAATACAATTAAATTTATCAAAAACCAAAAATGAGAGAAATTGTTTGTACTCTTTAAACATGGAATAGTACGAAATAATTTTGTTTAAATGCTAAAACAACAAATTACTGTAAAATCTCTGGTCTGGTTTAGCTGTTGGCGTAGTCTCAAACTAGATCAACTCAACTATGGATTTGAACCATATTTAAAAAAATCGCTTTTGGGAAAATCGATGGTCGGTTTCTTCTCGCTATTTTGTTGGATCAAACAACTGAAAGAGAAAAAGAAAAAACAATTTGTGGTTTATTTTTGTAATCAAAATCTTTGGTTGGTCCGGTTGTTTTTTTGAACACGTATGAACTTATATTTGAAAACAATAACAGTACGGCATTATATTGTACCTAAATTTTAACCTTTGACTATGATGAAGAGGTGGTCCGTCTATTCTCGCTGTTTTACTCCAGTTTTGAAGGAAAAAAAACAGCCGGACATAAATCTGGGAAAATGTAAAATTGTGTGTACGATTGGCGTAAATCTATCCGGTCCGTTTTTTCTCGCTCTTTTCTTGGCACCAAACGAGTAAAAAAACAAAATCATGGAAAAAATTCAAATTTTCGACTATACACCGGCTGAATAACCTTGCTTGAATAACCGTAAATTTGGTCAGCAGTGGTCCGCTTATTCTCGCTGTTTTATAGAACCACATGTTTTGCTTAAGAAAAAAAACAGTACAGAATTACATTTTTCTCAAAGTTTGCAACCGTCGTAAATTGATTGGTTAGATCAAAATTCTTTGTAAAAAAATCCATGGACCGGTTGGTCTCGCTGTTGGATGAATTTAGCCCTAATAAACCTCAACTTTATAACCGGGCATTAATATAATTCAACTATTATTCAAACGATATAGGAGATGATACTGCATAATTAAAAAAACTATTAAATCATTGAAATTCACCCATGGGTCCGCTTAATTTCGCCATTTCTGTACAAGCAAGACTAAATAGTAACTTCAATATCGCTAACAGTAAATGGGCTAATATTATTTTTTTTTAAATGACAATTAATTAGTTGCTTTTTATTCTACCATGAACGAATTGGCCATGGATATCAGCAAAAGCAATGGTCCGCATAATTTCGCTGTCGATGTGAATTCAGCCCCTAATAAACCTCTATAACCAGGGACTCAATATAATTCAATATTTCAATTAATTATTCTATTTATTTAAGGTCTTGGTTGAGATGAAAAAGTTAGTATCATTAGCGGGATTCGAACCCACGACCTTCGGCTCGAATCTCGGGGTTTGAATCCCTCTCGTGACACTAACCTTTTCAACCAAGACCTTACATAAAAAGAATAATTAATTGAAATAAGTAGTCAATTAGGCCACTAAACATAATGGATAATGCAGTATTACTAAAATAAGGGAGATGGCATCGCATTATTTAAAAAAAGTTAAATCATTGAAACACACCCATCGATCCGCTTAATCTCGCTATTTTTGTACCAACAAGACAAAATAGTAAACTTCAATATAGATAAAAGTAAA